GGAACAGAGAAACATTTAAGATTTACACGTGTCCCTTCGGAGTTGAAGCAAGCCCTTTCCTACTGGGAGCCACTCTGCAGCATCATTTTGAACAACAAGGGTCAGAATTTGAAGAGACAGTGAGAGCACTTAAGGAGAACACTTATGTTGACAATCTCATGCAAACGGTAGGAAATGTAGAGAAACTCATGCGGTTCAAAGAAGAGAGTACTGCTATACTTGAGTCTGCCAGGTTTCCGGTGCACAAGTAGGAATCTAATGTCCAGTTTCTTGAAAGTGAAGGCATGCCAAATCCAAGCAAGATCCTTGGACATGTATGGAATAAGGATGATGACACACTGGAGCTCCTTGCAAAGCCTTTTCCACAAGAACATCCAGTGACTAAGCGCACTATACTCAGTTACCTAGGAACTGTCTGTGACCCACTCGGGATAATCTCGCCCACCATGGCTGAGGGAAAGCATATTTATCGAGAAACCTGCGATGAGAAGAAAGGCTGGAATGCAGAAGTTTCCCCCAGATTGAAGAACCAATGGTTAAGGTGGACGAAACAACTTAAAGATGTAAGGGTGCCTAGAAGTATTGCTTCACTTGTCGGAGAGATAGGAGCAGTCCATTTACATCTTTTCGCAGATGCCAGCATTCTAGCATGCTGTGCAGCAGCTGTTGCGGTGGTAGAACATGAGGCAGGCGTGACCAAAGGACTTCTGACCTCAAAGTCGCGGATATCAAAGAGAAGTATATCAATAGCAAGACTGGAGCTTGTGGTGGCCACATGGCAGTAAACATGGCGAAGAACCTCAGCACTGCTCTCCAGCGATGGCCCATCCAAACCATCAACATTTGGATGGACAGTATGGTAGCACTATATTGGATAACTAATTCTGGGAGGGGATGGAAGGTGTTTGTATCAAATAGAGTAAAGAAGATAGCAGAAACCGCTGGTCCAGTCAACATCACTTGGAAGTACTGCCCATTAGAGTTGAATCTAGCAGACCTCGGAAGTAGAGGGGCAACCATTGTGAAGATGAGAGCGCATGTTCGATGAGTGGGATGCCTTGTTAGAAAGAAGCACCTACTGGCGTACAATGAGAGTAACGGCATGGGTGTTACGTTTTATCAGAAACTGCAAAACGAGAAGCAAGTCAAAGAAGATGTCAGGCCCTTTAGTTACGGAAGAAATCACAACTGCAAGTGACTACTGGGTAAAGCGGGTTCAGAAAGCAGAGGAAACATGTCTGAAGTCCCCAGGATGGAAGTTGGTCAAAGATGACTCTACAGGAGTTCTCAAGTGTGAAAGCAGAATTAAAGTATATAGGCCGATTTACCTTCCTGGTGGTCTACTTGCGGAGAAGCTTATCCTTCACATGCACAATCAGGTCGTGCATCTTGGTGTCGCGAACACGATGGCGAGTGAGAGAAAACTGGTGGATACCCAAGTTGAGAGCGAAAGTGAAGAAGGTCATTTTAAAGAACTACATCTGTCAAGTATACTCCACCAAACCTTATGGAGTGCCATCAACTAGTGCTTTGCCAGAATATAGAACTGAGGGAAGCAGACCGTTTGAAGTAACCGGAGTGGACTTTGCCGGACCCTTCCTGTACAAGGTCGGTAAGAAAGAAGAAGGAAAGTACTATGTCATTATTTTCACCTGTGCGAGCTCCAGAGCGGTCCATTTGGAAGTTGCAAGCACCCAAACGGCAGATGAATTCAAGAGTAAGCTGAATGCCTTCATCTCGCGACGAACAAGACCTCGCATCATCATCTTGGATAATGCCAAAGTGTGTAAGGCTACAGCAGATTGGATCAAAACAGTGAGGAAAAGTGAGAAGTTGCAAAATTACTTAGCACGTGAGAACATCCGCTGGCAGTTTAATCTTGCAAAGTCACCCTGGTGGGGAGGAATCTATGAGAGATTGATTAAGGAGATAAAGAACACCTTGCACAAGACCTTGGGGAGATAATCTCTTTCCTACGAAGCATTTGAATCAGTCAGCATGGACATCGAAAGGAATTTGAATAAACGCCCCTTGACATATGTTGAAGCAGAGGGAGAGGAAGAGGCGGTACTTACACCGAACATGATCCTGTTGGGACGAGATGTGTATGCTGTAGAAGACACCGAAGGCTCAGACGCAGAGGAGCTAACAAGGATGGCCAAAAGATTGTAAAATGCTAAGGCCAATGCATGGAAACGCTGGAAAAGGGAGTATGTCCACAGCCTAATGGAAGGTCATAGGCTTAACAAGGAAACCGGAACTATACCTCAAGTGGGAGAAATTGTACTCATCATCGGAGACGAAAAGAACCGAGGAGAATGGAGAAAGGGTAAAGTAGTGCGTCTTATCAGAGGCAAAGATGACGTCGTTAGAGGGGTGACATTGTTATACAAAAAGCACACTATTGACCGACCGCTTCAGTTAGTTTGTCCCTTGGAAATCAGAGCGGTGGAGAATGTTGACCAATCTCAAAAGGGGAGGAGAGATCGAGCTAATGTAGGAGAAAAGAGACCAAGACGAGCTGTAGCTCAGAGGGCTGCTCAGAGAATCGCAGAACAATTGCAAGAAGAGAATTGATAAACTGAGCTGTGTTTGAGTATAAACCGGAATGTCATATAGCAAATCGGATTAGTTTCAAGTTACGTTTGATTGTAAAAATTGCTTGCTACAATTCTTAGGGGGGTTGTGTACGAGAGATTTACCAACCCTACCCCTCACAGTTTTGTGACGTTGAGCAGCACTACCAAATTTGGGCTAGGTCTACCAAATAAGGTAATGAGCACGTGCGAGCTGAGTAAGCTAGGACTGGACGAGACCAAAAAAAAGTACAGTGAGCGCGAGGTTTCCTTCGAGGTTTTGTTCATCGAGTCTGGTGAGCGTTTTGTGAGTTAGATTGAAGCGGAATAAACCAGGAAACCGTGTTATTGTGAGTTCTATGGGCTGTTTTATTGTTGTACTCACTCTTGGACGAACCACCTCTGACATGGTACCAGCTTCTGATTTCTCCACCTCGCCTAAGATGTTGGGAAAAACACGATCAACTATCTTCATGAAGGGTTTGTTTAAATGCGCGTGTACAAACTCCTCCATCACGTTCTCAAAGTTCTAGTACCTCGCGTGCGCATTGCAACAACTCTGTGCACATGTCAAGAAGCATATCCATTCAATAAGGAACTTGAGCAGTCTGAGAGAGTACCAAAAGTACCCAGTGCGTTGAGTCGCGCGACGTATTGCAGCCAGGTACTCACTTGGTTCCTTAAGAGACGCGAGAATCCAGGATATGCTCACACTCGTTTATAAGTGTTTGGACAATATGACACCTTTCTACTGAACTTTTTTGTTTCATGTTCGTATTAGTGAGTGTAATCTCAGGGGGGTTAAAAAACTTATTGTGCCGAAGGTCGCCACCACTACTTTTGGACCAAACACTTAAATACTTAGCTATTTCCACCTGGAAATCTCTGCCCGATGAAACAAGAAGCGCTCCTGATCTGAATACTTTCAAATGATGTATAAAGCAGTTAACTTTTAAAAAATAGTTGTATACATATGTGTGTAATTGATTTCTATATGGAATGTATTCTAATTGTACTATTTCTATTTTCATTATTTCATTTATTATCCCTCTTTCGAAGATACTATACTCTAAAACCCGAATTGAAATAAAGCTATTCAAAGTAGACAGACTGCAAATTATAGTAGTTGCTAAAAATATATCTACGTGTCCCAACTGTTCATCAGTAGGATGCCCAAAATGCGTGCAATTCCACAATTGGTTTCGACTCCATTAAATCCTATACCAATTGCAGAACATTTTAGGAGGAGCCACCCACCGTGTGAGCACAGTCGCGGACAACACATGTAACTGAGGAAAATAACGCAAAGCAAAACTAAGACGTTATTAAACGAACTATGATCGATTCATTGATTGGCCAGGATTTAAAGCTGAGTACGCTGAAAAGGAAGTGTAATAATATGTGAACGTTTACATAATGAAGCAAGGTCACAAAGTCCTCTCCTCGAAGTGACTTCGCCATTAACAAATGTTAAATATATTCTCAACAATCTAATCACAATCATTTTTAAATGCACTTTTTCTTACTGAAATCTTGTATCCCTCTGTTGCCTCTGTTACTTAATTGCCTCTTTTATTTTAACCTTGTTACCAACGTTACCCTGTGACTTCTGTTACCTTGTTACCTCTGATACTTAGTTCAGTTACCTCTGTTACTCTGTTACATCAGGAACCTTGTTACTTCAGTTACCATGCCTACTTCAGTGTACCTTGTTACCTCAGTTGCTTTGTTACTTCTATTAGCTTCCGTTACCTCGTAACCTCTGTTACCTTGTTACTTCACTTGCCTTGTTATCTCTGTTACTATGTTACCTGGGTTACCTTGTAACTCAGTTACCTTAAAATTCCGAAGATAAGCCCCGGGGCTTATATTTTTAAAGGCCCGTTTAGAGGGGCTTATTTTTGGAGGGGCTTATCTATGGAGGGAAATTTGCGTTTCAAAAATCGATTTGGCTAGCCCTATAGTTGGAAGGAAATTTACCGTTTTGGCTTTGTTTTACTTTGCATTTGAGGGCAATTTCCAAGTACAAGCCCCCGGGGGGCTTATATTTGGAGGGGCGATTTAACGGAGGGTTTTTTACGTTACGGGTTTGGGGGGCTTATATTTGGAGGGGCTTATTTTCGGAATTTTACGGTACTTTGCTACCTCTGTTACCTAGTGTTACCTCAGTTACTTGGTGTTTTCTGCTAGCTTCTGTTACAGCCTTGTTACCTCAGTTACTTTGTTACTTAACTGCGTGCAGTCCCTCTTCAGTCAGTCGAGTCTAAACACTCGCAGTCTAGTTAACTAAGTAGAAGATACTCAATTGAATTCCTAGGGTTGTATCGCGATGGACACCTCAGAAAAATATGATATGATTAAAAGAGTAATAAACAAATTAAACTCAATTCTAAATTTAATTAGTAACCATTGTAACTTCATAAGAACCGGGTTATGTGGTAAAATTAGAGTTCTTTGAATCGTACCGCACAAGCAACCTGTACACATTGCAGTTTATTCAATGTGCCGTCAAACAGGTCGTATAATAAGCTAATACAATAGCCAAGTCTGGATAAGAATGCATAAATGGTTGACTTTGTGAGAGATATTTGCTGATGCGTTGTATGTTGTACAAAGAGTAGATATGTAAGCCAGCAAAGTGAGTGATACTATAGTATCGTATTTTATTGGAAAGTTCTGTTCATTTTTTTAATAAGTTGAATTTGTTATTTATACATCAGGATTCAGCGGACAGTGTTTCAATCCTAGCATTACTCGTCGACAGTTCCAAAGCTGCTACAGTTGCCTCATGTCCCATCTTATGTCTCCATAACACTAACATTTGATAGACCTGTTCTCTTGATCGATGTGGGTACTTCTTCTTTACATCGCGTATTTCTTGCTTTGTGAAACCAAGTTCACGAGCCAATGGTACCCAGTCTTTTTCACCAATCTTAGCAGCTGTTGTAATCAGAAGCTCGTCTGGAATTTCAGATTCTCCCCCTGACCTGCTGACAATTAAAAAAACAACAACAAAAAAGCGTTGAAAGCCGTTTTGACTAAATGAGGACCTTAAGGCGGGGTTCAGTTGATAATATAGCTTTTCCAAGTGTGGCTATTGTTTTTAGACTCTCCAACAATGACTACGATTGCAAATTACACATGTAAAGGTTTTATTGTATTGGCCATTTTACAGTTGTGTGCTCAGTATCCTGGTCTTTGAATAAATGCGACACTGAAGGTGGCCTTGTTTTGTTCCAAATCTTCCTGCTTTTCAATCGTGTTATTCTCATGCGAACAAGCCCGTGAAAATGATCATTAACGTGTAGAAGGGTTGTAACAAAACAGGGTGACCTCCAGCCTCGCTTCTATTCAAAGGCCAGGGCACTGAGCACACAATTGGAAAATGGCAGAGACGTGATGACGTCACAAAAACCAACTTTAAGAAATTATTGATGGATTGAGTAGGATAATCAGATAGAACAAAATGAAACTGTCATTTACCAAAATTCAGCTTGATAGAGAAAATTGGCAGTGAGACATAAGAAACGTTATCCTTTTCAGGTGTCATCTTACTCTAGTAGAGACTTAAAATATCTCAAAATCAGCACCATTTGGAGAAACGTGAAGCGACTAAGAACCAATTATTGCAAGTGAGTCGGTAGAGTGTCTAAAGCTACGTTTACACTAGAGGAGATTTTTCGGATTCAAAAACGTTTCCGGATTTATTACGTTTTATAGGGTATTCGAACTCTTATGCTTTTACACTAAAAACGTATTCGGATTCCATCCTTTTACACATACAGATAAATCCGGGAAGCTTTAGCAACGATGACAGCGCCAGCAATGAGAACGTCAAAAAGGCAAAAATGAGCAAAAAGAAACCACCAATTTTGCAAGTGTATCACACTTTTTTGGTACACTTCTTTGGCGTCTCTGCATGACAAAGACATCAAATTTCGTTATGCTTTGTCGTTTGGAGGACGTAAACACCAGTAAACACAAGACGACAAACTTGGGTGCGGTCTCCAAGCCGAGAATACAACTCCAGGACGTCTTGGAATAAACGCGAAAAAGTTTGAAAAATGTGAATTCATTTTTAATAGTGACGCTTTCGCTGCCCTCTCCGTCGTCGTTCTTTACGGCAATCTTGTATTATCGAAGACGAAAAAGTATCCGGCTTCGTAGGATGAATTGTTTACACCACAAAACATTGCGGATTTTAGAGTTATCGCATACAAAGTATTCCCCTTAGATTTTCGGATTCAAAATCTCCGAAGACTTGACTAAACCGGGACTTTTTTATTTCGGATTCACCCATCTGCGTGTAAACGGCAAAAAGAATCCAGTACCAACATTTTCTGGATTCGTCACGAATACGGAAAAATCACCTCCATTGTAAACGTAACCTAAAAGTCCATTTCGGAGTTGGTATTAAGTACATTCACTTCTGTAAATCAACTGTCGAACGTTTCAAGTGCCAGCCCTTTGACCAAAGAAAAGTTAGTAAAAGAAGACATCTTTTGCTAAAAAAAATCCTCTTCAACAGTTCCTGAGGAAAGACCTAGTCCATTGACCTATGGGTTTTACCCATTAAGCTGCATTAAGCCCCAAAATCCACAAACAAATTCTCCTGACTGATCTTCATACATATTCATTTCCTTAAAGAATTAGTTGAAAGAATTTGTTTAAAGATCAAAGCATTTTATAGTCCGAACTGTTATCCTGTTCTTCACCCCACCCCACAACGGGCGGCATAGCGAGAGAGAGCCGCCCGTTGAGGGGTGGGGTGAAGAGAAGGATGACATTTCAGACGAAGCGTTTTATTAACTCTCACAACCTTTTCTCTTGATTATATATTGATATTGTTTGGAGAAAATTGATGTTGGTCAGTCACTCTTGGAACATAAAGGGTTAAGGGTTAATTGCATTCCTTACCTCCTACTTGGTGGAGCATGAGATTCCATTTCAACTGGTATGATTTCAAACCTTGTGAGTTTAGCTATCTCATCCTCTGGCAGCTGTAAAACCCATCTTAGCCACTGATCAACATCAATGTACCCTATTGGATAAAAATGTTAATCAGAACCACAACTTTATTATAGTCATTGTAATTATTATTATTGTTATCATTATTTAAAAAGAGTAATTTTCCTAGTATGTGGCTGTTGCTGGGGGTTATAGGAAGCTGCATGTCGTGTAATGATTTTAAATTAAGCAGTGGTGAAAAACTAAGCACTGTTGAGATTATAAATTGCGTTCTTGCAAACCACATTATATCTTACACTGTAATACATTTGGTGTGTGTAGACTTCAGCAAGTACACAATTCAGTAGCTGAGAGCATTTGAACCACTTAGTTGCCTCCTACAGGTTCTCTAGCAAACGTTTCCTTGATGAGCCTTAAAATTGCTGATCTGAAAACAAATTATTACTGTAGTGACTAGGTGTAGGGTATTTTTGATAGCTGGACAATTTATGGGAAAAAAATTTATCACCCCACACTAAATGTCAGGCAATAACTAAATTTCACAGGCTCATTTTTAAATATTTACCAATATTCGACTTCTCTAGCAATGGTTGATTCTAGTTGTGTAAATATCAATATTTTAATGTTGAGTTATGTTTTAATAAGTGACATATAAAGTTTCACATAGACTAATGAAGTTTGGCAATAAATGAACCTATATTAATATGAATTACACATAAACTTAAATTTAACTTGGTTATCAATCACAGAAATACTCAGGAAATAATTATATACCTAACCTTGCTCCTTATCATCCAGAGTCTTAACCAACAGTTCTGCTTTGGACTTGGCTGTTTCCTGTAAGAAACAAACTCAGGTTAGAAGCCTCCTGGCTAATTACCGTAGTATTCCATTGAATACTGTTTCACAGTAATAAAGACTTTGTATCAAGCCTCCTTCCTGTTACTTGTGCTACGCACAGTGGGCAGTTTTTGTATCTCTTTATAGTGGTTACCTATCCACAAATAAATAAAACAAATAATAAATACTGATTTAGATATAGGACATCCACTAGAGGTTTTTCATCTAACATTCCTGATTAAAGTGAAAAGTGGAAACCAAAAATCACCACTTTCAGATAAGGCTTCTGATAGGGTTTGGGGAAAAAATTAAATTATTCGACATTTTGGAAGCAAACTGTGCGGGGGAAAACATGAATTGTGTGGGACTGCAAAATGTTTCTCAAAAATAAAACAGGCTTCTTAAGGAATACATAACTACTCATATCATGCCAGTTGTATAAATCACTTTTTACGTAGATCAAAAGTACTGCTTCAAACATTACATCAGATTTAATATGATACTCTAGTGTGGTTGAGTAGTAATTTTAAAAGGGCCATTACTTTCAGGATTCAATAAGAAGGTAAAAAGTAGACGTTATTTTTGGGGAGGAAAGTTACTTTCAGAATTTTACAGTAACGTAATAATTACATAATAATTATTATGCTGGGAAGCAGTGGAGCCTTAGCGGTCAAAATTCCACCTGTACCTTCTGTCCTGCAGAATGAACCTTCTAATGCTTTATTAAATGCTTTAAATTGACAGCTGTATGCCACAGGATACCCAGGCTTAGGCATTACTGTCATGCACATTATGTGGTACATGTACATACCTCATGAACACCACTGTCCAGTTTCATGATAACTTTCTGTAATGCAGGAACATCTAGTGGCTGTGCTTTGTTGAGGAGCTTAAAAATACCTCAAAGAATCAAACACAGTAATTATGTAATACCAAGTAACCAACATAACTGTTTATTTCCACATTTGCAATAAAAATACCTTCCAACTTTTGTTCCAAAGGAGCAGTTTTCCACCACATCAGAACGCCAACAAAAGATTGAAAATTCACATTCCCATTTTCATCTGTAGGAAATGTTCTCCAAACCTTATCAAACAAACAGAACACAGTGGTAAATTGTTGAAAAACAGCATGGAGGCCAGGATTATCACTGTGTACTGTAAGAGTATAGAAATCACACAAGTTGATTAATGATAATGTGGACACACTTATCACTTTCTCCAGTCACAGAGCCACAAAGAAACGTTTAAATGATAAACATAAAAAGGGCTAAATAACTGAATCTGAATTACATGTAATGGGAGAAGACATTGTTTTTACTGGCACATGTATATTGACACCAGCGTATTATAGCAGAAATGATGAATGGTACAAATAGAAAAATTTAATTATGAGTCTTGAAAAACTTTGATCATATTTCAAAACTGTGGAAGTTTTGTGATGAGTCTCAAAATATCAGTTTAGTGCGTTTTGTTTGAACTTGGAATTTGGAACTTGGTGTCCAGAGCAAGTCAGTCTACATAGTTTGCAAGGAAGGAATAAGGTTTCTGTTGTGATTTCTTTACTATTGAACACTGTGATTCCTGCCTTAAGCAGGACATTTTCTGAATTTTCTTTCTAAATAATTTTTTCCCTTCTTCTCAGCCCCATCTCTTTGTAGAGTAGGTGACATGTGGTTGAATGCTGCATAACATTTAAGTGACTGTGTATCGTAACGAATTTACGAGGAAGTAAAAGATGAGACCATACATTTTTGAAAATGTGATAACACAGTACGGATGAGTTTATACTTGGAATAAAACATTAAATACAAGTTGTTCATTTGGAGAGTGCAACACCTTCCACTATCAAATAACAAAATATTAATTTCAAGGGCACAATTGTTGTTTATCATGGCACATCCAAATAATTTATTGTCTAATCTTTTGTATACTTTCAGCTTATAAAATTCCTGAGCACTTATAACACAGTGTAGCTTTAGTAATTTACAGTTGTACTTCTTAAGTATCAAAATTTTTTCTGTATTTTACATTGGCACAACGTTATTTACCTGTCTTAAAAATGGATCTGTGGTAAATGAGGGACGTTGGAATACTTCGCTTTCCACAGTTCCTTCATCATTGGGACCAAGCTGTTGGAACCTTGACCAGAGTCGTTCCACTTCTGATATAGGAACTGAAAAAGTTAATACATCATGCATGGTCAAAATGAAAGCTGTCTTCACCCCTCCACCCTTACAGTCAAAAACAATAATTTTATCATTATTTAACATATTTTATGTTTGTGGGATAAATTTCAATGGTCGGACTAAGTTCAAATGGAACTTTAAACAAGGTACTGCTGTTTGATGGCTGGTTAATGTGAAAGTTTAATAGACTACAGACTGTTGGGACTAGAATAATCATTAGTGCTCATTTAAGAGAGGCATATGCCTTATAAAGGTTCAAATAATATCAATGAAGAAAGGCCAACTCCACATATTTGTTTTAAGGAAGTAACAATCTTGTAGAGGTGTCTGCTTAGAGCTACTAACTACTATTAACTGCTAGTAACTACCAGTAACTCATGACAATCTTAGCATCTTGGATTTTATCATCACCTATCACTTCCCCTCCTCCCTCCCAGAAAAAAAAAAATGTTCATCTAAATACTGGGTTGGTAACTAGTCAAGTGGACAGAAAGTCATCTCACACGAAGTCATGTTGCCTGAAACCAGAGTTATGTTCCTCGAAATTTATGGTCATGATGCCCGATATCCTTAGTCAAGTCGTCCAAAATTTTATCGTGTATAAACTTGAATAAAAGTTACATCTTAAGTATATTGTAAGAAATTCGAGAAATGTCATAACTCAACTGTGTCTGGTAACTTATGCAAATGTGATGTTGAACAAAGACTAAAATAGTGCTGTTCATCTCCAACACACCAATTCAGCATTGTTCGTTGCTATATTGAGCTAAAACTGAGTAAAGAGCTGAAGGTAGGTCATTTAGAACATAACCTTAGTTGCTGATCCATCAAGCAGCATTCTACAGTTTCTAGTACACAGAAAACTTGCAATGATCAGAATTGCTACACAGATCATAAAAATACATCAAGTACTGAGACATGACTAATGACTCAATGCGTTGTTTGTTTCCAACAACAAACTTAGTTAACCAATGCGCATGTTATGTTGTGTTGTTGTTAAAGCGCTATTGCCCTCCAGTTTTATAGTTAGAGCAAGTGAGTTAACTTTAATTTCATAGAAATTAAATTATTCCTGTTGTTAGACTCTTAGCGATTCCTTTTACTTTATCACAGTAAATTCAAAACAACATAAAACTTTTGCAGCTGGTTCTTAAGCAAGTGCTGTGGACCTTCTTTAAAAAACAAAATGCTTCAACATATGAAACAACAACAGAACTTTACTGTAGAAACTGATATCCCTGTTGTTTCATTTTAAAATTACAATCTTGTTAAGTCTCTGAGTTATCAAACGAACAACCAGTTTCACAGTTTTGTACTTCACTTGAGCTTTTTTATCATATTTGGATACATAAATTTTGGATATATCTTTCACTTTAGTTTTTGAGGATCTCTTTGAGCATGATGAAATTTTGTGCAACATGACTTAGGATATTGGGCAACATGACTGCAAACTTTGGGTGACATAACTCTGGTTTCAGGCAAGACAACTTTCAAGTGACTTGACCATAAACTACTGGGTTAATGACCTCATGCATGTAGGACTTACACAACAGTGTCAGCTCCTCCTCCCTCCCTTTCCTCTTTCCCCATCTTTGCTCTAGCGCCTATATCTATATTAAAGAGGCAAAATTTGTCCATATCCCCCCACATCATACAGAATTTTTTGACATCACCCCTCTTTGCCAAAAGAAAAATTGGCATCTAAAAAAACTGGCATCCCCTCTTCCTGCCCTCCTGCAGCCGCCGTGGTAAACATTAATGCTAGCTTAGGGAGCTCAGAGAATGTATGCTTTGACTTGAGACGTTTGGAAAACGTTGGTGCACTTTGCTCAACTTTGCAAACATTTACATACCAAAATAATCCTCTGGTACTGTGGGTTTGACAGTTTCAAACAAAGGTTTTAAAACTTCTTCAAGATGGTCCACATTGTCGACTACAGGTTGTTCAGGGGTTGTTGGCCTCTCTTCATGGTTTGCTTCTGGCTGAGGCTGTTGTTTATTTCTCCTCAGGAACTTGAACATCCGCAGAATCTACCTTAGGTTAGCCTCAGTCCCTGTTTTATTGAACGTATCGTAACGGTATGACTAGTCGCAGTTTGGTTCAAACTATTCACAAGTTTGGAATACCGCCACCGTCCGCCGCCATATTTGTTTGTATGCTCTCGTCCCAGGGCCTTACCTGCCAATAAATTCGCTTTGTTACTTTCAAGGAATTCTGGGAACAACTTACATTACTCATCCCCCGGTTACCAGCAATCAAAGGAAATGAGTGATTAATTGTAAGGGAATAGAGTATAAAGCATATCCTTACAATTTCTCCATGATCAGAGGTATGTAAAAATGTTACTTTTGTAAAATATTTCATTTAGCAATTATTGAATGAGGTTGAGAAGGATATTTAACAATTATTCCTCGGGCCCGAATGGACTCTGAGTCAATTGCTGGTTTGTACGTGACGTCACGGCGGCCATGAACAAAAGCATTTCTCTCCTCTGGGAACTAAACTCTATTTTCATGTAAATTCTTGGAGGAAATATTCTTTTGTTTTGACCCCCAACATGGCCGCCTTGTCACGTGGTTGCAAACCAAGAATAGCCCATGACGCCGAAGGACGACTGGGCTATTGACTCAGAGGCCATGAGGGCGAGAGGAACAATTGTTGTAGTAAAATCCAACTAGCTGGTCAAAAATATCGAGACAAAACAACTTTACTGGTTAGCTAGACTTAAATCCTTTTTTTGCCGCCAAAAAGCCGGTGCTTTCGCTACAAGTGGGCTATAACATATAGTAGCTCAACCAATCAGAACGAGGCATTGATAATAGACCACTAGTTGGATTTTACGAAGAAGGATTATGCAGATCGGATCGAGGAGGGCGTTTAATCAACAATTGTTCCTCGAGCCTGAATGGGTCAATAGCCCATGAGGCCGAAGGCCGAATGGTCTATTGACTCAGGGGCAAGAACAGCAAGAAGACAATTGGAAGGGCGACATCTGCTATTTGGAGAATATTTGCGGAGCTGAACAACCCTAAACATACACTATCGAAGATGGAACTTAACATCGATGGAGGTAAGCATATTTTAGCTATGTTTTTAAACTAGGAATTATTTTGAATGAATAGTAAAACAATTACTGAATTCAGCTTTCGTATCATAAATTATGAAGAATTATGGAGATCTTGGAAGGCTTTGGTGGATAACACCCTTCCTCGATCTCCACAATTCTTCATATGATGCAGAGCCTCATTCATTAATTGTTAAATCAACCGAGGCCAGATAACACACTCTTGCAAGAGACACGTGTGCTGTCTCTAAAAGCTTCTGAACTATTCACTTCAGTACTGAAACACTCAGCCAGGTGATTATATGAGCCACAAAACTGACATCAGAATAAGAGAGAGGCCATAGACAAGACCGTGATGGAGTTATTGTGCCAAAACCCAGCTTTCTCAAAGAAGAACTGGTTCTGGTTATGGATTGCAAGTTGAACCTTGTATTCTACTGTTACTGCATTTTTGCTGATGAAGGGATTGGTGTGCAAGCCACCAATGCACAAGTATTTGGAGGCTGCTACCCTCGTATGCCACTGATAAACATCACTGTTCAGGGTATTGAAAAGTTATTGGACAAGTTAAATCCCTATAAGGCAGCTGGTCCAGACAACCTACAGCACTGAATCCTAAGGGAATTAAGCTGCCAGATTGCTCCAGTCCTTTGCAACATATTTAAGGTTTTCCTTAAAACAGGTACTGTCCCTGATGACTGGAAGTAAGCAAATGTAACTCCAATACACAAAAAAGGGCTTAGACAACTACCTGAAAATTACCGACCTGTTTCCCTTACTTGTATATGCTGCAAATTAATGAAACACATTCTGGTCTCACATATCTCACGGCATTTGGATCGCCACAGTATTTTAAATGATTCTCAGCATGGTTTCAGGCAAGCTTTATAGATGACCAAGAAATGCAGGGAGGAGACCAAACGGATGTCATTGTTATAGACTTTAGCAAGGAATTTGACAAGTTTCCACACAATGGCTTGCTATACAAATTGTTTAAGTGTGGCATTAATGAGAAGTTTTTTTGAGAAAAGAATACAAAGTGTAGTTCCAGAAGGAGAGCATTCGCATTCAGTTCCAGTAACCTCAGGTGTACCCCAAGGACCAGTGCTGGGGCTGGTAATGTTTCTTATTTTTATTAATGATCTCCCATGCTATGTTAAGACAATGGTCCGTCTTTTTGCCAATGACACTGTCATTTACCTTACAATAAAATCTGAGAGAGATTGCTGGCAATTACAAGATGATCTTCACTTCTTGGAAAAATGGGAATCTGAATGGTCTATAGAATTTAGTCCAAGCAAGAGCAACGTTATACAGGTAACACGCAGACACACACCTTTCAAATTTCAGTACAAACTTCATGGCAAGGACCTAGAAACTGTTGATACTACTAAATATTTAGGGATCAACCACTCACATGTTTTACGCTGGAATGATCATGTAAATGAAATTACCAACAACTGAACTTTCTACACCGCAATCTCCGCACTTGTTTGGCCAAATCCGAAGAACGAGCATACAAAGCTCATTTGAGACCCATTGTTAAATACAGTGCCACAGTCTGGGACCCTTACGTAGCTAAGAACATACAACAGGTCGAAATTATTCAAAGCTGCTTGCTGGATACTCTGGAGCTCAGGCGATCTGATGCATGTCTCTGTATGCTGTACAAACAGAGTAATGGATTAGCCAGTTATGAATGCATCAAGCTTCAGAGAGATCATGAGAGCAGAATGGACACCAGGCTCTCATCTCTCGGTCATAGATTAAAGCAGGCACGTTGTACATGTGATTATTACAAGAACTCTTTTTACCCTAGGACAATTGTACGGTAGAACAATCTCCCACCAGAAATTATAGCATCTACTTCACCATGTTCATTTAGGCAATCCCTGTGTAATCTTACATTTTGGATAGCAATTTTATGTTATTGTTTCATTCATTGTTGTAATTTTTATTATTTAAAGCAGTTTGCAATATAAAGAAAAGAGAGCACATCACTGGAAAAGTGACATGAAGTACACTAACAAATTTAAAGAGGCTTTTGAAGAGGAAGCAACTAAGATGTGGAGAAAAATATATATTGTAAAGGCGAAAATCAAACACCTCAAGGAAAATTCATGGAAAAGTCAAAGTTGCAGCCATGAAAGCTGCAGGTGTGCTTCATTAGGTGTAAAAAGTAAGAGAAGGCTGGATAATTAAACGGCTTGTTCAAACAAGACGCAAGACGGGTTTATGCAGAGTCTAGTCTATTGTACAATGGGGAAGAGGAGCCCCCCCTGCCCCCCACACCCCCGCCAAGTATCAGACATTTAAAAGTGCTAGCACAGAAGGCAATGACAGTGGTATGTTCAGTGATATTGTGGAAGCATGCAGCTTCAGGGCAGATCTGTGGGAGCAGAGTGGAAACTGGTAACAAGGATGAAAAAATAATGGTTTCTGTCGATTAAGGAAGCAATCACAAGGACAGTGCCAACACCCTCAGGGGAGGTGGACACCTTGATATCTCCCAAGCAGTTTTAAGGTTCTTCTTTAAAAAAAAAAGACCCAAATGGCTTGTAAACTACTGGTGGAAGTGTGCACATGTGCTCCATGAGGTTGAAACACAAACTTTTTTTAATACTTGTCTGTCTCTGAAAGCAATATGGATTATCTCTTTTGGTTTGTGGAGAGTAGAATGAGGCTGATTCCTAAACCAGGAGTGTTCTAAGTGACCAACAACATGTTTAAATAACCTCTTTTAAGTGGCTAACATCTTGTCTCCCGGACACCATGGACAATCATCTTGCTGAGTTTGACTTGTTGATGGAAGGTGGGCAAAGAGGTGCCAAAGAAGGATGTAGTGGCACATCAGGTAACCCAATGATTGACAGAATTGTCACTATGGACTGTCATGGAAAAAGTGAAATATTCTGATTATGGCCAGGGTAGATGTGAAGAAAACTTATGATTCTGTGGATCACAGATGTCTTTGTGATATTATGGAATTCCACCACCTTCCCTACTGGCTCTGTAGAGTTATAACTCAATTAGTCCCCATTCCGGTTGGAACGCCAAGGTAATGGCTGTGACTATGGGTGGAATTGTTGGGTAGTATAATATTCAGTAGGTTTCTTCCTCAAAGTAATACCCTCTGTCCTCGTCTCTTTACAATGTGTTTACGTAAATCAAGTTGCAGGTTAGTTTCTGAGTGCAACTGAGGGGTATAGGTTACCCAGACCAGTAGGTACCAAGCTAACCCACCTGCTGTTTATTCGTGATCTCAGAGTGTACAGAACTGAATGGTTCTTCTGAAGCCAAGGTGGACACAGCTTAAAGATTTACCAACTCTGCGATGCAGGACATGGGTTTACATTAGAACCCCAAGGAATTCCATGTAATACACATCAGGAGTGCATGATGCAACACATCTCAGGCTAGATTAACCAGTACTCATTGAAAGTTTGAAGGCAGGGCCTACCTATGATTTCTAGGAGTATGCAAGATCATGGTGCAGAATGAAAAGTGGACCCTTGAACTCATGGCAAAGGCTTACCTGCAAAGGATGTCGGTAATTTGGTCAAGTCCTCTTTCTGATGTCAAGTGTGTTGCAGCTTCTAACCAGTTTGCTCTTCCTCTGCTTACCCACTTGATGTGGACCCAGAACTGGCCCATCACTAAGCCTAGATTGATTGACAGAGAGGTGAGAAAGATCATTTGCAAGAGTGGAGGTAAACACAACTCAGTTCCACAACTGTAATGTACCTTTCAAGATACAAGGGAGGGTGTGGTTTATGATCAGTTGTGCAGGATTGTAAACTCAATAAAATCAAGCCAGTGGTGAAACTGTATCAGAACCCAGATCCTCCATGAGAGCCATTCCGATGTTTGAAAAGAAAGCTATTGAGAAAGGGCTTTCATTGTGAGTCACAGAAGCAAATAAGTTCACAGAGGAGCTGGGGACAAGTCTCCTGTTGTGTATAGTAAAAGATACATGACTGAGGAGCGAAACTTTAAGAAGATTATATTACCACAGGGCGTGAAGGGTTGAAATTGTTACGGCTTTCTTATAACCAAAACACCCATTCTTTGAAAGAGGAATTTGGGCTAATGCTGGTAGCCACGCATCTGCAAGAAGCCAGGTGACTCAGGCTTCTCATCTACATAAAATATTTCTAAAATCATAGCATTTTAATCATTCAGAAACTTTTTTATGTGGCACACCTGTCACTTTATTCTTAGTTTCTGGGAAATTTTTCATAGCCCTTCCAAAAACCCACTGTTAAAAAATCATGCCCTTGCTCAAAATCATCATATAGTCAGCCTCTACCCTCCATTAATAAACAGCTTTCATTAACACAAGTACAAACTAAGACATCATCATTGATAGTTAGAGGACAGAAAGTCTCTCTCTCCGTAAGTTCTCTCGCCTTATCTCAACCATTAACCCAGCTGTATATGCTGCCAAAATTGTCAACATGCAATCAGTAGTAATGGTAACATCATTTCTCATGTTTTTTTGCAGCCTTTACAAGGACATTGACCTTATTTACGACAGGGAGAAGACCCCTATTGCCCCAGTTGCTATCAACAGCTTCTCAGGTAACATATGGCAAAGTGAGCCATAAAAAAAAATATAATAAAAAAGTATGCAAAATGTGTACCTTTTCAGCAGTCCCTACTCAAAGGGTGAGTTACTTCTGGTAGGTGGTCTATGCAGAGAGTTTCCCCTTCTAAATGGCACAGGGATTTAATTTGTAGGTTCTCTGGTGAGTGACTGAAAATCCTGAATCTTCAACCCTGACGCTATCCTAACACCTTCAGTCACATGTGGCACCTGCAAATTTTACCAAGCAAAAGGGGCATCTTATTTATTTATTTATTTGTAATTATTTCGTTTCATCAGGACCCTATTGAAGTAGGTTTCCTGAATAAAGATTGAATGTTATTTTTTTTTAATCACTCTCATAATGCACAAGAGTCAGAGAGCTATTTTGTGATATTGTGTCTTAAAAATTATGACTTGAAATTTTGCTGATGTAATTTGTTAGCTGTAGTCTCAAACATAGCCATTGCTAACTATTTCATGCAAATTACCTCTTTCTTTTTTTGTGGGGAGGAACATTGCATGATGACCCAAGATAGAGATTCATAGGAGATTGTGTAGATCAGACATTAATTTGATGAAAATCAATTGAGTCCTCTTTTAAGCCTGGAACAAAAACGGGAATAATGCAGAGTGGTTCAGGTAATTTTATAAAGAGGAATCATTCTTGTATCCTTGTAGGCACCACTTAGGTTTAATGACTGGGAGCTGTACAAAAACTTCTTCTGATCTCTCTGAAATTTCAGATTTCAAACATTAACATTATGGTATCCATTGTTAATATCAGAGAGTGATGTCTGTTCAAGCAGTTATAAGTCAAAAGCTTACAAAGGAGTTTAAGGTAAACACCCACGAGTATATTTGTAAAGATTTGTCATTTTGGATGTATTTGCAATAATATAACTTTATATGCAAACTGCTTTTTTCTTTCCAGCCAGTCTATCTAGATGTGATCAATGAGAGTTACATGCATAATGTTCCAAAAGGTAATGTTTCCATTACATGTTATATAAACATTTTTGATGATACGTTTTACATGTTCAGTTCATGATCAGTACATGTCTCTTGAAGAATAATAATACATTTTTAAAATTATTTTGTTACTAATAAACAACAAATCAAACTAAAAGTAAGCAATTCTGTATCTGTTATAGGTTCAGAAACACACTTCAAGGTTGTGGTTGTGTCAGAAAATTTCAATGATAAACCTCTGATACAGGTTTGGATATGTTACTGGTCAAAATTGTTATTAAGACAGGTTAAAAGTTTTAAACCCAGGTTGATTCTCCATTTCCCTCTGTCTTGTAGCCCTTATTCATGAATCATTAGGGCTAAAAGACAAAGGAAATTAAAAATTAACCTACCTGTAGGCTGAAAAATATAACCTGAATTTAACTTTAACCTTAACCTCCTCCTTGTTGAGCTGGTGCTACATGTTGCATTCAGGAAGCAATTTTGTGCTGAGGCCAATCTAGTGACCTTAAGGTTTGTTTAGAGCAAAAATATGCAAAAAATGGTACCGTCATTTCAGTGGAAATTCTAATGAATCTACTGAAAATTTGAGGAAAGAAAATCTTTCTCAGTTTGAATGCAATAGCTGATTAACACTAAGGTTGCTTAATAGCGTAGACCAAGCCAGTTAATGGGATTTCATTTTGTTTGGTGCACCCTGGCATAAAACGATGGTTAAGTGGCAAACACACCCCATAAAGTGCATACGTGACCCACTCTAAACTAAATAATGTAAACTGGGTGGCAGTGACACACCCTAGTAATGAGTGATGCTGTAAGATTGGTAGAAAAACATCCAGCACGGTATTGGAAGAGGTTTCTTATGTGGTTTGTGCCCCAATCAGGAATGAGTAAACTAAAGGTGGGGTGGGAACCCCACCCTTTCTGCTAAAAGTTCAGATAACAGTGGCAGGTGTGCATCCTAATATGTCCCAAATGAAGCCTGTAATGTGCTTGCAATGTCCTTGTATGTCCCTTGAACTGAGGCGCTTCAGGCAGCTAACACACTAGGAACAGAAGGTGGAGTTCTTATCTTGAGGGTATACTTACTCGAGAGATGTTGGAAAAAGGTGTGGAAAGTATGGTGACCTTTATGGTGACCTGTTAAATCATACCATTGTTACACGGCGTACACCATATTATATGCAGGTCGAAGATAAATTAATGGAAAATAATGCTCGCATTTGGAAATAATCTGTTGATACAGTGGAACCTCGCTCTTTGGACACCTGCTAATATGGACACCTGGATATAATGGACAGTTCCTTTTGTTAATTTTCTGTAAAATTAACCTGCTAGACACTATATGGCATGCCCTATCAGTGTCTGTATTAACTGGGTTCCACTGTTTTATTTATATCTAATACGTATAAAGCTTTCATAAACCTTGGAATGTTGTCAAATGAAGGGAAAAAACTGATTTGCTGTGTTAGTTTCTCTCCTCCTTGAAATCCTTAATTTTCGCCTGCAAAAATCACTAGAAAATTTGTATACATGTGTCCAGCGGTTTCTCACCACTACAGCCATCAAGGGGCCTCATAACTAAAGCTCCTGTGTAATCTAAACACATTCTCAATCAAAATTGTTGGGACACTTTACTGTCTTCTTACTCTCCCAATGTTAGTGTACAAGATTTGGTGAGCCAAGTGCGATAAATATCATCAGGAGGATGAGGAGACAGGCCAAGAGTAAAAAAAAAGCATTCAGTTGAAGTGTCCCAACCATTTTTGTCTGAGACTGCAGTTTTTTTTGAAAGAACTTATGACTTATATTCACGAGTTTAAATGAAATGTCACTTTGTGAGTCAAATTTTATCAACAGAGGCACCGGATGGTCAATGAAACATTGAAAGAAGAGCTGGCAACTGGTGTACATGCCTTGTCAATTCAGGTAATAAGATAAGTATTATAAACTGAATTGATAGCTTTTTGTGCCAACATGAAAACATCTGGTATAGTATGAACAGCAACAGCACAAACTCCAATAAGTTATTTGCACATATTGAGCACCATATGGGAGTGGTTGTCCAAGAGGTTTGGGTGCACTAAATAACCAATCTTCATTTCTGAATATTTACTAGTAATTCAAGTGTCTCAGTGGGTTCCATTCCTCACTTCTACTCTTTTACTTCTGCTACAGCCTGAATTCCTGTTCACACCGTGACAAAGATTGGTAGAAACCAGTATCTAGTATAGTAGTACATGATGATCCACTTTCAGGATCAGTCTGGTACAGCTTTACCCACTAACAGAATCGTGTCAGAATCACTGTTATTATGTGTAAACAGAAGCCCTATCTGATGTGGTTTTCCAGTTGGCACTATACACTGTAGCTACCTGGTATAGTGTAATGTTAGCCTGAGTAGCTTGACAGAATGTAAGGCTGGCTAGCTAGAATGATTTACTTAACTGACTCACTGATTGACTTGTAATGACTGAGTGACTGAAATGACTGCAGGTCCAATTTTCTTTGACTAGTTGACAGGGTGCTGACATGACTGACTACCTCCAAACAGGTTATTATGCAGGTCATGCATGAGAGTCTGTTCGTTCACTATAGGGGACCCTAGATTATTCATATCTCTCCCTACTCATGATAAAACTGCAAGATGTCACAAAGTTTGTCATAAATGGTGTTGTAATTTTATCATAATTCTTAGCGTTGAAATGCTTTTAGTTAGGGGAGCTAGCGTGGCCAAGCAGTTAGGGTGCTGCACTTGTAATTGGGAGGCGCTGAGTTCAAGTCCAGCCCTGACCGCCGTTAGCTGGATTTGTTTTTGGTGGTGCCGAGCTCAAATTCTTGGCCATGCTTGTAAAATAGCCGATTGGTTTGCTTTGTAGCAGCTGGGATTCTTAACTTTGTTATGTTCCATTTTGATTATTTGTTTCATTATCCATGAAAAGCCCCAAAGAGGGGAGGATAAGTAAGGTTTACACATTTTTTAACAATTTCATTAAGTTTGAGACTGTAAAGCTTTATTTAGTCTGTTACAGTATTATTTTTTTTTGGATTGTGAAGCACATTTAATTGTAACAACATGGAGTGACTTAACTGACCAGTTGACATGAATTACTGACTAAACTGCTTGACTGATCAATCCACACTCTATGATTGCATGGTTGTCTGAGTTAGTGATTGACTTATTAAAATAATTTGTTTGACTGAAAACATGACTGACTGACCACACATAGGAATACCTTACAGAAGACTGCTCTACTTGCTAAATGAATAAGAAATAGTGTGTAGAATCAAACTCCAGTCGTTATACATCTTTCAGGCCAAGACTCCAGGACAATGGGAATCAAGTGAAAAAATAGTGACCAAGTCTCCACCATGCTTAGGCGGCAGTGCCAGATAACAACATTGGGAGCCCATACAAATAAGGACTATTCGTCTCGGGGATTATTCAACAATATTAACTTTACCATTATTATTTTCAGCCATTTTGATATTCATAAAAGACATAGTGCAACCTACATTGAAGGCCTACTTTACCGAGCTCTTTTCTACTTGACTGTGGGGTGAGGGATTGAATGCTAGGGAAGCAAGTCATGTAGGGAGACACAAAAGGGAAGAAAAAATAATGACCGCTACGTTTCATTTTCTTCTTTTCCCAGTACTCACTATGCCTCCATGGAATGGAGCCTGTAAATAGCACTACATTTTCATGACTCCCTTGTAAGAGGGCTCAATGCACTTCTCCCCTCCAAACTCAAACTCTCATGGCGTTTTTACAGATTAGCTCAACAGATGACTGACCCCTCATTTGTAAATTGGCTACTTCTATTTTTTAATTTGTATTTTCACTAATAAATAACTTAATGGTCAAGTACTCTGTTAGTAAATATAGTCTAGTGTTAAGTTCTTCACACTTTACAGGTCAAAATAATTTTATTACAGTGTAAAAATTCTGTTGAATGAAATAAAAAACATCTGTTTCAGCCTTGATGCCTTCCAACTGTTGTGGTGAAGAATGGCATGATATTGTCTCTAATCTTTGTATGTATGTGAATAATAATAATAATAATAATAATAATAATAATAATAATAATAATAATAAGGAAAGAGATAAATGCTGCAAGCCTTGGTATCCTTTACATTTAAGCTTAGATTCCTGTGTGCCAGGCTTTATGTAAAATCAATGTAAAGTCTCTTCATTCCACATTCACAACAAAACTTGGCATTTTCCACTGGGTATTTGGTTCCACACTCGTGACAGAATTTAGACAATTTCCTGCCAGCACTTCCTTCCCTTTGCTGACCACGATTGGGCTTGGGTGGTCTCTCTCTGGATGCAAATGGGATGTGGTCTGTAGGGGGTGAGGGACTGCTGTGACTGTCCAGTCCAAAATCATCAAACAGGGTTGGGCTTGGATCTCTTATTGCAATGTGCCTATGTAGAAAATCAATGTTAAAAATTGGTCACCAGTTAAAAGGGTGTTGGTTTTGTTTGAATCTCTTAGCAGGAGTCTATCCATTTGTGTGGTTCTGGAGCCTAAATCCTTTAGAATGTCAATTCAAAGTGTTGGGGATGTCTTTAACCCATTAACCCCTAGAAATTTTGCTCACAAAAATTCCATTTTAAGCTAATTGACATATTTTCTGGTCACTATTTGGCCAAATAATTATGGGAAACTGCCAAGAATGTTGATTACAAGTCAACCAATAAGTTGGCTTTTTATCGGAATTTTCTGGTCAACAGTTTGTGATGTTCATTTTACTTACTTTTCTCTTACCTGTCTGAATGAATTGTACTTATTTGTGTATGGTTCAAATCTTGCCCTCTTGCAGAAGTTAAATTAATTTTGTCCATGATGATTTTAAATAATTGCTGATATCACAAGGGGCACAAAGGAAATGGATCTAAGCAAGGCAAGGGGTTATGGGTGGTTGTGAAGTGAATGGGCTAATTTCAAGGGTGTATGTCATAAAATCGGTAAATAAATAAGATATTCCTGCCATGGGATCCTTTACTGGGGCCTTCATACTAGTGGTAACTGGTTTGTACGAATCCTGGTAACTCGGGAGTATTATCATATTCTGTTACTGCAGTCCTGGACAGACATGAGAATTGCCTTTGCCTGTCAACCATGTCTTTACCTCAATCTGTTATTTCAAGTTTATTTCAAGTATCAATCAACAACATTATTAATAACATTGGATGGAAACCTTAACCGATTCACTCCTCGCTTTCCAGCCAGAACGAACCACAACTGCCCAAACTAACAGCTTCCAAAGTTTGGGCATGTGTACTTTTCGCTCTGTTGTTTCCTTTTGCTGGACATTTACTAGGCTTTATTTCGGTTAGAAACGTACCGTAAACCCTCTATTAAACCCCCCTCTCTAATAAGCCCTCCCTTTTCAGAGGAAGAAAGGTAATAAGCCCCCCCCTCTCTTTTAAGCCCCGCCTCCCCTCCTTCTTCTTATTATTCACTAATAAATGATAGGCTGTATTAATCAATCACGAATGTTAAACTTCGTGTGGACTTAGGATGCTTTTTTCAGCAGCTGGAAGTTTTGATTAACTTTGGATCCTCAGTTGCATTACCTCCAACTTCTCATTCTTGAGATTTTCCACTTTGCACTCTACGTCTTTATGGTGAACTGATACCATTGTCTGTGCGAAATCAAATAAGCCTCCCCCTTAAATGTGTTTGAAATAAATAAGCCCCGGGGGCCTCAATAGAGGATTTACGGTATTTGGGGAAACTCTTAGGATCGTAGGAATAGATGGAATAAGGTGCAGGTGGGTAGCAGGATTGGATTTTCATTGGAATTTTCTGGTCAACTTCACGATTTTTTTTAACGTTTTCCTCCGGCATGTAATAATATATAGCGCCTTTCTCTTAGTGATCCAAAGCGCTTTACAATCAGCAAATACTTAGAAAACAAATAACAGGATTAAAAACCCCAACTGGCAGGAGGCAACCAATTGGCTATTTTACAAGCGTGGCTGAGGATTTGAACTCGGGACGACCGAGAACAAATCCAGCAAGTGGCCAGAGCGGGACTCGAACCCGGGACCGCCGGATTGCGAGTCCGACGAGCTGACCACTCGGTCACGCTGCCTCCCTCTATGTTCGACGTAATCGTGCACATTTGGGTATGGTTTGAAAGATCTTCCCCCTATGCACATGTTAATACGTGAAAGTTGTCTAAGATCGTTAAAACTAAAGATGTCACAAGCGGGTACAAGGGACGTGGATACGCATGAGCAGTTAAAGGCAGTTAAAAGGTGAATGGCTTAAATAACTGAAGAATTGTTCACGTCTTTTTGAGTGATGAAATTTGGAAAGAGGGTGCATGCGAAAAACTTGTAAAAGCGTGTAATTTGTGTTTTTACCTGTTTTTTCGACCTGATGATGAGGATGATGACATTCTATCAGACGTGTCTGAGTAGTCTGATGTGGGCCGTGAATATCTTGAACCAGACCCCACCCTCGCTCCACTCTTATTACCAGTGGTGCCATTTGATTGGCTGGATCTGCGTCCATATCTAGCCTCTCTTGTTTGTACTGCAGGTGATGTTTCTTCATCAGAATCAAACAGATCACTATTCAGCCTTTCATTACTTCTTGTTCTGCCATAAAATGTTCCTGCAAGAAAACATTATGCCCTATAAGATACTATTTTTGTAACAGGGTACTCTTTCAAGTTTTCCTATCACCAAAGATTTAAGCTCTGTGCACACCATAACTGACAGCTTTTGCCCTGCCACGAAAATCATACAGGATTGGGCTTCTGTTCAGACACAAACATAGTTATGGAGGTGCGATTTCTGTGACAGCAAGCAAAGTTACGCTGCGCCAATCTCTAAAGCGGAGAGTCACATATCGGATAGGTGTTCATATTATAGCAGATCAGTAGCTTTTCGTGATGCCACAAAAAGCTATCCAGTATAGTATGAACATAGCCTTGGTCTTTTATCTCAAACTGCTCTAAGTCAATGATGGTACTGACTTGCTAAAAAGGTGCAGGATTTTGAGGAGCCCAAACAGAAATGTTCTGGTAAATTACTTGTGACTGATACATAATATAAGTTACATCACCCGTAATCAAAGCCAATCCATAATAATGTAGTTGAGAATACCAGGTAAATTTTTTCAAAAAATTGTGAATGGGTGACCATTCAGTTTTCAAACACAGCTCTGATTAATAACCACACTGAGCAAGGCTGGCTGCTCAGTCAGCAGTCACATTGGGGAGGAACAGAATAAGGACGACGGAGAAATCACCAAAACAGGTAGGGAGCGGGAGAAATCTTTGCTAAAGAGCTGGGAGGAGGGATAAAATAAAATGCTGGGAGTCGGGGAGATGAATAAGTGATTTTGTTTGTTGTTGTTTTTTTAACGTGCATGATGGCAGGAGTATGTTGCCCCGTCCTTTGTCCCTGGAGAAATGGCTACTTTCAAAAGACAATACGAATGTCAAGATCCTAGGACGCGATGGCGGCGAAAAAGTCGCTTAAAAGATCAATTTGCGTTCTTCCAGTCTTAATCACGATCATTCTAACTTGCTTACTAGGTCTAATATAGGTGAATCCTTCTGGAGTTGAAATCTTGGGGACATTATCTAAATTCAGAATGAGAATAAAATTTCGTCGTCGCTTGTTTACGTTCTACATAAAATGTAAAATTAGGCAATTTCGTTTGACGTTCTCATCGCCATCGCGTCATCGGATCTTAAAGTCCCAAATAAGGAAGGCACTAACAATCTAACACATTGCATATGTTGAGGAACACCATCTAGTAAGGCAAACATTATAGCTTGGGCCTGCACTAGTCTACCCTCTACACCTAACATCTTACATCATCATACAGATTTCAGAGAGGTACAAGTAAACATTTTTACTGGCAATGGCATTTGCCGAGATCAATCATCACTGACGGTAATTCATGCACCACTCTTTTTGTCTGCGACAAAGAATGCAAATGCTATTTATCCTATAAACCAGAGTAAAGACTCTTCATTCCGCACAAACAAAAAAAATAATAATAAAAACAGCCTCATCAATAGCATAATGACTTTGGAGTACACTGCGATGAGACGAACATGGAAGCTGCTAGTGCATTGCCTTTCACACAGTGCAGTACAATTTTACTGCAAATCATCACTTGTTGGGTTTTTCTAGCAAGTGTTTGGATGATCTCTCGGTAAATCATCAAGAGAAGCCCCTGACTCCTTGCAGATGACTGGTCAATCACTGAGAGACACCATTACTGAACTCTCTGTTCCGGAGATTGAGCTTAAACGTATTTCGAAGGCATTAACAACAAGTACAGTAGCAAATGAGAATCTCGCGCGGGACTTGGGAGTTCATAATTAAGATTTAATAAGTGGGTTGTCTACACTTTGCAATAAATTTTCCGTCTATTAGGGTTGAAGTTTATTATGAAGAAAATTATGAATCTTATCCCCTTCTTGTTTTATACTTGCCCAGAATCAAATTACAAAATTCCACAAGATTTCATTATCTTTGAGAATATGCCATCTATATATCGCTAAGCCAAGTCAAGTACCCCTACCCCAACAAGAAATAGCCAAGCTAAACAACTACAAGGAGAGCTTGCTGGAAGCTGTACACGTCATGGTGTGACCTTCTCTGACTCGTAGCAATACAACAACGCATAAATTCCCCACACTACCCAATGGCTTTTGCAACTCAGAGCCACCCCCAAATGTGATTTTTCTGTCTCGTTTTACTTTCACAGAAGACACGCCAACACCCAGGCTACAAAGAGGAAAGTAATCTTCTACAACGGCTCTGTATTAATTTTGTAACAACTGGGGAAGAAGAACATGTTAATTGTCACAAAATTAATGCAGTTGTTCATGAAGGCATGAACAGTATCTGAAGTAGTCTTCACGCAAGACTGCCTATAGTTCAACTGATGAGGTACTGAAACTGTGAACCATGAATTCTGAAAACTTTGTTTCCCACTTTTTTCAATATGAGCAAGGATATTCTTGATGGTATCACACTAAATGAAAGTAGTCAGCAGGTCCAATAGAAACATAAATTGACAGAGGTACCAACAAAGATTTGGTGCCAGAAATTGGAAGCGATAACAATGATGACGTGCCAGAACAAATTGCCCGCCACAAGTTACCTGGATGCTTGCTTAAGGTTATAAAAGAATAGAGGAAGAAGATAAATCATCTCTTTGCCCCGCAAATGGCGAGACCTTTGGCTGTAATTGCCTCAACTTCTTCAACGCAGTCGTCATCATCCATGAGCTTTGTCACATCCTACACAATGGCAGGTACTCTTGTTGTTCCCTCGCTTATTTCCACCTAAGACTTAAGACTTCTTTAGTTTTCCATCTTCCCGCCACTTCCATCAACAATTTGTCTATTGCACTTGGGGGCTCTTGTAACAGGCTCGTAGTTGATTCCTCTGCACTCCCTCCCTTCAGAGTGTTCGTGGTAGGACCAGGGTACGCTCCAGTCCCATACAAGCTGGTGAAAATAATTACAGGGAGGGGGGGAAAGGGGAAGCTCTTTGTATACCTGGCAGATTTATTACCTTATTACAATATAAATGCTCAAGAGATCCAGGCCCACACGTTTTTGGAGGGAAAACTATTGATTTCAGGCATCCCATGGGAAAAGGCCTTCACCATCCGTTGCATCAGTGTTTCATTCCCTTCTTGCCGGAAAGAGTAGATTCACATAGCAAAACGCTTCTCTCACAAGTCTTGGCTCCAGTGCAACATAGCGTTCAGGAAAGAATGTCAGCTACAGAATGCACGGACTGGTCTTGCATCAATCCAGATCTCTATAATTTTCACACAGCTCATCAGGTTCCACAACATTTTTTGCCATAGCACCGGCAGAGCCTCCAGTGTCTACTGGTAACCCTCAGTCCAGCCAGCAGAGCCACTCTTGGAACGGCCCTTTGCTTGCTGCAGGTTTCGTGACTCCTCTGCTGGACCATCCACGCATCCGTTGCCCCCCGCCACCATTCCCAGTCTCTATCACAGTCAAAAGGCGGGTTTCGCCATTGTTAGGCCTCCTAGTCCAGCCACATATTCTGTAAATAGTTTTGATTCTGTTCCCGTTGGTTCATCGGTTGATAATTTATTAATTTACTCTTTACTGTTGCATTCTTTTCTTCCAGTTTCTCAGCAGAGAGGCCTGCCAGTTTCCCTTTTCCCCCACTTATGGCATCCCGCAGTGGGATCTCTTCCGATACCAGTTCCATAGCTCACTCCCATTGTTGTGAACTCCATCATCACCCTAAACTTAGGACTTAAGACTTAGGCAGGATTCATCATTTTTCAAGGTCAAGGACAGTTTTGCCTGCTAACTTGTGCAGAGTGAAGAGATCTCTCTATCCATACCAGAATGAGCACGATTCAGTCAAGACAACATTGACATTGACCTGAAAATTTCCATGAAATCATGTTCCACTACCCACCTACCTTTCCTTTCACACAATTCTAAGATAATCCTACTAAATGCCCAGCAAACAAAAAAACAAAAAGGGGTAAGAAAAGTGAAAAAAGTGGGAAGGATCAACCCGAGAGATAGCGGAAAGTAAAGTAAAAATCAAGACTGCTGTAAATGTGTCACTATTAAACCCAAAACTTATCTCAAAATTTAGCTTTCTGCCCATGCCCAAACTCCGCAAGCTAATATTTTGCATCTAGATCAGAAGGCCACATTAGCGAACGACCTGTAAATGGTTTTGTGGTAAGTTTTAGTTCTTTTTAGTAAGGAAGTGACCAGAACACCAATCAACAAGCTTCAAAACGCGTTTTTCGGCAAGATTTACAGGGGCAAGTCAATGTTATTTTTTGTTCCATTCAGTTTGTGGCCGCTCTCATTGTTTGCCTTTTGTAAATTTCAAGAAACAGCTCCTTTAGTTACTTTTTTTTTCTGCTTACTTCTTGTTCCATTAATTTCTCTGTTTCTCTGTGCTGAAGGTGAGTTATGGACCTTACCATATGATGCAGGACTGTTACTTCTTGCCTGTTTTCTCCGAGCACTCGGTGATGCCAGAGGTTGTCTGCCATGACCTGATCCAAGACTTACACCTGTGCATAAATTGAAAATGACAAATAATTTTTGGCAAAAAATTCCAACAACTGGCAATAAAACTCTCGAGTCACTGTCCTAAAATTTGGTAATTTCAGAGAATAAAACAATCCACACCCCTCTATTTCCCCCTCCATTCAAAGTTGTCGTGTATATTGTTTCCTTCAGGAAGATTGAACAGCGGCACAACATTGCATGGAAGAGTTGAGGGATAAACTGTTCCAGGTGTTCAGATAGTAGAGTGCAGTGTGAATCTCTTCGCGTTGTCCCCATGATCTGAACGTCTGGAACAGGCTAGTGGGGGGAGAGGAAAGCTTCATTTTCCCCTTTTGAAGGTATCAAACATCCGAGAGGCCCTTTAGGAAGTATCTCAACTAATATTGTAACTGATTGTAGCTATTTTCTTAGCTACGGGTTTAATCAGCCCTACTATGTCCTAAGTTAAATTATATCATTCAGTCATTCAACCATGTCCATCAATTTAACACACTTATCAGGCAACTGTTTAGAGGAACTGTTTCATAGGCCTCTGCCTCTTGAACAGTTAAGCCCCAAAATATACATTTTTTTTCAAACTTTTTGCTTAAACAAGTTATTTAATGTGTTATTCCTCTGGAAGCTGGTCCTTGAAAATTGTTGTTTAGTTTTTGGGAAAGGTCTTGTTAGGAATTTCACATAAATCAATATTTCTCACCAGTACTTAGACCAGGAGATGAATATTCAGATGTTGTCTTTGAAGATGTCAGTCTGGATTTTGCTGCTGATGATATGGGCATGGCTGCTGCTGTGCTGCTCTTCTTGCCAGGAAGTGGTGGTTTATACTAAAAAATACAACACACTTTGTTATTAATCCCCAAGTGAAAAAGTACGACAGTTTGTTAACGCAGTGGATCCTGATCACTCAACAGCTACTGTTATCGCAACATCTGATTGCTCAGTCAAGGCAATGTTACCAGGTACATTATTTAAAAAGACAAGTTTTAGCGTAAAATAGCATTAAAACAAACTTACAACATTGATTGGCACTGTTTCAACAATATTGCCATAACAATTGTCATTCCAACTCGTTTTGGGTAAGCAAAATGTTTAGGAATGAACTTGCTTTATTTTTTTTAGTAATTCGATTACGACTGTGAGATGGACGCATTTTTAGGCTGACAACTTACATGGCTTGCTGACATGGGCATAATTGTTAATTTACTATTAAAAACCAGAATGGACATAACGTACGGTTATTGATTAGAGCTGGATTCCGAGCTGATTTTTTTGCAACATCCAGAACTCTTGACCATATCTATAATTGGCTTATCAAGGTAATTATAAGGCGGAATAAAATGGCAACAAACGTGGAACATGGCTGTACTAAGCGTACTAATGTACTAAGACCGAATAGAACACTGAACATAGAACACGGCCATACTGGCCGTACTAACATGACTAAGGCGGAATAAAATACCAACATACATAGAACATGGCCGTACTAAGGGTACTAACGTGACTAGGGTGGAATAAAATACCAACATACACCGTAGAAGATGGCCGTACTAAGCGACCAAAAAAACATACTAACATACATAGAACGTGGCCGTACTATTCGTACCAACATACTAAGACCGAATAAAATACCACCATAAATAGAACATGGCTGCACTAAGCTACCAAAATACTAAGACCGAATAAAAAACCAACATGACGTATTTCCTCGAACAACAGCTGTCCCTCGATTAATCGCCTCCATTGAATAATCACTCCCCTTTGATGGTAATATTTAAGATAATTGCCCCCCCCCGCCACCCCTCTCGCCACCTTCTGTTTCTTTTATCCCGTCTCTGTCAAGTTGAAGTGGAATCTGATCTACCAAAACTGATCAGTGACAATTCAAGCTCTAAAAATTAATCAAGGAACCAAATTTGGAACACTTTAAAAGCCCATGTTCAGTTTATTTGATGTGATAATTTTTTTATTTATCGGGATAATAAAACAAAATATTTAGGGCACCACTTCTAGTGACCAATATTTGAAATAATCGCCTCCCTCGAATAATCATCCGCTCCCTTTTGATGCGAAAAAGTAAATAATCGCCCCGCTTATGCACCAGTCAATTGAAACCCCCACCCCCCAGGTCCCGGGGAAGGGTGGGGGAAAATAGGGGCATCGAATCACTTTTGAACAACAAGCTGTCCCCTGGGGGTGGTGCATTTGACTGTTTTCGACCGCGGTTCCCGTCCCCACCTCGGGCAAGAGTGGAACTGGGCACTAGTACTTCACATGGAACTTCCAAGATGGCGGAAGGCGAAAGAAAGGTACGTAACAGTGGTTTGAATCCACGCATATCATGCTTTTACTTTACCATCCACTGCAATTGATATTCAATCTGAATCAAGTAATTTGTTTTCTATTGTTTGGATGTATTATTTACATTTAATTTCCATTGAAATTCAAATGGTATGCATGGGTAATGATGCGGAAAGGTCAGGTCATGAGCTGTTCTCTTCTTTGATTTCCTACAGGTTTTATTTCAATACGAAGAAAGCCGTAAGGTTCTTGACCTTCATCAAAATGAAGATGTTGCTGTAAAAGTTAAAGAGTGTTTTAGCCTGGACAGTGAAGCACGGATAATTTTCCAAAAGTATGAAGAAGACTGGGGGGAGTGGGTCGATGTTACCGTTCAAAACATTGAACACAAGGATAAAATCCAAGTGCATGTTTTGCAGTCGAAGCCACCTCCAAATGTTTCACAACCTACATCCGTCGATCAGGTATGTCTGCACTGATTTATGTTTATAATACTTTAGTTTTTGAAAAAGTTTTTGGAACTGATCTGTTTGCAAACCCTAATTGTTTTTGCTTTTTTTTTTTGCACAGCCCAAAGATTCCCTGCACACAACAAGAAATGAGAAGGGAAGTGTTAAAGGTAAACAAACTTGTCATTTGTTTGATTATTATTCTTGCCAAATAATAGTAGGATAAAACAAAAATCTGAAAAAATGTGGTCTATATTTCACATGTGATAGCAAATTGTGCATCACATTTACTTTAAGGTGCAGATACCTTATAAATGAAGTACTATAATTGACTAAGAATATATATTACAATGACCAAATATTTTAATACTTGTCTACTAAAGAAGCTGTTCTTCTGACAGTATGTCTTGAATATTTACTTTAATTTTAAATAAGAAAAATGAAGTTGAATCTTTTGATACTCCAATTATAGTGTTCATATTGTGAATTTTGTGAATAAATTTCAAATTTCTACAAAAAACCGCCCCTCGTATCTTACCTTCAACAGAAACCAAAGACAAACCAACGAATCTTGCCTTTTGTCACACAATACCAACCATCAGTGCCAAACCTAAAGCAAATTCTCATGAAAAACTGGCATTTAATAGAGCAACAACCATTACTGAGCGAAATCTACAAAAAACCGCCCCTCGTATCTTATAAAAGAGGGCGGTCGCTCAAAGACATACTCGTGAGAGCCAAACTATAGAAAGGCTGTTTTAAACACGCGCTGGGGAGTCGTGTAGGCCTGTCAACCCCATTTTACACTGACTCGTGGTGTATTTGTGGAGGGCCAGAGTGTGGAGACATGATTGCCTGTGAACATAAAGACTGTCCCATAGAGTGGTTCCATTTTCAGTGTGTGGGGCTTTCAACAGCACCAAGTGGAGAGTGGATTTGCGCACAGTGCAAGGTTGCAGCCATGGAGAATTCACCTCAGTAGACAGTTTAAGGTATTAAATTTCTAAAAAACTGAACTTGAGCCAAATAAACGGAGTTTGTGTGATAATATATACAGTGTATTTCAAATTTCACTAATTTGCAGTCTATTAAATACATGTAATGAGATGGTCATGACCAATAATGAAATACAGCATGCTTTTCCTTCGTTTAATAGTTGAACAAACTGTATGAGAGTGTGATTAGCATTTTAATCAAAGCTGCACAAACCTGGAAGAAGAACATTATTAAATTTTCCCATGTAAATGTAGGTCTTGCACGTTCTTTTCTTAGAACTTTTGATAGTATCAGCTTTCTTGCCCCAGGGGTAGTGGCGTTTGATCTGAACTCCAGCCTCAGAGGGTAGGGATATTGATGCCTTTTGACCAGAGCCTATGTCAAATCCCCCACCCTTTCCCGGGACCCGGGGGGTGGGGGTTTCAATTGACTGGTGCATTATTATTCAAGGAAATATGGTACATGGAACATGGCCGTACTAAGCGTATCAATGTACTAAAGACCAAATAAAATACCAACATAAAAAGAATATGGCCGTACCATTTGTACTAACGTACTAATACCCCGCCAAAATACCAAAATATACATAGAACATGGCTGTACTAAGACCAAATAAAATAACAACATACATAGAACACGGCCGTGCTGACGTACTAAGACTGAATAAAATACTAACATACAAGAACATGGCTGTACTAAGCGAACTAGCGAGCGTACTAAACCCAATAAAATACCAACATTCATAGAACATGGTCGTACTAAGCGTACTAGCACTAAGACCAAATAAAATACCAACGTACATAGAACATGGCCGTATTAAGCGTACTAACGTTCAAAAGCCGAATAAAATGCCAACGTTTTGAAAACATCGCCGTATTTAGCGTATGAATAACATATGTTAAAGGCTGGAAAATGCTAACATATGGCCGCGCTAACAATACATTTCTCTGTCGTACTCTGTTATAACACTTGTCGCACTTTGTACTAAAATAAGCTGTCGCACTTTGTAATGAACTTGAAATGTAGGATCGGACGACAAGTACCCAATAATAAGTATCACAACAACAACTTAGTGCAGATTGGTGCAACTTGGTACACATTGGTGCACTTTAGTGCAACTTGGCGCAGTTTGGTGTAACTTGGTGCAGATTGATGTAGTTTGGTGCAGCTTGGGGCAACATGCTGGAGACTGGTGTAGTTTGGTACAACTTGGTGCAGTTTGGTGCAACTTGGTGGAGTCTGCTGCCCTTTGGTGTAGTCTGGTGCAACTTTGTGCAGACTGGTCCAGTTTGATGCAACTTGGTGTAATTTGGTGCATATTGGTGCAGTTTGCTGCATTTTGGTGTTGTTGGGTACAAATTGGTGCAGATTGGTGCACTTTGTTGCAGATTGGTGCAACTTGGTGCAATGTACTGCAGATTGGTGCAGTTTGCTGAATGTTGGTGCATGGCACTTTGGTGCAGATTGGTGCAGTTTAGTGCAGGTTGGTTCAGATTGGTGCAACTTGGTGCAGTTTGTTGTCCTTTGGTGTAGTTTGCTGCAACTTAGTGCGGATTGGTGCAGTTGGTGCAACTTGGTGCAGACTTGGTGCCCTTTAGTGCAGATTGGTGCAGTTTGGTGGAACTTGGTGCAGACTCGCGCAGTTTGATACAACTTGGTGCAGTTTGCTGCAATTTGGTGCCGATTGGTGCAACTTAGTGCAGATTGGTCCAACTTGGTGTAATTTCATGCAGACTGGTGCAGTTTCCTACATGTTGTAGTTTGGTGCAGATTGGCGTTGTTGGGTGCACATTGGCGCAGATTGGTGCACTTTGGTGCACATTGCTGCAACTCGGTGCAGGTTGCTGCAATGTTGGTTTACTGCACATTGGCACAGATTGGTGCAGATTGGAGCAACATGGTGCAGATTGGTGAACTTGGTGGAGTTTGCTGCACATTGGTGCACTTTGGTGCAAACTTGGTGCAATTTGGTGCAGATTTCTGCAGTTTAGTGCAGCTTGGTGAAGATTGGTGCAATTGGTGCAACTTAGTGCAGATTGGTGTAACTTGGTGCAGATTGGTGCAGTTTGGTGCAACTTGGGGCAGATTGGTGCAGTTTCCTGCTCTTTGGTGTAGTCTGGTGCAACTTTGTACAGATTGATGCAGTTTGGTGCAACTTGGTGTAATTTGATGCAGACTGGTGCTGTTTGCTGCATGTTGGTGTAGTTTGGTGCACATTGGTGTAGTTGGATGCACATTGGTGCAGATTGGTGCAATTTGCTGAATGTTGGTTTACTTTACTTTGGTGCAGATTGATGCAACTTGGTGCAGTTTGGAACAACTTCGTGAAGTTTGGTGCAGATTGGTGCAACTTAGGGCCCTTTTGTGCAGATTGGTGCAGTTTGGTGCAGATTCGTGCAGATTCGGGCAGTTAAGTGCAACTAGGGGAAACTTGGTGCAGACTAGTGCAGTTTGCTGCTCTTTGCTGTAGTCTGGTGCAACTTTGTGCATACTGGTGCAACTTGGTGTAATTTAGTGCAGACTGGTGCAGTTTGCTGCATTTTGGTGTAGTTTAGTGCAGATCGGTGTAGTTGGGTGCACATTGGTGCAACTTGGTGCAGATTGGTGCAATGTGGTGCAACATGGTGCAACTTGGTGCAGTTTGGAGCAACTTGGTGCCCTTTGGTGGAGATTGGTGCAGTTTGGTGGAACTTGGTGCAGACTGCTGCAGTTTGATACAACTTGGTGCAGTTTGCTGCAATTTGGTGCAACTTAGTGTAGATTGGTCCAACTTGGTGCAGATTGGTGCAGTTTGGTGCAACTTGGTGTAATTTGGTGCAGACTGGTGCAGTTTGCTACATGTTGTTGTAGTTTCGTGCAGATTGGCGTAGTTGGGTGCACGTTGATGCAACTTGGTGTAGATTTGTGGAATGTGGTGCAGATTGGTACAATTTACTGAATGTTGGTTTACCGCACATTGGCGCATATTGGTGCAGTTTGGTGCAACATGGTGCAGATTGGTTCAACTTGGTGCAGTTTGGAGAAACTTGGTAGAGTTTGGTGCAGATTGATGCAAATTGGTGCAGTATGGTCCAATTTGGCGCAGATTCGTGCAGTTTAGTGCGACTTGGTGAAGACTGGTGCAGTTTAGTGCGACTTAGTGCAGATTGATGCAACTTGGTGCAGTTTCCTGCCCTTTGGTGTAGTCTGGTGCAACTTTGTGCAGATTGGTGCAATTTGGTGCAGACTGGTGCAGTTTGCTGCATGCTGGTGTAGTTTGGTGCAGATTGGTGTAGTTGGGTGCATATTGGTGCACTTTGGTGCAACTTGGTGCAGATTGGTGCAGTTTGCTGAATGTTGGTTTACTTTACTTTGGCACAGATTGGTGCAGTTTTGACTTGCATGCTGGTGCAGTGCGAGTTGCAGATTGCAGATTGGTGTAGTTGGTGTGCATGCAATTTGGTGCAATTTGGTGCAACTGGTGCAGTTTGGTGCAGCTGGTGTTGTTGAATGTTGGTTAGTTTTACATTTGGCACAGATTGGTGCAAGTTGGTGCAGTTTTGAATGTTGGCACTTTGGCACAGATTGCAAACTTGGTGCAGTTTGGTGCAGTTTGGTGCACTTTAGTGCAAACTTGGTGCAGTTTGGTGCAACTTGGTGCCCTTTTGTGCAGATTGGTGCAGTTTGGTGCAATTTGGTGAAGACTGGTGCAGTTTGGTGCAACTTTGTGCAGATTGGTGCAGTGTGGTGCAACTTGGTGTAATTTGGTGCAGAGTGGTGCATTTTGCTGCAGGTTGGTGTAGTTTGGTGCAGATCGGTGTAGTTGGGTACACATTGGTGCACTTTGGTGCTCAATGGTGCAATGTGGTGCAGATTGTTGCAGTTTGCTGAATGTTGGTTTACTGTACGTTGGCGCAAATTGGTGCAGTTTGGTGCAACATGGTGCAGACTGGTGCAACTTGGTGCCCTTTTGTGCAGATTGGTGCAGTTTGGTGCAATTTGGTGCCGATTCGTGCAGTTGTATCACGTTATCCGGATTGGTCAATTAAGCCGCGATGTTATTGGTCATCTGTCAGTTACCAGTAAGCCCTGAAGTTGTTGGCTATGAAGACTCGTAATGTAATTGGTGCATTTCGATCCATCTATTTTCACAGTTTAACAGCCTTTTACTGTTGGTCAAACTGTCAGTTGTTCAGTCGTTCTCCTGTAGTTGGTTTTGACTAACAGTAAGCGACAGTTTAACTGTGGAAATAGATGGATCGAAACGTACTAATGACATTACAAGTCTTCATAGCCAATAACATCATGGCTTAGTGCAGTTTGGTGCAGATTGGTGCACGTTAGTGCAAACTTGGTGCAGTTTGACAGATGACCAATAACATCACCACTTAATTGGATGGCACACACCTAAACAAAATTGCATTATTTTATACCATGGGTAGTTATATGAGGATTGTTTAAAAGTCATTTAAAAAGAATTTTCTGCTTTGAGAAAACAAATAGTCACTGCTGTGAAGTGATTGATGACCTAATACTAAGGTTCTAGTGACAGCTTATTTTACCTCAGGCGTCAAGGCCAACATATGATATTGTTTACCACACTGTTACTTAGGGTTTGATTGTACACCCCAATAGTACTGTAAGTTCCTAAGTTGTTTGAAGAAGTCTTAAATGTTAATAAACTACACTAATTTTCTCATACCTGTGTTCGTTTAGCCAGACTTGAGGATTTTGCTGAAGAAGTGTTAGCAATGCGGCTTTTTTGTTCTTTACAAAATGGGATATGTCTCTCAGCAGCATGTTCATTGAATCGCCGACTGCAGTGAGGACACTGGACATAATCTGGATTTGCAGCTGGTGGTGGAGGGGGTGGAAGAGGTCCTCCAGTTTTTTGAGCAACAGTCACATTCCTTGCAGCTCGGATGTTGCTAATAAACTCTTCATGTTTGTCTCTCCAGTTTGACTAAAAGGGGAATCATTCCAGGTATAAAACAACATCAACAACAAAACAATAAGAAGACATGCCCACACCATACCTCTCTGAATACAAACATTTGTAACATGCACGTACACATTCTAACTATGCAAAAAGGCTGTCACAACTGCATAGGTCCCACGATCAAACTATTGGCTGAATTATACTAGGGACAATTTATTATCCGTCTAAGATGAATTATCTGTCTGAGATGGATAATTTGTCTAGGTGTCCAGACGAATTTTGGCCCTAAAATTTGTCTGCACTTGACTGACTTCTGCCACCACATCTTACAGATGTACTGACAGACAAGACTAATTTGGGGACAAAATTTATCTTGACACTGGATTTATGTCTAGACGATTTATCAGTCTCGCACTGATATTTTTCGTCTTAGATGGACAATCTTTCTCTAGTATAAACTTGACCATTAAAGGCCTTTTGCCATGATTGTCTAATAACTGGTAAAATACCTTTAACCCATTCTCCCCAAAACCTGCCCATAAACACCCTTGCAAATCCACATAAATCCATTCTAGTTTTTCTAACACTTGTGACATCATCAGTTTTAATGGTCAAGGATAACTTAGTCATCTAACTTGTGCAGGAGAAAGAGATGTTTCAAAACATACCAGAATGGAGCAGAGGTGCTCACACACCTATAACATTGTTTTGGGCAGTTTCAGCTAATTATACCCAGACAGTGACCACAAAACAGCTTACCTAACTTCAAAAGGCTTTTTTCAGCAAAACTGAATGTACCATGTGGGGAATTGAGAACTGGACATCCAGTGATTAGTTTGGTGTCCTGGCTGGTGCAAAATACTCTGGATATCAAGACCAGTATTAAAAACAGTTTTAAGAGAAAGTTACCCTGAGTTGATTACCTTCTTTGCCCGAGATTGTAACTCAGACTCAACTTTTGCAGATTTCTTTTTAAAATCTTTAGAGAGTTCTGCAGTTCTCTGCTTAGATGAATCAAATGGCTTTCTTTGTTTTTGCCCTTGACAAACTTTCTCATGTCGCCCCTACAGAGGCAAGAACATCAATAAGATACAACTATAAATAAACATCATATGGTACTTTTAGTTAAGAAATGAGATCTCCCCCTATAGACAGTTACAATAAGTGATGTTATCCCTGATTGCTTGATTGTTAGCACTATCAGTAAGATGTACATTATTAAATTATTATTACTGTCATCATTATCAATATTAGTCAAAATACACACAAGCTTTTCACAGAGATGTGTTTTAAAATTGAGCTTCAATAAAACACACTTCTCTTGCAAACTTGTTTCTGGAGCACAAATGTCATAAAGGAATGGCCCTTAATGCAAGATTATGTCAGACGAGCAAATTTCACCACCAACAATGGAAGTCAAAATTCTTAGGACAATTAACACGATCTGTCTAAATTTTTCTCCCTTTCCCCCTTGCCCCCCACCAATGTTGTAGTTTATGCATCCCTGTACACTTTACCCCGTCCTAAAAGTGTTTGTTTATCCCAACATTGTTTGTAGGGGGGACGGGAGGGCAATTCATAGTATCCAAACGGTTAGAGAAGTGTATAAATGACGCTACATGTGCATATTTGACAGGGCTTGAAATAACGGCCTGTCAAAGGACAATGTCTGGTCAAAAATAGGTTTGTCCGGTCAAATTCTTAGATGGCCGGACATTTTGTCCGCTCTTTTACGCTTCTAATGTAATTCGGACGTTCACTTTTTTAAGTATGATTGGTCAAGATTGGACATTACTGACATTCATGAAGCAAAAACGTGTGGGGGGGGGAGAGAAAAAGGCAACCAGATCAAGAACTTTCATAATGTAAACCATTCATAATACAGGGCCTCTGATAGGTTGCGGAAAAAAGTCAAATTTCGTGGGATTTTCAGAGACAAATTCGTGGAAAAAGCAGCCGATCTTGTGGAAAAATCTGAGACAAATTTCCTCGAAAAACGATTATTAAAATAAAGCCAATTTCGCAGAAATTTTCTTGGCAAGTTTCACTAGAAAGCGATCGGTTTTGCACTGATTTCATGAATGTGTTTAATGAAACAAAACAGCAATTTTGTCAATTTTTAATTTTTTTTTTGGGGGGGGGGGATGATGAGTGTTAGCCTGTGCAATAGCAACAACAACAGAAACATCAACTACTAATGCTGTCTTTTTAAAACCGCTGATTTTGCGCTTAAAACCCCCGCTTGCTTTGCAACCTCATTTGGACTTGGTATTGTCTCGCACAAGGTTTTTTTTTATAAGAGATCATCATTTGCTCTTTTAACAACAATGAGCTCAGAAATGCGCCAATGGCAAAGTGTTTTATAGCATGCACTAGCCAGTGCCCAGTTTTTTGCAATAATAATCTGGAGCAGCTGGTAGTTTTGGGACATTTTCTCATTGCAGTAACGAAGTTTCAAGATAAATTTGCAAGTTTATGGCAAAAACAGCCCCATTAGCAGAGATAAGTCTCAAATATGTTGAACTTTCAGAAGCCCAGCGCAGCAGGGCAGTAACAGTGGTTTTTCATTTTCCGGGAGTTGCAAGTTAAAAACTTATTGCTTTGTCCTCTATAAAGTTGTCACCGCAAATTCGGGAGTAGTGTGTATAGTATTGTAAAGTATTTTTATAATAGTCCGCATGTATTTTACTGTAAAGTGCCATCAGATAATTCCAAATGAAAGACAAATTTTTGTGCGGCCAAAAACAGGTTGTGTCCAAGCAAAAATAGGTTTGACCGGACAACTTGACTGGCGCCAGCCAGGAAATTATTTCTAGCCCTGTTTGATATGTTATGGATGTGGAAGGAAGGTTTTCAATAACCATTCCAAGGATTTTTGTCCTCCATAAAGCCGCATTTGCAACGAAAATGATCTGCATTTACACTCTTTGTGCGTGGATATTCTTTTCAAATTTACTGCCTTGGGAATTCTTTTATGCAGAATTTTACAACTTTGTTTCTAATCTTTAACATGTCGCACAAGAAGATGGCTTGCCTGCCTGCAGAGGTTTTACATGAGGAAAGAGTTTAAATAAAAATTTGGAAAAAAAGGTAATGCACTTTTCAGCAGCAATCCCTGGGGAATCCCGGGCAATCCCTAAGCACTTGCACAATGTTTACAATTCCCTTCACCCAAGAAAAATATTCTCCACAAAAAGCTACTAATGTCCCTCCCCTGGAGCAACAGTTTGTTAAGATAAAGCCTCAAGTCACAAAGGGCAGTATTTCCAAGGACTTCCACTTTGTAAATTTCTGATAAATAGCAAGTAGAAAGTGAAGCAAAAGCAAAGGTTGTGTGATTCTCTTTGAAAAAACCAAACTAAAAAGAGGCAGGTGGTATGTTTTCATTTGCTTGATAGTAAGGAATTTTATACTTTTCATACTTCCTTCTTCCAGACCCACCTTCCGGAGGGATTCACACCATCTTGGAATTATTTGGTCTACCTATTCTTATTCCCAGTTCTTTTCCACCAGGTGTATTACACATTCCGTGGGTTTTTCCTTGGGGTATCTGGCTACAAGAGTGCAAAAGCAATCCAATCCCCCCAATCTAGGGCTAAAAATTGGCAGCAAATGTCAACAAATCCAGCTTCATCTGGTTACATCTGCTGTGATAGGATATCCCCTTTGCAGATAACACGATTAGAACCTATGCCCTTATTATGCTTATGTCCCCAGCCGGGTTGATCCCCCGAGATGGCTGCTGATAAGTGCATGACAGAGTGTTAACACAAGCCAGAAAAGACCCAAGACAGGGAGTTCACTATTTGCTAAAAAAAAAGTGAGGTAAAAAAGTGGGTATGTAGATAGAAACTGAGACAGCTGTTGGCATAAGCTACTGTTTGAATGGAAGCATTTATGGAGGAAAAGTAATGCATCAGTCAATTCCAGCTGTGCCCAGCAAATTTTGTGCTGCCTAGGGGCCCGGCATTTGCCAACCCCGGGGCCATTCCTGAGCTTTTGACACGCACGTGGTTTCCTATCAGAATATAACTATACATAGGATTGTACTGGGAAAGAAAGCAGATTGGCTCATCTGTCAAGGACAGAAAAAAATTGAAGAGGGTTGTAAAGGCATGTTCTTGATTTTATACATTTCTTCATTGCTTATCAAGCCAGAATTACATAGCGAAATGGGGAGCTATTGACGTGAATCAACGTTTTTTGGTTATTGAATCAAATTTCTGTTGATATTATTTGAAAAACATCCTTTCATATTTATAAAACTATTCATAACATATAACTTTACAGCACTCTATTAAAGTTAATAATTTTACATCAATACTAAAATTATAAACTGTTGCATGTTGTCGCGGCGTGAAGTCTTAATTAGAATCCTAGTGCTGTTACAAAGGAAAACTTTAATTGAAACAAAAAATTGCCCATTAAAATGCTTAAAATGGCACTACTCGACTGTGCAATCAATGAAAAATGTTGCAGTGTTGACGGAGGAAGGGGCATTTGCCCTCTTTTTTCGTCCCCACCCTGGGGGATTTGACAACTCAAGAGTCCCCACCCCCGGGAATTTTCCATTCAAGGCAAAAAATAACTTCTGCTTGCTAGGCGGTCACTTCATTGATTTTAAGAATATCAATTTATTTATTTGTGTATTTATCCAATTATAGTTCACTAAACTGTAAAGAAAGATATAACCAAACATGAAGTATTCTGGTTATTCGCTGAATGTTATAAAATTTCTCACTTCCTCTTCTGGTAGTTCCACTTAAAACTGTGATACTATTAAAAACAACAGCTATAAACAATAAACATCACCTACTAGGACAGTTGGATTGAAAGTCCTACCACAAGACAAACATTCTACAAATTTTGCAGGGGAACCTGTATCGCGAAAAGCTGAAGAGAAAAAAACGGGTGAAAATCAAATAAATGAAGCAATTGATTTTCTCATTGTAAGGGTTCCAAAAATCACTTACCGTCAATAAAATCCTCCATAAACACCGTTACCAAGTGCCAGCAAATGTCACTTCATGTACGTCGCAAATGACATTTGTAGTGATCCTACACAAAGTAACAAGTACGAGTTGCATGCGTTTGCGAGCCCGCGATATCTTGAGCTGATTTTCAAAGATGGCGTCTAAGCGAAAATTTGCCGGCGAAAATAGTGGCGCTCTTGTTCCTGTAAAGAAGCCAAAACAGAATCAGATTGCTCTTACAGGTCAAGGAGGAGCCATACAAGCGGTATGTGTAAATATATGTTGTGATTATTCTTTGTTGTAATGTTGCGAAGTTGTTTACACATGGTGTGAAAGCTCACATGCGTGATTTACTTTGATAGCTTCCACAAAGAACATCCAGTCTTGAAGCTCCTATAATGCTGCTCAGTGGACATGAGGTTTGTTTGGTCAAATTTGTTGATTAACGATAGCTCACTTCTATTTTACAGGGCTGCAAATAACGACCGGTCAACGGACAATGTCCGGTCAAAAATAGGTTTTGTCCGGTCAAATCCTTAGATGGCCGGACAATTTGTCCGGTCGTCTAGGCTGGTAAGGAAAAAATTTAGAGTTTCAAGTTTTAAATATTTTAAGGTTCAATATTATTGGCGTTTGTGAAAAAGGAGGGGAAAAGATGGATACTTAACTACCAGACCAAAATTTCCGGCTGTCGTGGCTTTGTCATTCACCAAGTCGTCACCGCAAATTAGCGGGTCTTACAAATGTGTACCAGTCACGGGTGTGAATTACTTGTTTCATATTTAAACATCATGTGAAGGGGTGAGGGGGTACTTTTATAGCGATAAGACGTAATCGATGTTTGTCCGGCCAAAAATGGGATATGTCCGAGCAAAAATAGGTTTGACCGGACAATTTGACCGGCGCCAGCCGGGAAATTATTTGCAGCCCTGATTTTATGGGAGTTTCGCATGCATGATGGTGTACATCAGTTCAAGCTTAATCACAGGGAGCCCGCACAATCTGTTTGTGTAGCCGATTGTTATTATAGTAAATTAATGTTCTAGATTTACCGTTTGCCTCACCTATAGCGATATGTCGCTAACTATGTATATAAATCAATGATAAATAAACGTTGAATTACCTTACCTGTGGTATATAGTCGTCCTTTTACTTCAAAAGTGGTTTTTTGGGAGATTTTGAAGGAGTTTGAATTCGCCGTTGACTGTTCCTTATAATAGAAGGACAAGGGTGGAATCCATGTTTTGAAAGGGCTCCAGTGCTGGAGCGATTTTCCCCCCCAAAATCGCATCGCTCTGCTCTCAAACCCCGGAGCAAAAAGGTTGAAAGATTCACGTGTCTCCTCGTACCTTCCAATCGAAAATCCATCCAAACAGCCCGGAGCTAGCTGTCGAAGAAAATTAAAATCCCACAGTATTCGAGCGGCAGGAATGTGTAGTAAGATTCATACGTGCCAGCCACAAACCGTCCCGCTGATTGCCTCTATTTGATTGGATGTTGTTAGACAACAAATGCTTACCAAGTCTTCTTCATCAGTTATTATTTAACCATTGGTTAAGGACATCCAATAAAAAAAAAGGCAATCAGCGGGACGGTTTGTGGCTGGCACGTATGAATCTTGCTACGCATTCCTGCCGCTTGAATACTGTGGGATTTTAAGTTTCTTCGACGGCTAGCTCCGGGCTGTTTGGATGGATTTTCGATTGGAAGGTACGAGGAGAAACGTGAATCTTTCGACCTTTTTGCTACGGGGTTTGAGAGCGGAGCGATGCGATTTTTGGGGGGAAAATCTCTCCGGCACTGGAGCCATTTCAAAACATGGATTCCACCCTTGTCCTTCTATTATAAGGAACAGTCAACGGCGAAATCAAACTCCTTCAAAATCGCTCAAAAAACCGCTTTTGAAGTAAAACGACGACTATATACCACAGGTAAGGTAATTCAACGTTTATTTATCATTGATTTATATACATAGTTATCGATATATCGCAATAGGTGAAGCAAACGGTAAATCCAGTACATTTACTCTAAAATAACAATCAGGCTACACAAACAGATTGCGTGGGCTCCCTGTGGCTTAATGAGCTGTAATTCCTGATGGCAAAGAATATACATATTTAAGCAATAGAAAACGTTTTCTGTGTTTACATAGCCTGATATAAACACGAGAGGAGTTGGGAGAATTCGAGACAGTTATGCAAACTCAAGATGAAGTCAAGGGTTTGCATAACTGTCGAGAATTCTCCCAACGCCTCAAGTGTTTATATCAGGCTATGCAAACACTGGAAAAAAGTTTTCTATTGCTTTTATATAATAACTTTCCAGAGAAAAAAACATAGAACTCTTTGTATGGCACTGATTAAAAGAGAAATTCTTACCAATCGCAAAATCTTGTCCATGAAGTCTTGCACGCGTAATCAGTTCTTGTTTTGCAAAAAGATGCTTTGCAAAATACAGATTTTTCTCACTTAAAATGTCAGCTTAAGCGAAGAAAAATTGACACACCTTCTTTGTAACGATTTTCCAAGTTTCAGCCGATGAAGGAATGGGAAAGTAAAGTAAACTTGTCGAGTTTTGAACTCGAAAACTTTTTCAATTTCGTGCTCGCATGATTAGCGCCCGAAAAGCCAAACAACTTGACGCCACAACCATGTTTACATACTCTCATGCAAAAACTCCTCTCGGCCAATCAGAGCGCGCGTACTATCTTAGTTACTTTATAAAACGTGATTTTAAACATGATATTTGTGTTCATTTCAGGGAGAGGTTTTTACGACGAGATTTCATCCCTCAGGGGAAACATTAGCTTCAGCAGGGTTTGATCGACTTATTTGTAAGTTCTTGCAGTCACCCTTTTCTTTACTGACCTTAGCTATCAAGCTTGTCAGGCACTTACTTACCTAAGTCACAAGTTTTGATCCTTGATTCTGACAATATTTGGTAAACTTTTTTAGGAGCAATTACAGAAAACTAGACCGCGATTTCCACCTTTTTGGAAGGCTTAGAAGAGCGAGTCATTCTCCTATATATAGATGCTCTTTTCTTATTTTTAACGAAAGGAGAATAGGTCGACCTGCATTCTGTAGTTGAACCCTTTCTTTATTTAATCCTTCTTTTCAGATCTTTGGAATGTGTATGGCGACTGTGAGAATTTTGCTGTCCTTAAAGGTCATACCGGTGCAGTAATGGAGTTGCATTTCTCCCTGGATGGAAGGTAATTTAATTGTTCAAGCTGTGTTTATGAAGAAACGATACATTTTCACAAATCAGGGCTGTGCTGTAGCAGTGCCCAGTTACCCCTGTTGCGTTACTTTTGTTCTTGGCCAACTAAGAAATCATTAGCTTTTTCCATAGAAATCTTGTGCTGGGCACCATGTATTTCACAGGCTCAGAGCACTGGGTCCTTTCAGTTTTTCTTGGAGTATAGCCTTGAAAATCCACGACTAAAAATTCCTGCATAGTTTTCTTTACTTTACCACGTATTGAAAATAAGAAAAAGCAGAGTTTGCACAGTCTTGAAAAGTCCTTGAATTTCATTTTTCCAATTCTGGGCAAGTCCTTGAAAAGTCCTTGAATTTTCTTCAACTTTGAATGTGGTGGCCTGGAAAGTGTTTTTTAATGCTTTTTGGTTTTCCAAGACAGCATATAAATCATAGCTCAGAGACGTTCAAAGTGATATACGTAGAGTATTGTTCATTTTATGCAAGAATTAACTCTTAATTTAAGACAAGTGGACTGAAAAATGAAGACAAGTTGGTGGAGGAAAAAGTTTAAACCTTATAGACCTGTTAGAATGGACTGCGAATGTGCATTTTTTTACAAATTATATGTGAAATTACAGTGTACTTTCCTAGTAGGTGGTCCTTGAAAATCAAATGTGGTGCTCTAAGAGTCCTTGAAAAGTCCTTCAAAAATGGTTGTGAATTTATGTTAGACTTTGATAGAGAAGGCCATTTCTGTTTTTCTTAGAGTTATTATATATGTCAGGTTGAGAAAAGACAACCCAATATCAAGTGAGAAATATGCAAGAGCATGTAGAAAGGACTGACCGTGACTTCTGGCACTCTATGATGCCACTGTACCTTGGTCATTAGTCAAGTTGGCTTTTAGATTTGCACTCACCTTTGTCACTGTTGTTATGTTGTCTTTGCTTAATCTGCCTTTTCTATAACAAGGAAGCTCTTACAGTGGCGTTCAGTCTTGCTTGCTTGGAGATTAGATCGAGAAATGTGTGGTTCCAGAAAATATCCATACCCCACCACGGAGGGAATTTCACTTAGGACCCCCACCTCCCTGGATTTTCCATATTTGTAAGGAACTGATGACCCGCGCACCCCTCCGGTAGTTTCACAAAGTAAGACAAAGACCCCCCCAACCCCTCTGGAATATGTTTATTTTCACGAAAAAAGATTATCAAAGTAAAGAACAACGCCGTTTGCGGTTACGCAATGGTTTTCATTTAATTTTATTGCGCAGTCTCAAATTAGACCACAGTAAACTACCTACAAAGCAACCTAAACTACAAAATATTGCTTCTCCCTTTACATGAAAGCTATAAAGTTGTATCTGTTGGTTTACCTTGATGTGCAAGCTTATGATTTTTTTTCTAAATGGCGGGTAGCCGTCTCCATGGCCGTAATGTTAATGGAATTAATGCCATTTCAGCATGCATAGATCACGAACATGTCAAACTTTCAACCATAAAATAATGTGGAAACGAAAAGCAGGGTTCGTACGGGTCCTGGAAAACCTGGAAAGTCATGGAAATTTAAAATTTCAAAATCCAGGCCTGGAAAACCTGGAAAATATGTGTTGGTCCTTGAAAGTCCTGGAAAATTAGACTTTTCCTAGGACATTGAATAAGTTTCTTTTCATTTTCTTCGCTCACATTTTCAAGTTTTTTGTGGGCGACAAATGGACGTGTACAATCTTGCAAAATGGTACCTGTCGTTAATCCCAAAACCTGACAGTTCAGAGTCTGGGCTCTAGCTACCCCTGCAGTTTTACGGGCTTCCCATGTTCAAAAATTTTGTTGTTTGTATCTGGATGAGAATGGCGCCGTTGTTTCGTTCTGTTTTAAATCTAGCCTGCAAAGCAGGCGTATTTTGGAGCGCGATCCATGAATTGTTTTCAGGAATGACGTTGTCCCGCCATCTTGGACGTTAATACTACCAGAGAGTTGGGACGTGGCGGCCACGATCAATGTACCTCCGAGTTTTCGTTAAAAAACGCCTGCTCTGCAGGCTATTTTAAATCAAGTCAAAACGTACTCAAAAGTATTGTTTCCGGCCCTTGTGATTAAGCTGAATGAACAATGCCTGGGAAGTGTACTTTCAAAGAAAACTGGACTTCTCACAAGATATACAAAGACTGGATATTACAAGAGTCAAGCTCTCAACACAAAGCACGTTGTCGCTTGTGCCAAAAATCATTGGACTACTCAAACATGGGGGAATCCACCCTCAGAAGCAGAGCTGTCAACTCTCCTGGTTAATCCAGGAGACACCATTTTTTGGACCGTATCTCTCAGTCTCCAGGTTAGAGTATGAAATCCTCCCCGATAATCGCCGAGTTTTGCCATTTCTTGTAGAGTCGACTTTCCGACCATAAAATTTCAAATATTTTGCGTTGTTTGAATTATTTTTATACTGTTAACATCAAGCATTGTAATCTCCGGTGTGCCATTATACTATAAGCAATAATGTGATTGGTGGGAAGTAAACCGATCAAGTCAAATGTTGTGCAACAACATCTTTTTCGCGCGTTTTGTGTCATCGCTAATTCGGGGCAATCGGAGTCAACAGTATCTTTTGCAAAAATGACGTCATGTGCCATTTGTTATGACGTCATCTATCATCCCTTTGCTATCAGCCCTGCAGAAGGAACAGGAGAGGGAGTAAGCACAAAGAATTAGCAGCATTAATAGCTGAGCGGTCAGTGCCAATTATCCAGTTGATGTCTTCAAAGGCAGTATCTTCATCTAGCTCTGACAAACCTGGTCCTTTGATGTCTTGTGGCTTACATTCCAGCCCTTCAGTACGTGATGCAAGTGCTGAAACACCAAGCTCATCTGCTTCTCTTAAAGAAACGGTCGAAAAACAGTCGAAAACCGGTCAGTAATTAAGTAGCACAGTCAAAAAGTCATGGGAGTTCCTCAAAATGAAAACCTGAAGAAGCTTCTAAAATCGACAGCGAAATAGACCAGAAGCAACAGACTCTTGCAGAAACATAGCAAAAATGCTACATAGTTTGTTGGTTTGTTTGGATTGTTTCAGTTTCCCTGGCTATTACTGGTCCTGGATTTTTGTAAATATGGTCCTTGAAAGTCCTGGAAAAGTCCTGGAATTTTGATGGACCAGTGGTGTACGAACCCTGGAAAAGGAGAATAAAAATCTAGATTCTGAAATCATTACTTCATATACCTTCTGCTTCTTGAAGCGAAACTTTCACTGTTGTACTGTTTTTCAATCAACTGGCGCGACGCCGAGATGGAAGAAACATAGCTAGGGAAGAGTGAACTTGTGTAACTACACCTGTTACGCGTTTATGTCTCTATGGAGGCTGGTAACGGATAATGGCGAGAAGTCGAGTTTTTGTTGGCCTAACAGGGTCCTAATTCCTTTGAATTCACTTACATAATGCTTTTGGAAGAAAGAAAACCTGGCTTAGATGGAAAAACAATCATAAATGATATAGTTAAACTTATTTATGTCTCCAAAAATGATCTACCAGATCAGTAAGTAGTAATGTTAGTACTGAGTTCGAAATAAACCCCTTGGAAACTGGTTTTTATCATCCAACCCCCCTCCCCTTTGGAATTTTCTGGGGCTCTGTCCCCCCCACCCCCTCGGAATTTCCAGTTCTCTTGATGGAGGGGGTATGGATATTTTCTGGAACCACTCGATGAGGAGGCGATTAATTCTACATGAAACAGGATTTACTCGCTAAAGGTCTTTTACTTCCTACTTTATCAACGTTGAGCATTCTTCAGGATATTTACTTTTCTTTGTTTCTTAATTGATTTAGTATGCGTGTTAGTGACAACCAAAAATACGTCTGCAGCTGCAGGCTATACGCGTGTATAAATACAGGAAAATTTAAGGGCCTCGCCAGAGAAATTACATCATCGTCAGAGATCAAAAAGGTGATTTACATGGCACGTCCTTTCAATCATCGCCGAAAATAAATCGCGTGCTCATCACAAGACCCACTTGCTTACAATGAAAGTTTACAGCACCCGACCATTGCAGTTTTTCTAATTAAGATTCTTATTTTTTTTTTGACCACTCAGTAGTGTTTACTTGTTCCAAAGTAATCAACACTTTCAATCGATAGAATTTGTGGACCGACACGCTTCGGAAAAGCTCCACTTTTAATCTTTCCTACAGTTGTGTGTAAGCTTTTTTCGCAAAACATGCGTGGCTTCAGTCACGCAATGATTCTTATTCCCAGTTTCCACGGTCTCCACTGGGAACGCCTGGCACGATGACCCCCTTTTGTGTCATAAATACGAGGAATTTAAACAGCTTGCAGATTATGAGTCTCGCTGCTTACGCAAGCAAGACTAACAAGTACACTAATACCAAGGAACTTAGAACTTGTTTTTCAGAAATAAAACACCCAGGGGCCTGGTTCCTCAAAAGATAGTCAAGTCTAACCCAGGATTAAGCCAAATTTTAAGCACAGTAGCTGAACTCGGTAGTATTATTGTATGGCAGTGATATTTTTAGTTGGAAGGTCTCAATCAAAAAACATCCCCTCCAAAAAGGAGATAAGATGACCAGGGGATGTTTTTGCCTGGAGCCCTTCTCAGTTGGCTTTTTGTCATTACAACATTAAGAATTTATGCAAGTTTTGTTTTGTTTTTTTTCAGTACCATGTTTACAGCTTCTACTGACAAGACTTTAGGAATCTGGGATTTTGAAACAGGAACAAGAATAAAAAAGCTGAAAGGTCATAGCTCATTTGTCAATAGCTGTTTTCCTTCAAGACGAGGCCCACAGTATATTGTTAGTGGTGCTGACGATTGCACAGTAAAGGTATGTTTAGTAGAGAAAAGCTTTTAATATTACCACAAAGACTCAAACACTCTTTTCCCATTTATTCACCAAAAATTAATTTTACCAATCTGCATTAAGTGTTGCCTGAATTTCAGACTTTCCCTCAACTCCTCTGAGAGGAGTATTCAACTCGAAGGAATGTCTGAAATTCAGGCTTCATGCATGTACATTAGGTGTGGTTATGTTGTAGATAAAATTGGGTCTAATGATAATTGAGAATAATAATAAAATTCTTATTTTTTTATTGTTATTATTTTACCACACAAGATAAATTACCATCTCAAGTAGTAGTAAAAGCGTAAATAAATATATTATTGATCAATAACATTAGATTAAAATTAGTAAACAATTGGGAAGGCGACTGTGGCAGGAAAATCTCTGAGAAGCAAACACGCTTATAAGTAAATAAAGATTTCCCCCCACCGGCAATTTAAATATTGGACAGCATTCAAAGTAAAAGAGAAAAGACGTGTATAAGTATATAAGCATGTATACTGAACAAAATTAATATACATGTAGATTTATAGGTAACAGATATTTAACCTATATCCTGTCTGCAGACCCTTAAAAATGGTTTTGTCAGTCGCTTAAATACGTTAAATGTTGGGGCGTCTTTGATGTTGTTTGGTAAAGAATTCCATATTCTAGGACTTTGAATCAGGATCAAAAATTTGTTGATATTTATACTTATAATAATTTATTATCTTCTCCTCTTTTGGGGCTTTTTAGAGATAATGAAACAAAAATTAATATTCAAATGGAACATAACAAGGTTAAGAATCCCATCTGGTAGAAGACAATCCAGTTGGCTATTTTACAATTTTGGCCAAGGATTTGAAATTGGGACTACTGAGGACAATTTGGTGTTAATAGTAGTTTGGCTTTCTTGCTCTAGGGGTTAGCGAAAAACCCATGCAAGCTATTTTACCACTTAGATGGCATGTATTTCAAGCACTGAACAGATATGTTTCAGATTGAAAAAGTTTGATTCTTATTAATATTTCAGTTGTGGGATACACGTAAAAGGGGATGTGCCCAAACATTCCAAAACAGTTATCAAGTAAGTAGTGAAGATCATGTATGTACTGTACCATGCTGCTTTGAAGCTTTTTAAAAAGCTTATCTAAAATCTTGGCTGCAGTCATTGTAATTCCTGACGATTGAGAGACATGGGAACAAATAATTAGTCAGAAATTAATAGCGGAGTGCACGCGCAGTGGAGCACCATGGGTAAGAAAATGTGGTAAACTACCCATCCAAGAAAAGTTGGTAATCACGTGGCCGTACACTGATTGACCGCCTGACCGTCCATCCGCACCACAGGCATACCAATGTAAAATAACTCAATCAACAGGTGTAGCAACCCAAATGCAACTCAAGGTTATTTTGACGGGAAATCGCATAGCCACCCGCGTCTTGTAAAGCAGAGAGAACTAAAGAGTCAATGAAGACGAAAACGGAAAGCGACAATATGTCTTGGTATCCATGTTTTCTAAGGTATTAAACTTGGAGTAAGTGTCATGTCCACAAATTTGGAATATAGAGCAAGAGAAAGACAGAGAAAAAGAGAAAGTAGGCGGCAGGCCAGCGAAGCTCAACGAGAACAAGGGTAACAGAAGTCGAGAGCAAGAGATAAAAACAAGAGACATTTTTTATTGGAAGAACAACATGAAAATTTTGTAGCGGCGGTGACAAAATGAGAAATGCTAGCGGCCACCAATGCCAGGTGAAAGTGAGCGGCAGTGAAAAAAAAGTGAACGAGAAAATGTACAACATTTCCTTCATAACTAAGAAGTGTCTGGAAGTTTCACGTTGTAGTCGTGCAAAACAACGGCAAAGAAATGTCCAAAAAGGTGTGCTTCACATGCAAAGTTGCTTTTTTTCTAATTAGACCTATTGTTGTTTTTCACTGTTCTCCGTGCTTTGCCTTCGCCACTTAGCATCAAATGATTTTATATTTTGTTTGAACAAAATATAAATATTATCGAGAGCATCGCTTTTAGCCCATGGCTACGTAAATCTTTATATTATTCTGACTGCATGGTATAGAGGCGCGCTGGTGTTACTGGGATGGTATCGGGCTATTTGTGGTTTTGGCATGAAACTTGTGCCATTCTACATCAGCTCAGTCCTTCTAATGGTTTTCGTTTTGTTTTGCAAGTTTTCCTTTTCTATATTTTATTTTGTTACATCTTCAGATCTGTATGTTTTGGAATAACGTTTCTTATTTCGGTATATGTGAATTTAGGTAGACCCGCAGACTTTTCCAGTAGTATAATTTTGGAGTAGTATATATATTATTGTAATGTAGTTTCCTTGATCCCTTTCCACGGGGTTTTACGTGCCACTGCATTAGTACAGGGTCGTACAGGGGGGGTCTCTCGCACGGTTCACGAACAGAAAAAACAGCGAATCACGGATCACGGCTATCAAAATTTCATTTTCCCGAATCACGAAAATAAACAAGTAAGGTACTCGTTGTAATAACCTTCTCTTACGGTAGAAAGAGTGTTTGAAGAAAGCAAAATCGTTAAAGGCGAAGTAAAGGCTGCTTTTGAAGTAAAATAGCATCGCCCGTGTTTGAAGCTGTATTTTACCTGAAGTATTTAAAATTTACTCGTCTTGAAATATTCTAATTTAACTTTGTACTACCATCGTCATCCTGACATAGTCGCCGTTTTCTCTTGTTCTTCTTTTAACCTTGATTACTTATTAACCTATAGAAAAGTCGGTCCGTGTCTTTCAGAACGGTCCTTGATGTCGTGTAATAAGAAGTACCGTAAATAAATTCCTACCTTGTAATGAAGATGTATTTCCTGATAGTAGCGGCCTCTCCTCGTCCCATTGCTCTTGTGTATTTATCGCAAAGGCCTTACTGCCATCTTTTCCCTTTTCCAGACGACAAAATTAAAGTTCAACACAGGAGCCAAGGCCACGTTTCTTAGCCTCTGCCTTTAATACGGCAAATTCCGCGAACTTTTTAGTAAATGCTGCCAAAGATGAATGTTGATCTGTAATTGGAAAGCGAACTCGTCCCTTTCCAAGAAAATTAAGCGAGCCGACAGACTTTGGGTCAACGTAAAAGACAATACATTCGACCCTCATCGTACTATACGTACTCGTCCCCTCCATATCACGGATGTTTCGATGTTTTGGATCACTGTCCTTTGACCTCCAGTGACATAGGAGACCATAGGCATAGGAATAGACATCTGATCCATGATAGGCATTTAAAGCACGTGAATTTGCACAATGGATTACTTCAATTAAAGCGAAGTCTGTTACTTGTCACATTTGATATTTTCAGTCTTAAAATAATTCTTCCGGAGCACTCGCATCTCAAAATCACGCCAAATAGAGTGGTGAAATCACGAACATCGGTTAATAATTCAAGTTCTTCACGGGTCACGCAAAACCTTCAGATCACGGATCATGAAGAATAATTTATTAAATTCACGTTTCACGGAAAATAAAATCAGCCAATCACGCATCACGGGAATACCCCTGTACGACCCTCTTAGTAGGGGAATACATTCCACACATTTTTTGGCCGCTTCTCTAGGGTGGTTTTTAGTGGTTTTTCATATCTGGCATGGTACACGTTCTAGCTTAGAACACTATTAGTACTTTGCTAGAAGGATATCATTGATTTAACATCTGCATCAGATGGCTGACTGATGCATTCTAAATAAAGGTTTTCACATTGAATATCTTGTGTTAGGAATAACGGAGTCAGAATACAGCATTTTTGTGCATGTGTTACATTTTAATACAGGTAACAGCAGTATCATTCAATGACACAAGTGATCAGATTCTTTCCGGTGGAATTGATAATGAGATTAAGGTAATTAAATAGACAAATAATTGAAGGGGCACAAGATGAATTTCTTAATTCTCCTTCCAAATTGATTCCTATTAATTTGCTTATAAAGCTAAGGGCTGCCGCAGCCCACGAATGTCGCCCATGGGTACGGGTTGAGGTCGGGTTTTTCTCGTTCTGAATTTCGCTTTGTCAGAACAGACCGCCTTAGTAATTTTGTTACCCACAGTTACAATAGGATTTAATTGTTTTTGCTTTCTGTGCCATGTGTAATTATGTGTTCCGCGTATTCTTGACCTCCCTTGTAATTTAGTGTTATACACTACCAAAAGGGTTTAATAGACTGATTATTATTAGATTAGGGCCAGTTTCTAGAAAGTCCTGGTAATTTTTCAGACCCAAAGCTAAATTAATATAAAAATCAAAATCTTAAAATTCTAAGGAGTTAGAGCACAGCCTTTCATGTGGTGATTCAGAGAAAGTGATGTTCAGGTTTGACCTCTTTGTTTTGACTTCTTATTGTCTCTATGTAGCTGAGTAGCTTTAAATACCTGTAAAATGGAGCAGTGATGGAACAACAACAACAATTATTTACATTTCACTTTAGAATAATAATAGTTACAGAATGGGTAGTTTTAGTCTAACGGTCAGTTACATGCAGTGTAATAAAAGGAAAACTAAAAATACATTACAGGTAAGGAAATTCCTAGCATCTAAATAAACCGTTAAAAGGTTTCCCAGTTAGATACTAGATGGAGAGATGGGATAAAATGAATGTACTGCCAAGCTCAGGGGTTTTAGTCTATTGAGTACTGCTACAAGTTACCAACATAAAATAAGGACCTTTTCACTACCTTTAACTTGGGACCTAGCTAACAAAGCAGTCTATTTTGTTTTGTTAGTAACCAATAGCATTATCATATTATCTGCAAAACTACACCAATGATTTTGAAAGTAAACAGAAACAGCTTTTTTGGTCCAGTGATTACTAGGAGTTAAAGGAACTGGCCCCTTGGAGAAAATTTTACTCCAAGGTTGTTTGCAGGCATTCCTTCAAATAACAGTACATTGCTACTTCCAAATTTGGGTCTTGATGACTCTTAATGAGAGTACAGTAAGAGAAAAATTTTCCTGTTAATCCATAATTTCTAACAAAAATGTGACTTTTCTCTTGAGGTGTGGGATCTTAGGAAAAATGATGTTTTGTATAAGATGTCTGGGCACACCGACACAGTTACTTGTCTTCGACTCAGTCCTGATGGCTCCTTCATACTTTCAAATGCGATGGACAACACAGGTTAGTACCAGTTAACGAAACAAATTTGTTAAAGAAAAATAGAAGAAATTCCTTTTCAAAAATCATGTTACCTACATTTATCCCTAACTGTCTACTCTATGGTGGTAGATGCCTTCTTCAGAAAGACATCAGCAACGATTAGCTGGCTTGGGCCAGGTTTTACAGCTTTTTATCATCTCTCTTTTCTCTATTTCCTCAAAATATAATATTATTGTTTTGTAATTTATCAATTTTTTTGTGTTGTGCAGTTCGGATGTGGGACATCCGTCCTTTTGCTCCCCTGGAAAGATGCCTGAAGGTGTTTACTGGTGCTCAACACAACTTTGAAAAGGTAAAGCAGCTTCTTAAGGTACGGAAAAACGGGCAACAAAAAACATGCAACTTGTTTTGCAACATTGCTGCAAAACGAGTTGAATAGTGATGTTGCGCGTTTTACCACCCACATAAAACCTGTCTTGAAACAGATCAGGTTGTTAACAGCTTTGATTCATGGTGGTAAAACGCGCGACATCGCTATTCAACTCGTTTTGCAGCAATGTTCAAGACAAGTTGCAGGTTTTTTTTTGCCCGTATTTCCGTGTCTTTATTCAATACCAAACTTAAACTTAAGTCAAAACTCTTAGCCTGTGAGTGCAGACATATATTTCCCATCATCATTTCTCTCCACCCAGGTGGAAAGAAGTGACTACTGGAAATACGTCTGCGCGCCTAACCTACAAAAGTCTTTTGTTCTCACTGCAAACTGTACCTGCTACGTATACAGAGTGTATGCATACAGCTTCTCAGCACATTTGCAAAGAATACAGCAGTGCTTATGCTAAAAACGTTTAGTTTAATTACTGTATTCTTAAGCAACCGAAGAAATGCGTCGGCCTCTTTGCTCAGAGAGGTCAGCTACTTTTTCCCCTGTAATTGAAGCTGGGAATGAAGTGTTAAATTAAAGAAAGATACAATACTTTAAGGAAAGCAGTCATAAAACTAAAAAGAGAAACCATTCACTTTTTTGACAAGATGTAACTTTTGCATGAAGTGCTGCACATGCATTTCTCATGGTGATTGTGTTCATATTCATTAGGAAATGTAGAATGTATCAGCATACGAACTGCCATTATTTTGTAAATCAACACTGATCAGCATTGAATATAAGAAATAAACAATAAAATTAGACAAAATTCAACACTGCTGTAACCTGTTAATAAGAAATCTTCCTTTAACCTTTTTAACTCAAATTAGTGCCCAGAACCCTGAAAATCTCATTTTAGGGCTTCCAAAAATTTCTCCCGTAAGAAGATGGGGACTAAAATTAATGCTCCTTTCCGATACAGTCGGTTAACTTATTCAAACCTGCTGGCTACTTCAGTTTTTATTGAAACCCCTGCTCAAGGTTCAAAAATCTACTTTCCATTATTTTGTTCAATATGCTTCAATGATTCTTTAACCAATAGAAAACATTTTTTTAAATTTTTTTTTCTTGGAATCTAGAATTTGATTAAGTGTTCTTGGTCACCTGATGGACTGATGATCTCATCAGGTTCCGCTGATAGGTAAGTGTCACAAGAAACATTTTGCACTTGGCCTCATTTTCAAAGTGAGGTTTTTGGAACTTGGAAAATTGGCCTACCAGTATTTGTGTGTCTCTGATTCTCTTGACAAATAGTTGACCTTATGGGCCTGGACAAGTTAAAGTTTTCTTGGGGCTAACTTGACCTTTGAGGCACATGTTTACTCAGAAATTTCTTTTAAGAGTGTGGGCACGTTGCATTTTGTGATATTTAGCTTGACAGCTTGTAAATGGAAATCGCAGCAATATCCTTCAGCCTTGCTTGGTTTTTCTGGGATTATTTAATAATGAATGAGAATAATAAATCATTGCCAAGGATACAGATACTCATAACCAAGCTTAGTACATGTGAATATTCAACAATGTTGAACATGTTGGAAAAATGTTGAAGGTGATGGTTGATGGCAATCAAACTTTGTCCAACATAGTTCAACATCATGCTAGATGAGCCTCAAATAAGTTTAACTTGTTAGAGGAAATGTTATGTAGGCATTGTTTGGCTGGGGCTTTAGTCACAATGAAATGTTATTATACTTGGCAGTGTGCAACAAAACTCACCCCACTCTCTTTCTCACTTGAATACTTCTTGTTGTAGGTTTGTTTATGTTTGGGATACAAACTCCAGAAGAATTTTGTACAAACTACCAGGACATGATGGATCAGTAAACGATGTTGACTTTCACCCAAATGAACTAATTTGTGAGTATATACAAGACTTCAATTTGTATGCAATTTATAAATTTGCAAAATTCTTGAAACTTGTAATCCTTTCATTCATTGAAAGGAAGCTTACTATCACTGTTTCAAGAATTACTATTAAAACTGTGTTTATTTTGTTTGTTTATCTTTAGTGATGTCTTGTGGAAGTGACAAGAAAATTTATCTAGGAGAGTTACAACCCTAAAAGGATGGCCTGAACATAGGAAACAGTTAACCATACTTAAGTGTTTAATAAAATAACACTTGAAGCAGCTTTCTCTAGCTGTTTGTGTAGCTGCTATGTAAACTACATAAATTGCGACCCAAAAGAAATTAAGCTTCATTGAGACTTTACAAGATTATTTGGAAAAAAACATGAGTCAGAAGAAGGTTTGAAGACAGTAATGACTTCAGTTCATATGGCCGTCTGAGTCACTCCCTTGTTTGCTCAATTTGGTCAATGATATATCAATTTCTCACGCAATAGATTAAATCAGCTACAGAAGACCTAGGTTAGTAACTAAAGACCATGTGTAATAAAATACTTTTTTTATTCAAGATGTTTACACTTGTCGCATGTTAAATTTTAAACAGTTCAGTTGGTAAACCTTTGTTATTGAATCCTGTCCATTCAGCGGGCTTATTTTAGAATAACTTTTGTACAGTGTCTGTAAATAATACTATGAAAGCTCTTTTTTTTACACTCTTTGCGATGCAGTACCTTCTTGCTTTTCATTGTAACAAAATACAAATAAAACACACAATTTTAAGTAACAAACTTCTTTGTCTTATAATGTTTGTTTTTTTTTTTTTTTCTAAAACTATTTTCTGCCTGCAGAAATAAAATAATGTAATTGGGAGGTTACCATTTTTTCCCCTGCAAGTTTATGGCTACTATTATCCACTCCACAAACCACAGGAATACCAGTACTCACGAGGAACTTTAAAGGCACAATGATTTTTGGAATTATGTGAGTAAACAATATTGGCAGTGGGCGGTTAATTAATTGTTGCCTTTGGATACCACTGACCAGTCACATAGTTGTCCAACCAAATGATCTCAAAAATCATTGGGCCAAAATCTTATGCCCATTGTCCATGACTTTATAGTGAAAAAAATGTCAATTCTGTGATGTCACTCATGTTGAGTGAATGCACAAAAGCCCTGCTCCTGCAGGACGGCTAGCTGCCAATAGGACCCACTCTGTACCAGTAATAAATTTGCTTGGATTTAAACCAACTATAACTATTATCAAACACCAGCTCATATTCTCCTTTACCAACCAGAACCTGAAAAGAAATAAAAAATAGGACAAAAATATTATTGGCTTCACCTGTAAATGGAAATTAAGATTTTGTCATTCACTCAAGTAAAAGTAAAACTACAGCCTAGGTCTCTAGGGTTAAATATGGTTCATATATTAACCAGAAGGATGCTTGTGATATAACCTGTGGCCCACGTTGGGTTAAGGTATATTTCAGCACTTTCTTGGAGCAACACTACTACAACACTTTTCAGTTGATGCTGCAACAATGGTATTAAAAATATTCAATACCTCATTGCTTGTCATTGTAACTTACCATTGTTAGCAACACCGTAACTCGTTAATATAACACCCTAAGTTTGATGACATTCAAAATAATTTATAATATTAACTTGGAATCAGACAACGAATAAGCATGTCAAGTATCGATAGTTATGTTTCCTGAGTGTATATCGTTCAATGTTTCATGGGCCACTATTAAAATTGATGGGGTTGGAGGGTGATGGGAGCTCTAACTACAGCAGTCCCTGTAAGGACCAAAGCAAGATAGATATAATGCAAAACCCCTAACTGTGACTGTTAGTGGTCTTTCAAATACCAACCTTCCCTGTGACCGGTTCTACATGTGAGTTGAGCCTCTTGGATTTACTCCACTCTTTTCCTGATGGTAACCCAGACACATAACACCTAAACAAAACCGGAAAAGAGTTTTGGTTCTGATCTTGTTATGTACATTTAGCATATGTACACTGGAGGTAATGTCAGTTTTCTAAAGTTGGGACATCAGTGGAGCTGATCCACTTGAGGTATCCCTTTATTCTTTTTTTTTCTCCCTTTCCCCTGAAGTAGGGTAATTATTACATGCCTAAAGATAAAAAGGGTTCAACTCAAGTGCCACGCAAAGTATACAACAACATCACATCATCAGAAGTAGGTGGAATATGATTGCAGGGCTGTCATTAAGAGCTAGAGGAGCCCTGGCTACTATGAATGTGCCCCCTTCCTAGAAGAAAAATAGAACCAAAAGAAATCCCTAGCTGTTTGATTCCCCACCTACTTCTTGCCTACCCGGCAACTTGAAATATTAGTGAAAGCCCTGTGATTGTCGAGGTGAGTGTATCCCTGAATTAATTATAGGACTGTTGTTGACAGTAACTGATGTTTTGACAACTGTGTGTAATACTCATCTTCAGAGTCAAAATGAGTTGTTTCTTGTTGTTACCTCTCATTATTGACCTGACTGGTCAATTAAGTCATGATGTTATCGGTCATCTAGCTGTCATTTAAGCCCTGATGGTATTGGCTATGGAGACTCAAAATGTGAGTTGCACACCTTGATCCATTTTTTGTCAAAGTAAGTAATACAACGGTTGTTTTACTTTTAGGCAAATTTTGGTTTGTCCAGTCACTATTGTTGTCTGTTTTGGTTGAGTTCATCAGTACTGGTAAGTCAAGGTATAAAGGCGCAGGTAATTGCTGACTTCTATTCAATGGTGTTTGCTTGAAGTTAGTAAACCAGCTTTCTATGAATTAAGTGATTTGTTAGTAGTAGTTTGTAGGATATATAGTGTATTCAGCATTGTCCCAGTTTATACGAGGGTACGTCTGTAATTGCTTTGTTGGCCTAAATATTTCTTGTCATTCGTTTGTGTTCAGCCAGTCGCATGCTCAGGTTTCTACCAGTCTCACCAACATAAGTGGACTAGCAGTTGCAGTATCTGATCTACACTGCTCCCTGTCTGTCCTCTGGTCTGTCTTCAGTTGTAAACAGTCTTCTGAAGGTGCTTATCGCTGTTGTGTTGTCAGTAAGTTTGTTGAATGTGTGCAATAGTTTCAGATCTAGATGTGCCTCAAATGTAAGGGATAGTCACTGTCATAAAAGCAGTAATGTTTTCAGCTGGCTGAGGAATGATAAAATCGGAAAAAGATTTTCTCACACATATCTACAAGTCTGGATGCTAGTCTGCAGGGGGTCTAGTCACACATGGTTGGTTGTACTGGTTGTAATGATCTTCCACATAATGCAGTGTGTAATAGATCTGTTGGTATTAAATATATGGTTCAGTGTGCACTATTACATTTATCGTGCTTAGCGCTTTCCTTTAACATCATTCACTCATGACATGAATGTTCCTACCCAATATCATTGTTATTTGAGCAAAATCCAAATGTAATCATCGAGTTGTCTTCTGCGACATGTATGTTTATGGTATACCGTTGGCCGTGAGGTATCAATACTCCTTGGACATCAGCTACAAACAAAGAAAATAAATTTTTGTGTTAAATGAAAAAAACTAATTTTAACTTTCTATATTTGCCTAATGTAAATTTATCTACTGCTATTCATTCATTGTGACATACCATCATTTCTTTTATGATGAGACATCCTCCCCTTAGCATCTAGAGTTCCCTGCGAAGGACAATGCAGGAGGAACTTGTTATGTCCACCACCCATGCTTTACATACATCTGTGAACTTCTTATGATGGACAGAGCTCAAAGATTCATGGTTAGGGCCACCAAAATATAAAATTTAATGATGAACATACCTCTATTATCTTTCGTATCCTTGCAACATTTAAAGCTTGCTGCCAAGCAAACATATTGACCGCCCACTTTGGAATCCATCCTTTGGGATCAGCTTGGATAACATAAGTCACCTGAAAGCAAAAGGAATATTTTGATCATTCTTTTTTTAAGAAATACATGTTAAGACTGTGACTTCCGGCTGTGTATAAAAGTGGGACAGGGACAAGGGGACGGGGACATTGGGACGCGTGTGTGGGGACTTGGGACTTGGAGATGCAAGACGAGGGACTTGAGGACATCAAGTATGGGACGCGGGGACGTGTGGGACGGGGACGCGGGGACGTCAAATACAGGGACGCAGGGGACGCGCAATGTGAATAATTATTGCAAAAGTCGGAAGTAAATGCGATGTCAGTCACTTTCCTCGTGAATATGTCTTGGTGAAGGCAACCCACCCTTCCCTCCTTAGGGTTCCTCCATGCCTGTTTATGAAGCGAAGACTTGGCAAAGACCCCCTGCATTGAAGAAAGTGAAACCGTTGTCCTTGTCTTCTTGCTGGTGGAATATTGGGGCCCAAAGCAGGGTAGGGTGGGTTGCGGTCGCCAAAATTTATGTAGAATAACAACATTTGATTCCAAATAAATAAAAAATTAAGTGGCATAAGTGAGCTTCGAACCCCGAAGTGCTAGCTCTGAAACCTGGGGGATACTCCCATACATTACCTATACGGGTATGTGCTGCCCAATGGGGTCGTGATTTTGAAGCTCCTGGTTTAGAACGGGGTATCCATTTCAGAGGCGTTTTCTAGAACGGGGTATAACAAATTGTGGATCATGGCTTTATCTTCTGCTTCAAATTGTTGCTGATTATGAAGAAGCGTTCATTTTATGCATAAGTCGAACAAATAAAGAAATATTGTTATAAAAAAACAGGGCTATTTCAATTTACAAACTTTCTAGAACGGAGTATAAAAAATTGGCCTATTTCTAGAATGGGGTACCAATTTTAGGGATCCGAAATTTTTTTTTTAGAACGGGGTGCCAATTTTAGGGAAAAAATCCGATTTCCCATTTTTGGAATTTTGGGTATTTAAAGAATACCCACAAAAATTTTTTTTGAGACAAGTCCCAATCAGGGAACTTGGTTGGGAATTCCCTGGTTGGGACTTGTCTCTTGTCCCAAATTTGGGATTTTTATGGGTATTCTTTAAATACAAAAAAATATCCAAAAATGGGAACTGCTATTTTTTCCTGTGATACCCCCCCAAAAAATACCCAAGTGCCCCGGCTCTGAAATCCATCGCCTGTACCACTAATCCACGAGGGATTCAACTTACTATTGTAGCAACATTTATTTTGTCCTACATATTTTTAGTGGCAAACGTAACAGTAAATGCTTGCTAACAGTACTTTAAGGTTGATTTCCACTGATGCATTTTTGGCCATGCACGTTAATGCAAGTAAATTTTAATCACATAAATAAGATAGAGGCAAGATATAAATTGTTCAGATTAATCGTGAAGTTGAGCGAAATTCTACTTTTACGCTTACGTGCTACCTTTCAGACATTGCCTCTATTTTATTTGCGAACAGAAATTTTACGCACGTAGGCATGGAAAAGTTACGCGACAGTGGAAATCAACCCTAACCCTACTCACGATAGTCAGTGCACTTACCCCTAAAATAAAGCAATATTTTGTGTAAACATCATAAGGAGTCCAATGTGCTTTTGGAAGATGGAATCTAATGTTGACCATAAATAACACATTTTCACGAAGAAAGAAATATTTACCTCCGACTTTTGCTATAATTATTCACATCAGGCGTCCCCTGCGTCCCTGTTCCCCATCCCACACGTCCCCGCGTCCCATACTTGATGTCCTCAAGTCCCTCGTCTCGCGTCCCCAAGTTCCAAGTCCCCACACATGCATCCTGATGTCCCCGTCCCCTTGTCCCCGTCCTACTTTCATACACAGCCCTGGTCATCTGCTTAAATAATTATCTTGAAAAAGTATTCCTATAACCTAGTAATGGGCAAGAATTCACATAGATCAAGGAATTTTTAAATTAGCTAATGCCAATGTCATTTCCTTGAATCACCATCAATCTGTATTTCAGCATACACTGTCACCATAAGTGACAATCAAGATTTGGTAATTGCTTATATGAGACAGGAAGTAGTCACTAGCTACAGGTTCATTATTCACTACAGTCTGTACAGTCCTACATGCAAAAACTATTTTCATTTTTTTTTAAATATACATGCATAGTCGTATGCGTAGTCATACACCTCAGTGCATTAAAATTGTAATATAAGACTGAGGTGGTTACACGTGCTGTACATTTCAACAATTTTAAATCAATCCTGAAATTTGCAAATTTCAACATCCCCGAACTGTGAAACAGATGTCAAAACTTAATGTGGAAATAGAGGTCTAGAGGTACCTACATCCATATATCCTGGATCATTTTGCCGACGTTTAAACACGTATCCAGTGCATGAGATCTCAGCCCTGACAAGTTTGTGATTCTCCAAAGTAGGACATTCTGGTCTGGTTATTGATGATCCCTAATAAAAGTTTTATATCACCAGAATTAAATTCACTGAAGGTATCCTGTAAGCACAGGTTCGATTTTCATGATGCTGCAGTTTTATACTAGTAGTAATTTTTTTTTCACTGCTGTTGACTTGGGCAAATTTATAATGAGATTCATTAAAAGCACTGATTTGATTTATTTCATGATATCGACTTCTGCTTAGAAAGCCATTAAATGCTTCCAACTTAGCTTAAGAATGTACTAGTACCTTAAAAACTGAAGTCACTGCTGTCAACTCTCCTAGAGAGTCTGGGGGACTCCAGATTTTGGACCGTATCTCCCTGTCTCCAGATTTGAGTATGAAATCTCCCAGATAATCACTGAAGTTTACCATCTCTTCATTAGAATCCAGGTAGACAATAAAATTTCAACTATTTTGCATTTTTTGAGCTATTTTACTGTTATGTTTCAGTATCAAATGTTTACCATCGTAATTTCAGAAATAATGTGATTGGTGCGAAGTAAACCAATCAAGTCAAATGTTACAAGGCCAACAACACCCTTTTCACGCATTTTGTGTCATCACAAATTTGTGATGATCGGGTATTTTTTTCATAAATGATGTCATCAGCAGTGCATTATGACATCATCTTTCATCCCTTCCCTATCAATTCTCAATATTTGAAGATGTGGGGGGTTGACAGCCCTGTGAAGGGCTCAAATAAAAGACTGCTTTACTTGAAGTTTAACAGCAATAAATTGGCAGCTACTTGACTGTATTGTAATTCATACCACTCCAAAGCCAAGCTCATTGCCTGCCTCATCATGAATAATATCAGCATATTCCAGCCAACACACATCTCTCTCCCACACTGGTCCAGGACTTCCCATAATTGCCCACTTAATACAGTAAAATGGGAGCTCAGGGGCTTTGTAACCTTCTGGAAACTGATGAAGTACCATTCCATCCTGAAAATGTACATCTGCAGAAAACATAACATGATCAATACATTAAGTCGTACATTCAAGTTATCAGCAATCATATTTATTTGTTTTTCATTCCTTTTTACTGACGGTATTTGGTAAAAAGTGATAACAGCAAATCCTTCAAGGCATCATGGTACCGCTAATTTTTGTGCTCTGCTTTCATTAGGTTATTACATTATACGCAAAACAAACAAGAGTATTAGCTACAAAGGTCAATAAAAGTTAAATAAAGTCTTTTATAGGCATAGTCATGGAAAATGATCACACAATTTCTGACAGTTATATTGTTGTTGCATCCAATGACAATGAGTCATTTAGTTAACAAAATTGTTAATTACTTCACTGTTTCACTGTTCCTGGGAGGTGAGGGGGCAGTAAGTTCAGATTTCAAGTGATGGGGATGATTGAATGGGGGCAAAAATAAAAACCCAAAAAAATTCTTGGGCTTAATACAACCCCCCATGCCACATTTCTGTTGTACTTAACTTGGTTGCACTTTGTGGCTGAGATATGTGGGCACTACCATGAATCTTCAGATTGTTTGAATACCAAAAAAATCCCTACTTAAATCAAGCTGCACCCCTAAAAAATACTTGCCGAATTATTTTCCTAACCAAAAAAAAACCCGAAATTGAAAATTTCAACCCCCAAAAAATCCTTTCTGTCACTGTCACTTTAAATCTGGAGCAAGGTTTTAGCCAGAAGGCCGTCCAGCCGTCCTATGGACGCCCATTTTTGGAAGAAACACAAGGAAAATTCAGCTAATCTCTCATACGTTTACGGGAAAACGTGAATTCCCTCTTGGGTCACTGTTGAACTGCCAAAATAACAATGTAATAGCATCTGCTTATATACTTGAAATAAATAGACAAACTAGATGGATCAAAGTCCCCCTCAATAATCTCATGAAATTTTTTTTGTTGCTGCTTTGACAATAAAGAGTGTAGTATGAATGTAAAATTATGCAAATTTGAGGACTAATGACTCACTGGTTGCTACATTTTTGCAAGGAAAGATAAGAGGAGAAATGGTGATGGTGAAAATCATTAGATGCAGATGTTACTTTACGTCCTTGGATGGATCAATAATATTTTTCCTCTATTTATACTCTCATAACATTGTACACAGAAGCAAAGGAAAATAAACTTTGAACAAGGGAAAAATTTGTACTGCAACAAACCCAAGGGTGCAGAATAATTTTTTCGAGTAATTATAATAGTATTAAATGTAACAAGCATGGCCAGCTACTAATGGTCACAAAATCTCAGTGTAAAAGCATCTGATGTGGTTATTTATAATTGTACCAATCATATGAAAAAGACGACGAAAACTCTCGGTGGTCGGTGCTATCATGAGTGCTCTTGCTTCGTCTTTTGATGTCTTTACTCGGGTGGTTCCCCGGATCAGATGAATCTAAAGACAAATTAAAGAACAGATTGAATAAGAACACTGTCTTAGGGCTACCTTAAACTTGATGATACTTGTATTCATGTGCTGCAAATGATGATGTATTCCTAAGATTTTCTAAGAGGCAACATTTTGCTCTGATGACTGAGTTTCACAGTACCATTCTGTTTTTTTTAATAATTTTTGCTTTTAAAATTCACCTGTGTATTCTGTTTACGAAATAATACCAAGAAAACACACTCCAATTATTAAAAATAAATAAAGTTTTGACAGATATTAGTTGCCTGTGTCAAAATACTCTTTTTGGTATTGAGTCAGACACTTGCTGCTGGTCTTCATCAGGTGATGATGTATACGACAATAACTATCCTTCATTCAGAATAGCTATCAGTATATATATTGTGGTTCAATTTTATCCTTGGTTCAAATTTCATTTCCCTTTGTTTTCCAGTACAGAAATGTATGAGGATGAATTTAAAACAAAGGGAAATAACATTTAAAGCAAGGATAAAACTGAACTGCAACATACACACTCAGTGATCTTGGTGTTTCAGGCAACCTGACTGGTTGGCTATCTAGGAGTCCTATGATATGCTAAGTAGTGAATATAAAATAAAACTCAATTGCTGGAGAGACTGAAAAGCACAAGAAGGCCTTAAGCGATGATTCTTTTTTAATGCTCAAAGTAATGTTTACAACAACAGAGGAGAACAAGGTCATTTTAGCTGAATGCCAACAAAGTTTTGAATACCTGACTACCAGGCACTGTTCCTTGGTAAATATCAACACCATTCTTTGTGCAGACATACTCAAACCCCTGAGAAAAAAAGTCAAAAACAAAAAATAAAAAAACATGTGACAATACCAACAATCGGTTGAGACACATTGCCCTAAAGGGCCTCCCTATAATGTTAAAGGCAACTGAAAATTTAAGCACTTTCAATGCAATATTGTGCCACTGTTTAAGCTACCTGTAAAAAAAATTAACACTCAAACTTTGAATGGAGGAGAGAGAGGAAGGGTGTGGATTGTTCTGTTCTCCGTGAAGTTACCCCATTTGAGGACATGCACTCAACAATTATGTCGCCGATTGGAGAAATGATCATTAGATAATATTTTAATAATTATGATGTAAGTTCAAGAAGTTTAAGAGAGTTCAAAATTAAGTTTCCATAAATTTTAAAGCCACAAGTGAAGCTTTCCAAAGATTGATCAAATTTATTCTTAAGACGACGTTAAGCATTTTTAAGATCCCAAAGGTTTTTAAAGATTTGCTACAGTAAATTAGACTACAAGTAGTCCCCATTTTTCCTCAGGGATAGTAGAGTGAACGAAATCGCAATCGCAATTCTTCATCATTAATGTAGCTTTGATCAGTTTAAGCAGCAATCCATTCTTCAAGATTTGGATCTGTAAATCACTATCTGTAAGAATTTAACAACCTGCTAAAAATGCTAACAAGCTGGCCCCAGCGTGACAAAACATTGCAGGAAACCGTCACTTTCACAGACAAAAAGAAAATAAATTATTGCTTATAATTATTCAGATCCAGGAGGCACTTTGCCAAAGAAATTAAACATCCCAAAACCCTTATTAATTTAGCCACATTGAAGAGCTTTACTTATCAAAAGAGATCAAATAAAATGCTCTTGCATCAGAGGGCAAATCATGCAATAACTGCAGAAAATTAATATGCGCGTCGCATCGTCTCAGTGTGAAATAAGCAGCAAAAATCACATTTACTCAGTCAAAACGTTTTCCTTCAGAGCATAATCTACCCATCAGATAAAAAAATTCACTGCAACAAGCACCATTTTGGCATGAGGTAAAGGTCGAGTGTTGCCTACCACCCCCCCTTTTTACACTATCAAGTTCTTCACGCAAAACAGCTGCGAAGAAAATTAGAAATATCCGCCCAGTTTACCAATGACAAGAGCAATGACAGCTCAATAAGAGAAGGAACCCCATTGGATGCACTTAATTGATTTGGAGGGGGATACGAACTTCACACTCCAGAATCAGTCACACGTGAAGGGTCAAAAGCTTGGGCTTTGTCTATAGTCCCTCATTTTTCTCTCCCCACCTTGTCTCGCCTTTCTCCTGTGGGGTGATTTTCACACGTGCTCACGTTTCGCTCACTCTACTATCCCTGAGGAAAAATGGGGGCTACTCATAGTCTAACAGTATATAAAAAGTAATAAAAGTTGATGTGGGGTTGTTGAATAAAAAATAACTGCTAGTCAGACTTTTGATCAAAGGGTGCAAAGAAAATCATTTTTACAGCTTGCCAATCGGGCAAGCTGAAGCTAGCATTTACTAGCCCAGACGTCATTTCAACTAGCCCCAAAAACTTTTTGTTCTTCTGTTATTCAAATTCCTCATAAAACATCACTTGCCTGTCGGGCAAGTTAAAAACAGAATTCACTAGCCCGATAGCAAAATCCACTAGCCCCGGGCTATCGGACAGTACTTTCTTTGCACGCTGGATCATAATAACAGGATGGTAAACTGTGGTAAACTGTGTGGTAATTGTGGTGTTGTGAGGTTCTAGCTTGCTGATGCAATATTGTACAACTGTACTACCTCATCTGTTGTTGTAGCATCCAGCAATCCTTTAACCCATGAATGTGCCAAGCTTGTGTACTGTTTTATTTCTTCTTTAGTTAATGAAGGTATTTGTCCAAAAAAGTCATCTGGTAATGGATACTATTATGATAGACATGTGCCAAAAATAAGGAGATATTTTACTGATTAATAAAAATTGATATAATACATAAATAAATTACTAGGGAACAAAATGATGATCATGAAGATAGAAATAGATTTAGCACCATTATTGTGTTCCTTCAAAAGATAAAAAAGATTATTGTTTCTTCATGAAATATTGACATGGCAGTAATTAACTAATGATTAGGAGGATATGAGACACAAGGGTGGAGGTTATGCCCATTGTGACTGTTGCTATGGGTGTGGGTGGGGGGTTGGGGGTTGGGAGTTGGGGGGGGGTGAGGGAGTTCCTCCAGAATCAAATTGACGGGGATGATTGAAAGCAGACAAAAACGAAAACCCCACAAAAATCCTGTCACAAAAATTAGCCCCTAAAAAATCCCACACACCAAATTTCTGTGCCTTTGAGAGTGCAGTGAGAAAAAGCTGAAGAAAAAGCTAGAGAGGTTAAATATCGACACACTGCAATTGAGGAGGTCATCATCAGCACAGCTGGACTGTGAGGAGACTACTGAACATCTTAATGGATTAATAATGGTATGTTCATGACTTGATCTAGAGACATACGAATGAGCACCTATGTTTTGATTGTGTATGATGTAAGTAATATAGTAACAGTTCATTTCACAGATCAAAGAGGTGGCTTTCCTTTCACACAAAGGATCATAGGGGAAACAAGGGCTCTACAAGGCATGTAGAGAGAGAGAGAGGGAGATAGAAATTTTATTACACTCAACTACTTGATGAAATCTAATGCATTACCGTCAACATTTTTCTTCCCTTCAGCTCTTGATGGCCATGTTCTGATCTGAATACAAGGACTATTGGATAATGTTCAGATGAGGACAGATAGTCCTGAACTCCACTGAGATGTAAACCAGAGTTGGAAACAAGAGTATCATTCAGTGAATATAACATACAACCAGCTGGGGAAAAAATTAAAGCAGATTATATGCTTAACTTGCAGAAAACCCAAAACAAGCTCACAGAAAAAAAATCAATGTCCTTTTGTACATAACAGAACTCAATCCTTCTAAGGAGATCAAAAAAAGTTCGAGTTATCAGGAGTTCAAGTTATCAAGAGTTTAAAGCATTTAATAACCGGAAATAAGCATATAAGCAAATGGATGAGGAGGGAATGTAATAATTACATTGACTATAATTATGCTTAATTATTAAGCAACAAAGTATACAGAGATGGGTACTGAATTTGTCACACATGGTTTGAGTTATTGAGGGTAAAATTATATAGAAATGACCTGAAGGGAAACAAAAATTACTTCAAGTTAGTGGGAGGTTCGAGTTATCAAGGGTTCGAGTTATTAAGGTTAAAATTGCAGTAAATGTATGAAGGAAATCCAGGGGATTAACTTTGGTTTGAGTTAGGCCAGGGCCCAAGTTAGCAAGGGTTTGAGTTATCAGAAGTCGGCTGCATATATATACAATACAACTTAGATTTTTCCTGGAAATTCAAGACGGAAGTTCACAGAAACATTCTTAAAAAGAAAGATGAATTCCCTTGAGCTCCAGTTTCCTGTTGCTGCCACATGCAGTGGGTGGGCTCTTCATGTATCTGCCTAGAATATATCTTTGATGTCAGACTCTTTTTCAAGTTTTTCTTACAGTTTTTAGTGAGCTTTTTAAAAGATTAGAAAGCAATAATCCCCCTGGTAACTGCAGAACTAAGTGTCTCACAGAATCTGCCTTGAATGGAATTGCTACTTTCAGGATTTATTAGCAGCCCCATTTATTAACCTTTTTGAATTCTACTTTTGAAATTTGGCCTGCATGGTAGTGGCATCATAAGGGGTGAAAGAAAAGCCTGCTATAAAAACCTCCTTTTGTTCATTTCTGTAGCTGCTTCTGCCAATCTGGAAGCTGCAAATTTCCAGTTGGCTAATTGAACCATAATGAGTAAGTTATTGATGTGTATTTAGTAAGAAACAACCACGATGCAATGACAGGTCATGCAGAAAACATGTTTTTTTGTCAAAAGCCTGTTATTTCTCCTTTAATGATTAGTATCTCTGTCTGGCATATCTTTGATTAGGCAAGACCATAAGTTTTGGTTATTACCATAATCATATTTGTGGTCACTTTTGCTGGGCAGCTCTAACTTTAAAAACAAATGAAATCTGTTCTGTACGTGTTGCTAAATTTTGATACCATTTGGATTCATGAAGAACACTTGTCTTAGCATGACAATTTCTGGCAAACAAAGCGATGCGTCTGCCAGTCCACACTGAGAAGAGCACATCATTTCAGTTCAATCACTTAACGACCATTGGCACTAATGGATTAGCAGAGAAATTGGTGGGTGCAATGCAAATACACCAGTTCCTATGACAGATACTCCCTTTCCCTTTGTATCACAAGGTCACGGGTTCAAATCCTGCTGATGTCCTGAATTTTTTCAGGCTTCTTATGCAATTGCATAAATTGCGTTCACAACTGCGAGGATCATTCTTCATTTGATTTCATTTCCGCAGTTTTTATATATGATTTATTAGATATACTTTTGTCACATTCATCTCTTTCACGGGAACATTTTGAACACATAATTGACCAGGTCCCAACATCAGTGGCTTCATGGCTTAGATGGTTAGAGCAATTTGCACTGGTATCACGAGGTCACAGGTTCAAATCCCGTTGAAGTCCTGAGCAAGCTCTCCGGAGTGCTTTGGCGGCGGGGCAGGGAAAGGAAGGAGAGCTTGCAACTATGTCTCTGGAATATGAATTCCACTTGCAATTCCCCTGTAGCTCCCCGTGGACTGAGCTGTCAGATTTCCGCCAATCAGCTCGAATTGGGAAGCAGAAAGGAGCACAAATGTAAACAAACATTGAAAAACATTTGCCAAGGGTAATGACATCAATGCTAATGTCATCCCCATCAATCAGCATTTTGCATCAACTTTTTCAATGCAGATATTCAAATTCTGGAAACGTAGTTGCAAGCTCTCCTTGCGTTTCCCACCTGGCTGCCAGAGAGTCCTAGAGAGCTTGCTGGCAAGCTAGAACAGACCAAGCGTTTAGGTACTGGGTAATTCTCGTGTTAAAAGCTAATATTGACGTCCTTACTTTGGTTACTTCTTTAGTAAGTGTTGTCTTTTTTTTTCCTTATAGCTATTGCCCTCTTCAAAAAGAACCAATACCAAACCAGTAGCATGCAAGAAACTCAGACAAAAACAAATTTGGTCTTGTCAACCACTAGTGACCTACAAACTTCAAACATGATTTTCACCCTTGGTGCAAAAGCCTGAAACTAGAAAAATAAATAAATTTTGGATTGAAATAGTTGTTTTCCCTCCCTTTTTATTTCAGTTTCTACCTTTTTGATTTTAAAGTTTGCTCAGCAGGAATTTTGGTTTTCTCAATTGGTTTATATACGCAACTGGAAATACAAAAGTGATATTGAATTCTTTGCTTGTGTGCAGTGCATTTTGCTGCGGTGTTGTGAAGGGTATAGTTTTCAAGCAGTTTAGTCTGACTAGTATTGGCCTAGATCTGGTATAAGCTAAGGGTTACAGGCTGTTCAAAATTTTATGGTATCACTGCATTTTAATTTGCAGTTACTTAAGGGGAGGAAAACAGCCCCAGATCAGGACTTTTAAGACCCCCTAAACAGTATGTCTCTGTAAAAGCAACAGTTGTAAGTTATACATGTTGCAGGCAAAAACTGCTTTTAATAGAGTGTTTTCACATGACGTCACGGCGACCATATTGGTGTCCCAAAACAATGAAACGGCAGCCATGTTGGTGTCCCAAACCAATCCTGTGGGAGATGAACTCTTTTCTTATGCAAACGCTTTCTTTTGTTCCCATAAATTTGCATAAATGCTGGCCACGTGAGTGAAAACACTCTATAGGTTAAACCAAAATTATTAGGGCTTGGAAGTCAAGGAAAGCCTGAATCAGACTTTAGGTTGAATACTGGGGCACTTCAAGCACAACTATTGTGTTGGCATTAAAAATCAATTGCCATTACTTACAAGGCACTGTGGCCAAGTTGTCAAAGGTCTAAATCCTGCTCTGTCTCTGTCATCCTGAATATTTCAAATTCTTTGTCATGGGCTAGCAGCCCAGGGTTTTGTATACACCCCTTGCTAGTTGGGATTGCAATCTTGTTTAAATATGGGTGTTGTATATGGATTACTCCTTTCTTTGAAACGATATGATTGGAGTGCCTCAGTAAACTAGCTAAAGCAACAGCCAAGAAAGTTAACTTCCTGACCTAAAGGTTAAAGGCTTACCCATTACTCTCTTTTCTCTTAATAAATGAAATTTATGAAGCAAATAAACAAAACCTGAACAGTTGATTTTTTCCAGTACAAAAGATATGTCCCGCTTTTAAAATGCAAAGCTCAACTTACCCGGAATGTGATCACTATTTTCCTTAAATGGAACATAAACAAAATGGCCGTTCGTTTCCTCCTTGATTGAAAAGTTGATTTCCTCTTTTTTTGTGACGATCTTCTTGAACTCTTTCATTGTGTAGTATAGGTTAATTTAAGGATGCCAATAAATTAAATTTAATCTTATGTCTCATTTCAAGTGGAGTCCTCTGATCGGAGAGTTGAGGAACACGAACGATGCAAGGTCACGTGACCTTATGGCTGTCACGCGCGTCTTTTTCCCATCGTTTCTAGCGGGGAAGAATTTTTTACTTTTTTGCTTGTACTTTTTTTTTTTATTTTTTATTTTTTGGCTTTTTCACCACTTTACAAGTATTTTTATGCACTGAGTTAAACATAAACGCATGGAGCTTCTGTAATACATTTCTTTCACAGCCCTTGTACTGGACAGGCATAACACGAAATTATAAAGAATATAGCCTTTCCGTACTTTCCCTTTGAATTGTCCCGCGTAATATCATACGGGCCACTTTCATTTCGGAGTCTCGCGATTGTAGCAATAAAACTCCTGTTCCAAGTTCCCAGAGAAAAACCTCTGGTACCCAGGGTAGTTCTTTCGCGTTCTCAAGTCTAAGGCAGTCATGCTTCTGCCGTGCCGAACTATTTAAAATTCAAGAATTAAGTTAGACAAAAGCACGGCAGAAGCACTGTGTCTGAATCAAACTTTTAAATTACGTTCGACAAGCGCTGTCGTGCTACACGGCTGTGGCACAGCAGCGATTCAAACGTCGTGCTTCTGCCGCGCTAAACAAAATTCATAAATTATATTAATGTATTTTGACGAGATTGCGTTCCCACGGGGAGTTGGGAGAAGAATTGGTTACGAGGTATCAGTAAATCCTGAATTTGGTTCGACTCTGGCACTACTTCTGAATCAAAGTTGTTTTCCTGCCGGCGCTACTGTCGAACCAAAGTTCACGACGTCTGAACTGGGCCTAAGATCCTTGGTCCTGGATACTGAAGTAATCACTTTTTAAAAATCAATCGGCGTAATTACGTAAGCCTCCGTAGCTCAGGGGTTAGAGCACTGGTCTTGTAAACCAGGGGTCGAGAGTTCAAATCTCTCCGGGGGCTAGGACTGTATTCTTTTTTTCCTTTTTCTTTTTCAGTACATAGTAACTTTTAATTCGTAAGGTTCTTGCAAAGTGGTATTAAAATTATACGTCCATAATTTTTTCAGTGTTCCAAAAGTTACGTCTATTGAATATATTAACTGGTGGTAATTTACAAAACTAGTCCTCATCAGGAACTAGAAAAGCTAAGAGAGAATAGAATAAACGGTTACAGTATGTAAAATAATACAAATAAAAAAAAAATTAGTGTGTCTGGCGGCTCTGGCCTGTCTGCCTATTTTCCTTTTATTGCAGATCGAGACGGCTGAGTGTTATATTAGGCCACGAGAGGCTTGCGAGACTGCTGAGGCCGCGCGAGATAGTTAACTTTTCGCAAATTTCGTTAGTATACTAGAAAACCAAAGGGTTAAGCTAACGAATAAATTATTTAATTTTTTGGTTTTTAAAGCCCTCTATAAGCCACCCCCCTCCTCCACCTGCGAAAACAAAACATCAGAACCCCACTAACTTCTGTTGAAATGAATTCAATTTTTTGCGACGTTTTGAAGCTTACAAAAGGAGTAAATTCAAAAAGTATTTTGATCAGTGCTGCTAGGTAACTTGTTTTCAAAACGCTGTTTTTAGTCCGGTTATAAGCTCCCCCGGAAATAAGCGCCCCGTTTATAAGACTTCCTAAAGACCCCTTACGACGAAGTTGTTTCAGGACTTATAGCGGAAGTTTACGGTACGGGAATATCGCAAGAGTTCAGTACCCCTGGTTCAGTATTTCCCTACTCGTTCCAGACTTCTACGATATCGATAGCTCTACGTTCGGTCCATGGGAGGAACAATTCATGGCAGGGACCGCGGAGGGGGAGGGGCTGGTAGGACTATAGCCCTACCACTTTTATTGCTGGGATTTATTTTATAGGACTCTAGCAGACATGGAAAAAATTTCCGTGGAATTATTGGACTTCGGAAGAGTGGGATGTTTGCTCGTCCGAACGATTACAACCCGATGTGCGTGCAAGGATAATCAGAGATGTAAGGCCCAAATGGAGTGATTTGACTTTTTCTCTGCTTTGCATCTTGGACAGCACCTTTATTGCCATACCGATAATCTATCTAAGGATCTTCAGGGTACTAAGATGGCTGCTGTCAGTGGACAACGCCTGGCAAATCTAACAAAGGAGACGCCCACAAAAATTCGCATTGATCATAGCTTCGACCATTTCTATGCTAATGTTGCCTGCAAGTGTGAAGGCCTGCTCGGCGAACCAACGCTTCGAAGAAAACGACACACTCCGGCCAGACTGTAGGTTGGTGCTGGTGTACCAAGCTATCCTCAAACTGCTAAAGATCACTGGGTCTTATTATGAGGCTATTGATCTTATCGTCAGGGCTATCTATCAGCGCGTTAATCAGAAAAGCTTCGGGTCTTAAGCCCAGATGGAGACCCTCTTGCTTAAAGCTGCTATAGCTAATGGTGACGACTATGAGGCAGAGTTCAGTTTCTTGAAGCATAATACAGGGAAGATGTTGCGATACAGGGGCCCTACCTAGGCAACTAAGTACTATGGAAGTTATGTTACAGGAGGAGCCGAGATCATGTTTTGACGAAATCCTGTTGGCGGTGTTAAAGTTTCCAGAACCAGAAAAGAAGCTAATTCAGGAAGTCCAAACTATCTGTAAGCTGCTTGCTGTAAATCCTATTACCAGCGCTGCTGGTGAGGGTTCATTCTCATCCGTACCGCGCAAGGCGTCTGAAGACGTGGCCTCGATCCAGGATGGGTGATGAGAGTTTTAGCAACCTTGTAGTAACGTTGAATGGTTACAAGCTGAGAACAGACAGTGTCTCTATAGCTGACGTCGCACAGGAGTTTGTTTCGAGCCAGGTTTCCAGCAATAAGGACCGCAAGAGAAATTTCGGCACTGCTGACAACTTCAAAGTAGCAATCTTAGGAAGGTTTATTCAACATATTGGCTGTACTGGATACTATAACACGTGACAACTTTTATGTTATATTTGTTGAGGCTGTAAATAAGATGTCGCGCAAATGCTAGACTGCGAGCAGTCTCTCTTTTTCTTCAGATTTCAAAGCGGTAAGGGGAGTGCACGCGCGTGCAACCGTTGAGCGGCGCGAGAGCCGCAAGACGCGAGAAACGAGGGCGGCAGCCGGGTCATTTGCGTGTCTCGGGTGTTTTGCTCGATGGACCAAGAGAAAATAGACACTGCTCGTAGTCTACGCAAATGCAAGATAAATGGCGAAACACTGAACTTAATGTTTCTTTGTATTGGCAAGATTTTTTTAGCCCTACCACTTAAAAATGGTCTCTGCTGTCCCTGTCATGGGAGGCGAAGCGATTGTTTTTGCTCGGTTCCATTACTCCAGCTGCTTAGCACATGTTTTTTCTGACAAATTGGTGGAATCTCAGACTATCAGGAAAAATCCATCTTCCGCACTCCGATAACCAGTCACGGTCACCCATCGCCACGGCAAACGATCCGGCGAACGAGCGGAAAAAAATTGGCGGGAAGCCTGGAAGTCAAAACGCCTTGGTAGCCGTGTAAAAGGTCACGTGATGTGCAAATTTAGGCGGGAATTCGTTGAACATTCGAATGAAGGCTGCCATTTTGAATTGTAATAAGGAAGAATAACGCGTTTTTATGGTTCTTTTTCGAGTATATTTTGACTTTAAACTGGTAAGTTGCAAATGTAATAGTTTGTAGAAGTTATCTATGTGTCTCGTTTGTGTGTATTTGCAGTTTTAGTACCTCTCCGGCGTTTCAAATTTACGCGCTTTACACAAAAAGTAACACAATACTACTTGTAGTCTGTAGCGTCGTTTTCTTCGCTTCATTTGTTGTTCGTGAATGTAAGCATAGGCTTCTTTCAACGTTATGTTGTTTTCACAGGTAGTTACTTGTTTGCATTACTTTAATGTTCGTCGTTTGGAACTGTTTTTTGATGGTAAAAAGAAAAAATTTGTACTCGAAAAAACACGTTGACTTGTAAATTTGGCTTACATTATAAGGACCAAAAAGCACCGTTTATATCGCTTTTCGTCGGAATAACGTACTCCACATCCAAGTTTTCTATGCTACACACTCTCCCGTGGTTATTTAACTCGAAGGCTCAAATACTGAATGCGTCGCCAACTGTGTCTTTCGACTGCTAGGAGAAAAGGTCAACGTCTTAGCTTCTTGCTCGTGACAACTGACAATAGCTTCACGATTTTCAAATCAACGGATTTTTGCTGTTACATTTTATGGTTTTGAACGAAAAATTTGGGGTTATTACAGCTAAAAGTTGCGACCAATGAAACAGCGAAATCCAAAGTTATTTAGAAGGCGTCTTTCCTAAATATGATCTTGGTTCTGTTTCAGTGGAACGTAAACTTTGTCAAACATAAACAATTTCTAATCAATCTGAAATTGAAATAATTAAAAAAGCGATATTTCACTTGTTTACGGGTTGATAATTTTTGGGTTCTACATTTTGTGCACTCGATTCCAACATTAAGCGTAAATGATTTATCAAGTCCAAATACAAAACCTAGATGAAAATTATTAGGCCTAAGCTTGTTATTATTATTTTTAACCGATTGACACATAGCTTCTTTGAATGACAACCTGTTTGAACACGTACAAAAAGTGACACACATGCAAGTGAGCAAATGTTGAAATGTAGGTTCCTCGAGGCTATCCTGTCAAGCCTAAATTGTCCAAATTGTACTTAACAGTAAGAATTTCTGGTTTGAGTTAATTCTGTTTGTTTTTTTTAAAATACTAGTTTTTGCATGTCAGAATGGACAAAAAATATTTGCCACTTTTCTAATCGAAACAGGATTTTAAAGCAGTGAAATCATGGAGGACTTGCCTCAAAAATAAACTGCAGTTCACCATTGTATCATGACAAAACTTTAAATAATGCTGACAAAATTAATACATCTGACCAATACATGAAAAAAAACTAGACATTTGTTTATTATATGAATACTGGTATTTACTCTAAACAAAGTTGTCTGTTAAAAATGCAGCCTGTTCACAGACCCTCTATTTTCTCATTTAAAGAGATACCCTATACCCAAAACAGTAATTTTGCGAAAAGATGGCTTATGGCCTTATTAAACGATTTTGAGAAAATAGAATGTCCAGTCCTCCTGTATTTGCCAGAAAATGAGGAACGTTTTTCATCACGCAATTCAAATTTTGTGCTACAGCTAGAAACCAGAAATGACATAGCAAGATCAAAGATCCTGGTTGCAAGACTTTACAACGAGGCCTCTAAGTTTCTGATCTGTTTTGAACAGTCAATAAAGGATTTTATGGTTGATATTTTTTATAATGCTACATTGCTGCGTCGCTGTAGTGGATGTGACTCCTATACTCACAAAAACAGAGTTAATCTTTATCAGTGGTCCGATGATCCCCAATATGCCAGGCTTTGGATGAGTGCCGTGAAAAACACTTGATCTGACTTTACCGAGCCTATGAATTCAACTAGACTTTGCAGCGCTCATTTTATGGAAGACTGCTTTGAAGCACAAAACCAATAATAAAAGCTGATGCTGTTCCAACAACTTTTAAACATGGGCCACCAGAAACTAAAAAGCAAAAGTGTGAAACAAATATCGGCGCAACATCTCAGGATACTCAAGATAAAACTCACCATAAAATTATATCACTGCTTGACTTTCAGAAAAAAATGTTGGGGTCAGCTGGCCCTCAAGTTTTCATTTTTGGTTGACAGGACAAGTCTTCTAGTCGCCAAAAAGAAATATTTAAGAACTAATGAAATACAATAAACTTAATATCTTTCACTTAGCCTTAACAGAAAAAGAATGCTTTAGACTTCCTTTGAACGTTCTTTCGAACGGTTTTCGCTCAAGGCTCAATTACCAGTGACCTGCAAACAGCAGACGCATTTCCGGTAGTCGTTTCTCTCCCTTCAAAAAATAGGAGAGAAGCGACTACCGGGAATGGGTCTGCTGTTCGCAGGCTAGATTACCAGCTGGTGTTCAGGAAAATGAACCTGTACTCAAACGTAAATCTCCTCCAACAGGTACCGTATTTATTCGATTAACCACCCTGGCTGCTTATAAAATTTTTGGACCTTGAGAGTGGGCACGTATTCGAGGCTGGGCGCTTTTTAAATTTTCACTATTTTCAGCAAGTGTAGTATGTTTATTTTGCGACAAATCAAAAACAGGTACTAACAAAACGCGAAGATGTAACAAAGCAAGTTTCTGTAAGATACCCTAAAGAAAACTCCGTCTTCGGGAAGTCTCTTATTAGTACTTATTATTTTTGTTGGGTGGGAGGGAGAAGGGGGTGGGTTTTGGTTGTGGGCACTTATTTGAGTTTGAGTGGAAGGGGGAGGGGGTGGGCATTTATTCGAGGCTGGGCGCTTATTCAAATAAATACGGTATTCAAGCAATGGAATATACATTTTGATAAACAAACTTAAGGAATCACAAAAAAAGTTATTTGGGTTATTAAAGAACAAAATCCGCAAAATTTGTTTTGTGTCCCATGTATTTGCATGTTCACAAATGAACATAGGTGAAACTTATTCTGTTACGCAGTTGCTTAGGCCATGATCAAAAGTCTCCAGAAAGAGGAAATGTTGCTAATGTTTTCGAGGAAAGAAGTGGATTCGCGAGAAGTCTGTTAGACAAACAGCATGAGTTGAACAGCACTTTATTAGAAGTCAATAAAATACGGCAGAGCTTTTATTTGAGTCGTCACACTCAACAGAAATTTGCATAAAGTTGTTTCCAAGAAGCTTGAGAAATAAGCACCGTTCATTAAGCTCCTTAAGTTCCTTAAGCTTTTATTAGTCTAATCTGCTATCGAGTCCGCAAATCGAGATACATGTTTGACGTAAAGAAACTGTTTTAAATCGATGCGCCAAAAGTCATTCCCGGAGAAACACAGGACGACCTGTTGAGAATTGTGATCGATTTGCCCAAAAGTTGATAAGACTTCCGTCAAATTCATCACTTGTGATTTTCACAATCCTCTTGCAAGTAAAAGTCAAACGTTAGACGGACCAACTGTTGTATCATAAGAACAACCCGTTAGTGTTGGAAATCGTAAAAGCGTTTAGACAAATCGTCAAAGCATTTAAACAAATCGTTAAAGCGTTTGGGCAAAAGGTTAGAGCATTAGAAAAACCGTTAACTATCTGTTAGTTTTGAAAAAGATAACAAATTATCGTTATTGTACAGCTGTACGTTTTCCCAAAGAAGAAAGTCACTTATCTTGGGGACCAGGTTGGCGACCAGGTGTGAAAATTTAGTCGCTTATGCGAAAAAGCTGGTCGCATTGGCGACCCCACAGGTCGCAATGTCGAGCCCTGCTTTTGCTTTATATGGCGACTACATGTTAAAATTCTGTGTAGTCTGCGTTCTCATTACTCCTCTGCTAAGCGAAATCCCTTAAACACAAAGTCATGTTCATTGTTTTGGGGAGGGAAGTGACCCCTAATGCAGCAAACTGCACAAGATGGTAGGACAATGCAAACTTTTATACAAGCATAGGTTCATACTAAATTTCCATGGAAAAAATTTGCCTTGTACATGTACACGGCTTACTTATAACATGGCTTTAGATCAAAACGATGCTCAAAGAAAATATTTCCACTCCATCAGAAGAGCAATTTATAGCCAGAATTATATTATTTTATCAAAAGTGTAATCATACCATCAATCAGTAATAAGCAGAATTTGCAATGCAGCATATTTGCTTTTATACTGATAGGGTATGTATTTTGCTATCGCTTGGGTTGGTCCACAATGGACTGTCACTTGTCGAGTCAGTATCCAAGTTTAGTAAAATCGCTATCATACGACTGAAACAAATAAGTCTGTACTCCCTCACACTCTGATAAACTTGAATTGTCGTTTATACTTTTGTTTGAAGGACAAGAAGAAAGGAAAGAACTATCCTGGGACTCCACAATCTCTTCAGACACACCGAAAAGATTCTCCTTTCTATGTCATGGTCATGTGCCCTAAAAAATCTGTGCAAAAAATGTTTTAAGGTATAGAGTATCCCTTTAAGGTACCCGCACTGACTGACAAATTTTGCACATTTAGTGCATCACTTTTAATAATCCTGTGTTCAACCACAACTCATCTTCAAATAATCTACCTTCTAGGGCACAATTTGCTATTTTGTAATTTGATCCAGTTTTTGACATCAATAACTCAGCTGACATGTATGTCAATTCTAACCTTTGGTCAAACGCACATCTCTTCATTATTATGCTCTTATTGTATTTGCCTAATTTCACGAAGAAATTTTCATCCATTCCCCCATAAACTGGTTCTCATAAGTCAAGGTAAATTGTTCATGCAATAATTAACGCTTTTTCAGTGTAAAAAAGCTTATTTTCTTCTCAAAATCAACTTTTTTTTGACGATACAGCCTTGACAGACATTCTCGCCCGCCATTTTGAATCACCACTGTGTGAAAGGCTTGTGGAAGCCTAAAAATGCTAAATAACCTCTCTATAGCCCCCTTGCATTTTGATATGTGACTATGTTGCTAAGTGTGATGCACTTTAGGGATATGCGTTACACAGTGTCAGCATTGAAATGCAATGAGGAGCTCTGAACTATGAAGATCAAAGAAGATTTTTATTTGAAAACTGAAAAGAATTGCTTCTGTAAAGAGAAAGAAATCAGCAGAAAAACAGACCAGAGGATTGTTTTTGTTTACAAAGTGTATGATATAACGGGCAGCAATAGATGTGAATTTCATAGTACCAGCTTCTCTTTCTTTTTTAACTCCAACAGAGAAAACTAGGATGTTGAGATGGGCAAAAAAGAAAAAAAGTTTATTGGGGACTAAAAGTTATTCTGTACGCTTAATCATGAGAAACCTTACCAAGCAATAGGTACCTGTCCCCCTCATGTCTATAAACTTGGCATAAATCTGTCTTCATCTTCTGTCCAGATATAAATTAAGAGATGGATTATCCATCTCACGCAAATCACTTGGAGACAAATAATTCTGGCCAATAATTCATCTAAACACTGGATTTAGTGTAGATGAATTACCTTTCTCAGACAGATAACTCAAATGAGAAAGATTTTTCTCTGTAGTACAGATTCAGATAGAATGTACTATGGTTTTCATCATCAAGATTGTTTTAAATGTTAGATTTGACCTTTGGTTTTGTCTCTTTTAGGCAGAAATCCTTTTTTAGCACTTCATAACCACCACCATGTTTTATCATCAATTTATCTTGGCTAAGAAAGCCCCTTTGGCCAGAGTATGGCTGGCAGCTCATTGGGAGCGAAAGCTGAGCAAGGCTTTAGTTTCTGAGACAGATCTCCCTTCTTCCGTTGAGAGTATCATCTCACCAAAAGTCAAGCTTGCCTTGCGAACGTCAGGCCATCTTCTTCTTGGAGTTGTGAGAATTTACTCCCGAAAGACAAAGTACCTATTAGCTGATTGCACTGAGGCGTTTGTCAAAATTAAAATGGCTTTTCGTCCAGGAGTGGTAGACCTGCCTGAAGAGGGCAGAGAGCTTGCATTTGCTGCTGTTACTATGCCAGAGGTTTTTACAGACCTTGATATGCCATTGCCTGAACTCAAGTAAGTTTCTCTTGTTTTTTTTGGTTGCTATTTTTATTGCTTGTTTGTTTTTCCTGCAAAAAAGGCAGATTCTAGATATTTACCCATTTACACAATTGTAAACACCCTTATGGAATCACATTCCACTTATGACATCAACAGTTTGAATCTTCAAGATACATGCTATGTAACTAAAATGCTCAACTTGTGCAGGGAGGAAGAGTTCTTTTGAATCATGTATGAATCTGAATAGTTTCGCAAACAGACAAGAGATACACACCCCAAAAAATAAAACAAATAAAATTATTCAACTTTGGCAGGAAAATTTGAATTGAGAATGCATTTTGATACTACCCCTGTCTACCTTCTGTCTGGAATAACAAAGGCTAGTGTCGTGCTTGACTTGTAAACAATTTTTTGAGTAGTTTTGTTGGGTGGCAATTAGCCAGTAAACAGCTTGACTAAATTCAAACTGCAATTTTTGGCAAAATTTCTTGGTAAGAATGGGTAAACCTCTAGTAGTCCATAACTGCTTTATTCCATGGGCACTTGAGTTGTCTTTTTATAGTCTAAAAGCCTCGAGAAGAATGAGGTTGAGTAAAGTTGAGATGCTATCTGCCATGGTTCACACAGGCCTGCAATATTCTTTGAAAAAGTGCTTGATCCTTGAAAACCCCTTGAATTTGAAGAATTGGTGCTTGAATTTTATTGAAACTCCTTAAATACAATTGAGACTACTGCAAAATAAGTTCATTTTGACATCAAAAGATTGAAGGAACTGCTGAAAAACTCTCAAACAACGAAAAGCTCTCGATATTGGGACAATTCAGTATTTCTTATTTAAGGTATCTAAGCACCGCTCCTTCAATAGGTAAGGGCCCAGGCAAATCGTCATATAACTTAATCATTTATTAAAACAAACAAGGAATGGCCCCAAGCAAGGAAAATGTGAAAGCTACTTTTCACAGGACTAGCTGGAATTGAAGGTTTTTTTTAGTCCCAGGGTTGTCAAAAGTAGCCAGCTGCCAGCAAAAATCGCCACCTACTTGGTTAGTATCGGCTGGCTACTCTCTTTAGCATTTCTTTACAAATGGTGTTTTTTAAATAAAATATCCCCCACACTGGCTGCTTACTTTGACAACTCAGCCGTCTACTTCATAACTTTCTGACAACCCTTGTGCCTACAATAAACATACATTCTGTAAATATTTTACTATTGGTGACAACCTTGCCTGTACTGGATAATGCTAACCACCTGATAAATCACTATCTAGTGGATTGCTTTATTTACCTTTTGACCAAGTGGGGCCTGTTGTTTACTCTGGTCTTTAAACATAAATATCACATGTACTTTTGGATGACTGATAATACTGAAGAGGCATTGATTCCTTCAAGGTTTTCTGTTGGTGTTGCCTTATCTTTCCTTGGAGGTGACAAGCTTTCAACAGCTTTGGCAGTTTTTGTTACAACCAAAGTTGATTGCACTTATTCAGTAAATCAGCAATACACCATTTTCAAGGAGTGCATTGGAATTATGTCGTGTTTAATAAACGAGCAACAGTGTTTTATTGGGTTTAAAATCATGAGCTGAAGGCAAGTGATTTTAGACCCGATAGAACAGGTGCTGCAAGTTTATTGAATGTCCTCAAAGACATTTCTGGAAAAGCATATCTCAGTGGAGTTGATAACAAGAATGCTTTTGTGAATGTCAGGAATTAGCAGACGAAAAAATATTAAGTATGAATTAGGCATGGAAGAAAATTAAATCTCACACAGGTTTAGAACTTTTCTTCTACAAATGACACTAACCGAAGAGGACATGGCGTCTTGTTCTAGAGCTTTTCAGAAGCCTAAAACTTCCGGGGAAGAGAGAAAGTGAATCAAAAATGCTCTCCCAAAGTCAACATGTGCAATGAAAAAGTAGTCTTTCTTTCTGGAATGGCCAAATGGTAGGAAAACAAAAATCCAGTACTCCAGCCTTGTGTCTTCACAACTGACAAGGCTTGACTGCAATGCTTGGACACTGCTTTAGCCAATATTACCGCTGAGTCACTGAACTTTTGGCTGATTAAATTTGTGAAAGAACAAAGTTTAATTTTGTGCAATAGTAAATTTACTGCATGTGTAATTTTGAAAAAAACATTAAATATTCACCCTCCATTTGTTGTGTCAGTTGCGGTGCTGATAATTTTAAAAGTGGCTAAATGTAATTTAGGCAAAGTTAACCTCAAAGCAATGCTGGTCAGCAGTTTCCCCAGCTATACTAGGGGTGGCCCGATGCCTCTAGCAGGGGCACCTCGTGACTTATATACACAGTTGCTTGCAGTTCTTCGCAAAGTGTTGTTGCAATAGCTTGCTGTTTGCATGGCATTTTGTGCTTTGGTTTTTTCCCATCCCTCCCTCCCTCTTGAGTTATGGGCCAGGTAAGTATTGGTTGGTAAGTATTCCACCGAATTGTTCGGTGTTACAGTGCCTGGTGGGGGCCACTTGCAGGGTTGCCATGGATGCCTCCTCCTCATGCTTGAGCATTGCCCGGCTCCACCATTTTTGTAGGCACCAATGCCCAAGCTCATCTATTGGTGATAAGTTTAACATATTCATAAGTCACGTGCAGTGACTTTATATCTGATAAAACACCATATACTAATAAGGAGAGGTTTTATCAATATAAAGTCACTGCACATGATCTATTATTGACCATTTGATAGGTAATGGGCTCATGAATTACTAATGAGTTTATGAAGTAATCCTAATTAAGGTAATTTCTTTCTTGTCTTACAGTGAAGTTGAAATTCATGCCCAATTCACTTTAAATCAAGGTCGAATTGAGGAAATCACAATGAAGGAAGACATAATCACCAACAACTTCATTGGTGATGATGGGTTTGGAGACATGTTTGAAGGAGAAATGGAGCGAGAGTTGGCCAGAGGAGGATCTGCTTTGGAAGAGCCCCTTTTTCAGGCAAATGACACATCCAAGTTAATCACTATTGAGGATGCAGAACCAAAGACAATCACTGATTCAACTTTGGAGAGAAGCAATCTAGGTAAAATGTTTAATTTAGTCTTGGTTTTATTCTTTTATGCAATAGTAAAACTATGCAATGCATTTTTCAAACTTATTAGTACCATTGGGGTCTGTTTGATCACTGCTGTTTGGAATTAAATACTCCTTATCAATTTAGCCAAAATGCTATATATTATTTCTTTGCTGATGTATGTCAGATCATTGTTGCAATAGAAGCAAGCACCATTGTCATTATAGCTGTTAGAAATTTTGTGCTCTATCCAGGAGAGGTAATATTATACAAATTTTAAATAATTAAAGTGAAAGAGCCCAAGTGTGTTTACAGGTCATGAAATGATATATCATCGTATCATATTTTCCTTTTTACTCAACAGTGCATACTTAGCTCTTAAACACTCTCATAGCGACTACTTCTCGTAAGCAACCACTTTGTAAATAACCACTTTGTTTCTCAGTCAAATACTGTTTCAAAAACTCTCATGTAAGTGACCACTATTTAAATTTCTTAAATAAACATGACCACATTATAAACCAGAAATTTGACATAGAGGCAGGTGACCTTTCTGCACCCACCCACTCCATACACAGAGCTGTCATTAAGGGTCGTAACCCTTAACACCTTACGACTTAGCTCACTGGATGTTACAGGTGATCAAAGTGGAAAGCTAAAGGTGGCACTATAAATTTTTGTGAGATGTTACAGGTGAATCTTCATTTGCCACGGCTGCTTCAAAACTTTATAACAGTCCTGGTACATATATTTGATGGCCTTAAGCTAGTATTTTTTTGTAGCTAGGCTTGTGGAATCTTTCCTTTGCTTCCCTGATGGGCAAGTAAATAATAAGTTTACAAAATTTATGTTAGTTTTATTATTTTTATTATCATCATAGTGAATATGTTTTTATGCTACATGCAGTTCATCCAATTTTTGAAAGCCTCTTTTAAACCCCATTTAAACGCGCTAAAAAATCGGCATGGCACTCCCAATTTTCGACGTGTAAACGTATCGGTCCCAAATGTAATGTGGCACCGGGGCTCAAAATTTTAGGGGTGCCGACACTACCTCCTGGAGGTAGTCTCGGCACGGGTAAACGACGTACGCTGCCAAAAATTTGGCATGCCCTGCTGATTTTTTTAGCACGTGATTCAAAATTCATATGATTCAAAACAAGCTGCATGTAACTATAATTTGGTGGCTAGCAGTGGTGCATTGGCTCAGTGGTATGAAAAAGTGTTTGTTTCTATCCAGTTCGTCATTGGTATTGATCAGCAATGAACTTTTATTTCTTTTTTATCTTGGCTAGACACAGCACTTGATGAACCTTTAAGAGATGATGGGTTTGGAGGCGAAGGTGTAGATTTTCTCGCTGATGGATTTGGAGATGAACTTGGAGGAGATGCTCTTGTACCTGGTTTTGATGATCTACCAACCACAGTTGGTGTAGCAGATGTTACTCTTGAGCCCGTGGATACAAAGTTAATTGAAGACAAGGAGAGTCCTGTGACCGAACCTGTTCAAGAACCAGGTAGGCCTCTACCTTTTCCACAGCATTAGGGAGCTTAAGCAACTACGAGGACCTCAAAATAATAGGTTTAATGATCAAAACAACAGCTCTGCACTTGCATCATGCTTTTTAGTACATTTCTTTGACGTCCACTGCACGACTATGACGCGAAACCTCCTAATTTGCCATTTTATGGAGGACGTGGACATGTGACGATGAATTTTCTTTCCTCTTTTTTAACCTAAATAAAATCCTTAAGAATTCAACTCCAGGAAAAGTCGCCTGCATTTGACATATTGAGCGGGTCCAAATAGACGCGATTAAGTTTGAAAGAACGCAAATTCATTTTTTTACTGACATTTTCACTGCCGTCGTCGTCATCCTTGCTTAAGGTCCCTAATGTCGTGAGGTGGTCTTTATCCCATTGCATAGCCTCTTCTTGCCATCTTCGTCATCAGACATCAGAGGCAGGAGAAATGGAATGTGTACATACACATGTGAGGTTCTCTATGTACTCATAACTAGACAGAATAATCAGATAATTTTACCTGCAATAAGATGTATGTGGTATAGTAGTTTATTGTAGGGTTTTCACTTGGATAATTGGAGGTTGCCTGTTGATTTAGAGTTAAGTAACCTTACCAACTGTATCAAACATAGCCATGTTTAACATGCATAAACTATTTTTAATGCTTTAGTGTAACCATATGGACAATCTACTGTTTTAATCCTAAGTTAAGACTACTTTTTGTGCAAAATTGGGTATCACTATACATTTATGAAAGCCCGAACCACTGCGCACAGTTCAGTCGATCCTCATACTATACCGGTACATTCATTTTTATTAACTCGTGGGTACGCGCGAGCGTACCACGAGTTATTGCAGGGACTGAGATATGCAAATGAGTCACTCACTCACTCGTAGTAGACGCACTTCGTAATTAATCGGGTCCGAACTCGAGAGCTCGAAGATCTATCGTTTCCAAAGAAGGACGCGCTCGCCGAAGTTCGGTAGCAGCAAATTCCTCGCTGCGAGCGTGCATCGTGCGCTACAGCACGGTTAGGATAGAGGTCTTACCAAATTTAAGACAGGCAGGAATCTTTCAAATTAGTACCATTCAAAAGCCTTCGACCCGTCCAGGCGTTAAACTTGGCAAGAAGATGAGCATTTGCTCTTCGACTCCTTCAACTTCTACGCTGGCTTGATCTCCTACCTTGTAGCACTGTAGTAGGTTATGTGTATGAATGAATTTATGGCGGTCAGTATAAAACACGGACTACGGACTGCGGACTGGGTATAAAATACGGACTATAAAATACGGACTGGTGAAATGTATGGTATTTTCTTCTTAAGGACTCCTCAAGATCACGAGGGGAAAATGGATGTGAGTTTGAGCATTACCTTTTTAAAATAACAGCGGAAATCGAGATAAGAAAACATAAGCTAATGTTTTGCGTCCTACTTGGCGAAGGAGTTGTGTCGGCTTTGTATGAAATGCGTTTACTTGTCAGTAGCCTGGTTTCAGTTAGCCTTAATTTCATCCCATTGCTTCGAGTCGTTTTTATGGCTCGATCGTTTGCCGGCGGAAGTTCCATGAAAAAGGTATTAAATATGAGACTTTTCGCCAAATCACGTGACCATCCTCAAAGGCGTAGTGGCTACGTGAGGTCGGGTCAAACCGAAGGTACCGCGTTCAAATCCCGCTAATGACCTTCTTTTTCCCTTCTTCCTTTTTTTTTTCTTTTTTGTTTCGTCTTGTTTGCTTATTTGTTTTGCTGTTTGTTTTGTTTTGTTTTTAAATATATACTTAAATAACTGTTACTAAAGTGCAATCAACAGCAAGAAAAGTATTGTGTTTCCAGAACGAGGATAGTATAATTATTTATAATATGAATTTCTATCATTTTCTAAAATTCACTGTGGGAAAACCAGAGGTGATAACTAATTGATTATTTTCTAAACAACGTACCCACGAGTTGACGATAGTCTTTCTCTGATTTGTCTTTCCTTGGGACATCTGGAGCAAAATAAACAAATTGTTAAAGTACTGTGAATATGAACTCACCAAACGTTGCTTAGAGGGAAGACTCGAAGGTTTCATTGTTTCTTAAGATAATGAAGCTAGCGAATACCAAATAGCTAAGAAAAGTTATGATTTTCATCATTGTTGTAGATGGTTGCATCATCATTATTCATGAGGTTGTCATGTGCGATTCTGACGACTTGATTCTAAAAGTGTTATAAGTTATTGTTTCTTAAAAGAAAAGAGCCTTTACTTACATGTAAGGCACCAGTTACAAAACGAAAGAGGTCTTCATACGTTCAAATTACTATTATTACTGTGAAAAGCCAGTCTGCATGAGACGTACAGTCACACAGTTTGCATGTGAAAGTGTTGGACTTTGCTCCTTTTGTGGTCCGTACATGAGAGAATTTGAGTTTTCACACAGTAATCCAGTAAGCAGGATTATAAAAATATCTTATGCACACAATTTGCAAGTGAACAAGTTGGACTTTTTCCTTTTATGATTCGTACGCAAAAGAACACAAATTCTTTACTCTAGAAGATTTGCTCAAATGATTTTAAGAAATCACCTCAGCTTTACAACGTCTGCTATTAAATTATGCTTCATGCAATGTTAAGGATGAAAGTTTAACATTTATTTACTTCCAACAAAATTATCAAACTGCTGATATATATTTCTATTCATATCATGTTATTGCACTCAATAAAACAATATCTAATTTTTTTGTCAACCAGCTTCTTCCAATTTTATTCCCTAATGCTATTGTTTTATGAAGTTATGCATCTCTACTAAATAAAATACACTTCAGTAACTGCAATGAGTCTTAAGCAGCAAGCACGTATCATGTTATTCCCTTAATACATGTTTTTTTGCCGAAACGAAAAAGGTCTGTTAAACTTTGAAAGCGAGAGAATAAAGCTTGTTTACAGGATTAACTTACTCAGTACAGCTTTCAAACAAAATAAGCTGCCTTTCAGACTTCTAAAACCACAAGTTATAGGCCATATACTTCCGATTTAAAGTCCATATTCAAATATCAATTATTGTTTCTTTGGAAGATCTTTGAAAAATATATGATCTTTTATACTCTACCTTAAAGCAGGTGAAACAGAGCTCATAAATATGAAGTACGTGCATCATACCATCGGCATGGCCGAATTAGGTCAGAAATGTATTGAAGCAGCATTGACACTAAAATATGAACCCTTAAACAGCTGCATAACTGTACTCGGCGTTTGAATTCATCCGATTACTTCGAGTCATTATTACTCCCTCAGTAACGTCTGAATCCACCTGCCGTTAATGCCATCCAGTGACATGACTCACTACCCGAAAACCGGGTAGTGATTTTGATTGATTGATTGTTGAAACATTCGCATAATTATGTATAATTACATTTGTATGAAAAATTTTAGTGGGATTGTCGCTTGATATTCAGCAGATCGCATCCCTGGCATTCTTTCGTGTAGTTCAAACATTTTGATAAGCTTAATCTTTATCTTAAACAGCAAAATTGCCCTTGTCTTTGAAACTGAAATGCTAAAGTGAACTGCAAATGAAGAATCATTGCGGAGAGTCAGTAGATTTTTCATTTAGAGCCGCTTTGTTTTCACAGTCAAGTATAATGATTCTGTTAGCTTTTCTTTCTTGTTTCCTTGTTTTTTTCTTCATTAAGGACCAAGTAGCTTCTTTTCAATTAAAGCAAATCATTGTGTTTTTGAACTAGGTGTTCCATGTGTGTGTTTATTTCATTGCGTGATTGCGACCGAGTTTGATCATAGAATTCAGTACAATCAGTTCAGAGTTGTACTGCATACAGTTGATAGTTTGAATGCTAAACATGAATTACGAAAAAAAAAAAAAAAAAAACTAATTCTGTATCATGCAGACATTTCCAATTGATATTTCTCGGTTTGCCACTTGAAAACGGTGTTTTACTTTTTGCATGAATTAAAGCAAAGGTCAAGGAGTAGTGACGTCACTGGAATGTAATACAATTACATATTAGACATAATTATGGAAATGTTTAGACAATCAACCAATCAAAATCACTACCCGGTTTTCGGGTAGTGAGTGATGTCACTGGATGGCATTAACGGGCGGTCGATTCAGACCTTACTGAGGGAGTAATAACGACTCGAAGTAATCAGATGAAATTCAGGCTAAACACCTTTAGTTGTAATAAAACACAAAAAAATTGTGAAGAATCAAGATGGCAGTCTCAAAGTGCCTTTGTTTGACCTTTAGCAATGTCGTGTTTAGATGCCAAAATCTCATTGGTTCCTAAGCATCAACTCATAGTACCTTCAACCTTATTAGCCCCTGCAACAGTCATCTGAATACACAAAGCCACAAAGATACATACACTCAAACCACTGACATATGAGCTATTTTTTCACAATAGCTCAACAAGGTTTGGAATAATCTTTCTTTATTAGCTCAGTTTTTTACCATCTCCTCTGAGTGCAGTAGCAGGGTGCAAAGAAAATTATTTTTAAAGCTTGCCATTCGGGTAAGCTCAAGCTAGCATTTACAAGCCCACACGTCATTTCAACTAGCCCCAAAAACTTTTTGACTAGCAGAATTGATTTCACAGTTGTTCTGTTATTCGAATTCCTAAAAAAAACATCACTTGCCCACCAGGCAAGTTAAAAACAGAATTCACTAGCCCGATAGCAAAATGCACTAGCCCTGGGCTAGCAGACACTACTTTCTTTGCTCGCTGAGTAGCCAACACTTGTGGTTGGCAGTTGGTGCTTACTGTAAGCACTGTTTTACATATATTAACCTTATTTACTCTTTAAATAATACAGCTGGCAGCTTACTGTAGGTTGTAAATTGGGGTGCAAAGAAAATCATTTTTACAGCTTGCCATTCAGGCAAGCTGAAGCTAGCATTTACTAGCCCAGACGTCATTTCAACCAGCCCCAAAAACTTCTGACTAGTAGAATTGATTTCACAGTTCTTCTGTTATTAGAATTCCTCAAAAAACATCACTTGCCTGTCTGGCAAGTTAAAACAGAATTCACTAGCCTGATAGAAAAATCCACTGGCCCTTGGCTATCAGACACTACTTTCTTTGCATGCTGTGACTGTTCTCTTCTCAGCTTGCCTCCATTACATTTTCAAAACTACATGACAAATTGATTCCCACAATCTAAGGACTTGGGCTTACAATAGAGAGGAGAAGTCGTTACGTCATGTTGCCATGGCAGCAAAATTTCTGGATGACAACAAACTGAAAACATCACTTAAAAACTGAATTCACACTTAAAATTCATTGATCTTATTCAATTTCATTTAATTTGTCAAATGTTGGTGAAATTTTCTGTGGTTGATTCCAAAAGTACTATAATTAAGTTTAGAAACAGAAAAAGAAAACTTTTGTGTTGTGTTCACCTTTTCCATAAAGCAGGCGCATGAAATTAGGAGTTTTCATGTCGCAGTCGTGTAACGATGGCAAAGAAATGAACAAAAAAGCATGATGCACGTGCAAAGTTGTCGTTTTGCTAATATAAATATATTTCCTTTTTGCTGTTCTCAGTGCCGCCGCCGTTATCGTTGCTAAGCTCCCTATTGTTGTTATCCAGAAATTTTGCTACCATGGTAACGAGACGTCACACTTCTCCTCTCTATTCATTTTCTCCAAGGCCACTTCCTGTTGTAGGGAAATGTAGTTTTCACCACCAAGGTGCTATGCTGTGGAACAGGCTTCCTGCTCAAACAAAAAAATTCAGAACACTATGAATGCCTTTAAAGAATCCTGCCAGCAAGTTAAAATTTTTTCTAGGTTTTCTCTTTTATATGTTTTGTAATAACATTGTACATAATAATAAATGCTCTATAATTTTTAGTATTATTTTATTCATACTGGGAGTTAAATGTATAATACACAGCTCGAAGAAAGAGCATATTATCTTATTTGTAAATATAAATTGATACGAAGATAAAATTAAGCCTTTGTATATGTGTATGTATGTACCTTATTTACTTTAAAAGATGTTTTAATTCCGAGAACTGTTTGTGGTAGAATAATTTTTACTTAATATCCAAACGGACTAACTTGTTAATTCAACAGGTGTGAATGAGACTGCCAATGAAACCACATTGCTACACAATGAAGCAGAGGCATTTGTTCTTGAGCCAGTGGAAGTTGTTCAAAAAAAGAAACGGAGCAGGCGGAAGAGAAAGCTAGTGGTTGATGAGGAAAAAATTTTAGCCACAGAATCCATCAAGTCTCAACTTGCTGACAGTTCAGACATTGTGAAGCCTGCAACTCTTGCTCCTCCCACAAAACAAAGAATGAAGCTCAAAAGCGTTTCAACTGCTGAAAAGCTTTTTGCCATGCCAAATGTTGAGGCCTTTGCATCGCCTGTTATTGATGCTTTTAGAGTTAATCTTACAAAGGTTGTGAACAGCGAAAATGTTGAGACAGAGGAAAAAATGGATGTTGATGAAGAACCAGAATTGCCAAGAGAGGAAGAGGAGGTGTCTGGTGTTTTTGAACGAAGTATTAATCAGTCCAAAGTTTCTTTTGCCAATGAGGAGACCAATTTAACTGTTGTCCCCGGGGAGCCAATTGACCAGGCTATTGATGACTATGAACGTCCCGTGGAAGAAGAAGAACCATTTTTAGCCGGGGAAGTTGAAGATATTTACCCAACCAACAAAGATGAATTGGAAGAAATTGAGCTGCAACCAGAATCAACAGCTTCCGAAGGAAATGATGAGCAACAAAGCTCTGATACCAGTGAACAATTAGAAAACAGACGGTGGACAAAGCGCACTCAACAGCTACTTCACACTTTAAAGAGAGAGTTCCAGAAAAAAAATGTTGTTAATTTTGGAAACTTGGTTCACAAGAGTAGCAGAAAGCAAGCGGCATACAAATTTTACAGTTGTTTATTGCTCAGCAAGGAAGGAAATGTTGAAATAGAACAGAAAAAACCATTTGGGGACATAAAAATTTCAAAGGGAGAAAGCTTTGATGTCGTCTGTTAAGCTGAACCGCCCAAGGGAGGCATGCTGCCTCATTAGGAAAGTATTTTATTTTACTACATTCTCGACATTTACATACATGTGTACGTTTCCAATATTAACTTTGTGATCCCCAAATTATTAAAGGAGGAGCTTCATTGCACTGTAGATTTAAGCAAAATAAGCAACTCAGTTATGAATGTTAGTTGTTGTATAAAAGACATTTCATCTTTATCCAATCTTTAAAACGTTTAAAAATTACATTGTATATATTTTTGTGGCCTCTTTGATTACAGAAGGTTTCTAGTGTTTGGAAATACATGTATCTTTGTAATTTTGTTTTTTAATCAAGTAACTTCTCATGAGAGGTGGCCATGACAAACAGTGCAGTAGATTGAAGAGATTCTGAAGTCTTCAGTAACAATCTCTGTTAGATAGATTACTATTTTAGGCAGCCAGGGACGAAAAAGCGATTACTAAACTGAAGAACCTAGATTATCTTAACCAGCGATCGGGCGGGCGGACCTTTTTCCATTTTTTTTCCTCTCCTGTATGCCGAAGTTCGCGCTTCCTCGGAAAAAAGAAGAGCGCCCGATCGCAGTTCACGATTATCTGTGAAAAGGATAAATGGTCCAGATAATCGAACGACAACAACGACGATCTTTTATTTCAGTTTCATTTTTGAAATATGAAAGAGCCATAAAGAGCGAAATATGATTACTGATGACATCACATATCCTTCATATGAGAGTTTCCCACAGGAGGAGGAAGGTATTTCTAGTCACCGTGTAAAAATTAATGCCCGTTCTTCCTTTAAAATACCTCATAACGAATGTTTTGCACCACATCAATTTTCGCGATGTTAGAATGTTCCATTTTTAGTCAACACTTACTTTTAGTATTTAAACAGACTTTTTAATTTCACCACTCTCCGATTCGTGTTGAGTGTAAAAACCATAAAAAAGGATTGCTGCAAAAGTCTTTTGTTATAAGGTATCCTGTTAAGAGGCAGCTTGAAAGCAGTTGATGTATCGCGTTCAAATCTCTTTACACGAAGTTTTGATATTTTTACTTCGTTTCAGGTTTTCCGTAGTTAAAAGAGCGTATTTATTTTGAAATCTGTTTCTATGTCAAAACAAAACTCTTATTACTCTTAGAACTACTACTGGCCTCGTTCCCTGGAAAGATGACTAAGCCTAACCCTGGTTTAAGCTAGATTTAAAGTTTTCTTGTCTTGGAGCTTCTGAGATATTTTTTAGCCTTTATTGTGAGTTTTACTGTATTTATTATAACACAGAATTAAACTCTTTATTAGCTATACAAATGTAAATACATTTAATGGGTTAAAACTTTTTATCCCGAATATGTTCTAATTCGCTGTCCAGGAGCTGATCGCAGATCTGTACTTTTTTCAAAATTACCACATTGTAAATACTTGCATTACCATGTTTATAATGTTATTTGATTTATGCACACCATAGTGCCCGCTAAATTTGCACAGATTTTAATGAAAAATTTTGTCCTCTCAGCTCATTTCTTTCTTAATGATTTGTTGACTTCGATTTCAAATAAGTGAGTTTCCATTCATGGGATCTATAGTTTTTTCAAATTTGTTATTGATACACAAAGGGAACTTTTAAAATAGTAGACCTTCATGTGAACGTAACGCATCGCCTAGAGGAGGAGATACAGCAGTGAATTTGAACGCCCTTGCATGTTTAAGTAGAGCGTCAATCGTTTATGAAGAATTTTTTATAGACCTTCAGATGTCTACAAAATCGTTATAGTTCACTGGCTAATATATTCCTTTAAAGCTATTAATTTCACTGGTTCCTAATTTCAGAGAGTTATTTCTGGTGTAATAAAAGGCTTATGTTTTCGAAACAAATTAGGCTATTTTTCTCTCCTTCGAAAAGGGAAAGGCGCGTGACGTAAGCCGCTCGTGTTTAACTTTTTGTAACATACTGTATTTTAACCCATTCGCTCCTGGAGATTTTGCCGAAAAACGCGTTTTGAAGCTAGTCGAGTGGTTTTCTGGTCACTGTCGTGCTATAAAAAGCTAAAACTTACCACAAACCGGTTTACAGGTCGTACACTTGGCGGCCTTCTAATCCAGATGCAAAATATCAGCTTGCGAAGTTCGGGCATGGGCAGAAAGCAAAATTTTGGGTTTAAAAGTGACACAGCAGTCTTAACTTTTACTTTTCTCTTTCTCTGCTCCCTTCTTTTTTCGCTTTTCTTGCCTCATTCTTTTTTTCTCTTGCTGGACATTTAGTAGGCTTCATTTTGGTGGGAAGAGTTTTTAGGAAAGCTTTTAGGATCTTAGGATTAGGTGAAAGGAAAGGTAGGTGGGTAATGGAACAAGATTTTCATGGAGATTTTCAGGTCCTTGTTACGTGGTTTTTTGCTTCTTTCTCCGGTGTCCTTGACTGAATTGTGTTCATTCTGGTATGGTTTGAAAGATCTCTTCACTCTGCACAAGTTAGCAAAGAAAGTTGTCCTTGACCGTTAAAACTGATGACGTCATAAAGGGTAGAAAGGTCCTGGATCCGCACGGGCGCTTCAGGGGCGAATGGGTTAATGGTCGTTCTCGAAACATTTAAAATAGGCCATTTACACGATGGCGTCATTTCACTACTATGACCAGAATCCTTTTCGTTTTTCTTTTCATATTTAAATCTGGTAATCCAAGCCAGATTTAAAGGTCAAATGAACCAAAAATTCGACATTTTTTATTTTCGTTCAATTCTAGTGAAATATGTTTAATATGAACCGAATAAACATACTATGAAGTTTCAGCTCAATTGAACCAAGCATCTCCGAGATATTCGCAATTAAAAATTGTTATTTTTTGGCCCTTATCTTCGTAGAGCGGTCGGAAAAATTGTCGGTAAAAACAGCTTGTGACGTTAATGTTGGTCAGGTGAAAAAAAGCGGGAAATTCAAAAAAGTGTTTTTCGAGTCGACTTGGCGCAGAATTGTGGTGGTTTGTGCGGCTATAAACCTAGAAAGAACAAGCAATTTGTCTTCAAAAGTTGCAAGCTGTGGTTATAACCTTATTATTTAATTTTCTATTATTTTACACCATAGTAAAACGGACTTTAACGACGGCATTAATTTCCTTGCGCTGTACTGGAAATGTGCGTGCGTAGGTCCGATATTTTTCAAGATGTATTCACAAAATGTGTTCATATAAGGAAGTTTCTGGATATGTAAGGTCCGGAGCTCCACTGTGGACACAAAAACAAAATATCTTTGTATAGTGATTTGCCCAAAGAAATTCACGCCTGCCCACAATGTGTTGTCATTGAACTTTGTCGCACTCGAGCTGATATTTTAAAACCCACGCTCGATCCGACACTTGTGCTTCGCAGAACACTAAAATATAAACAAAATCCTCCATGTAGAAGTTTTGGCGTTGATATGTGAGCAGTAAAAGAGTTAATCTTTATCTAGTAAAATCTTCCCCAAAATCGGTTTCAAAGCTGAACTACAGTTTTTTTAAACTCGATCGTTTCGCGCAGATAAAGTTTGCTTTGTGTTGTCAAGTTGAACATGCATAACACTTCTCAAAAACCCAGTAAGATTTCCTTGAAACAAAGTTGAAGTTACATTATTGCAAAAACGTCTCTCCAGTTACGTATATGATTTTAATTACCTAATGAGGTCACTTTAAGGACCATAGACGCCACTTTAAGCTCGCAAAGACAGGCGACAAGCAAAGAACAATTCCATCATGCATAAAATACAGCTTAAGTGAACCAAAAAAAGCTTCAACAAGGTTGCAAAACAACAAATTTCCACTCAAAAAACATAAGGCTTAGGGCTCTTATACCTGCAGACAATGAAAAAGTGAGTTTTCTGTGCGAAATAACCTACCTAAAGATCTTAAAAGCAAAAGATCAGTTGCAAGCTTCGCACCCAAGCCATGATTCACCATTTAGCTATTTTTAAAAACTGGTCCATGCGAGGGTCTTCATTCAAGCAAATTAAACTCAGCGAACTGAATCATTAGAAAGTACAGAAAACTGCTCATAAGGGTTTGTTTTGCTCACTTCAGTCAAATCCAGCTCCAGCAAGCCGGCAGTTGTCGTTCTCAGCTACTTCACAGCGAGTGAGAAGGAAAATTTGCGTACAGAAAGAAAACAAAACTACGTAATTAAAAATGAAAAAGAAAAAAAATACTCCGACTATTATTACTTGAGCAACAGAAAAGTGATCGAAGTAGTCTGGTCTTCTCGAATAAGCTTGCTAGCCTCCTATAGTTCCGAGGAAGATTTAAGCGCTCAAGTTTGTTCACTCGCAAGCGTTAGCATTACGGTTCTTTGGCATAAGACAAGGATAAAGCTGGTTCTGCAAAGGTAAATGAATCTGGGCATGTAAAAAACTAACCGTAACTACTAATAACAGAATACAAGCGGGTTTTAATTCAGCCCGGCGAAAGAAGGTGAAGCACTGGACACAAAATCAATTCACAAATCGAATGCACAATTATCAGAAAAATACAAACCTCTTGAAATGTTCAAAACGTTTTATTCCTCCTCACACTGACGGAATGATCTGTTTTTACTCTAACATTGGTTGTTCTGAATCCAAAGTAATTTTCAAGTGACGAAAAAACTACAACAACAACAAAAGCCAAAAAAAAAGCCTCTACAAGGACCAAACGTTTGCACCTCGTGTATTTCATTCAGTCTCGGTTAGAACTCTCACAGAACGAGAAAAACAAACGCAGGCGATAAGGGATGCGCAGAACGTTTTTCCGCCCTGAAAGACCAACATTGACGTCACGTAGTCTCCAGTCTATCACGCGGCCATTTCAGAAACGTTTTCGTGAAGTCTTCGGAAATGCTCGGATTTTGATCTTTTATCTTTCTATAAAGGCTTGGGAAGAAAAATCTTTACCCAAATCTCACTTAGGATGGTTCTTTTTGGTGTTTGACGAAGGTAAAGCGACAAAAGAAAATATTTCAATTTTTTGGTTCATTTGACCTTTAAATGACAAAAGCTGTAATTTGCACAAGAAAGCCCATTTGCTCCAATAGTAGAAGGATGACCTTTTTCGAGTGTGTTATCAATCATTGGCCTTTTCCACATTGCCCGTAATACACCTAGTTAGCCTTACCCCCCCTTAGCCAAAAAAGGCAAAAAATTGTTTCCGTTTCCCCCTGGGTACTACAGTCGTCCCAAGAGAATATAAAACAATGCTTATGCAAAATATTTTGTGGTCAACAGTAGTTGTATTACGGGTAATGTGAAAGCGGCAAATTGCAGGTATTTTATTGACTTGTCGGTAAGAACAGAATTTAATGTTACTGCATTTAGCTTTCACGAAATGTGGAGAGAATAAGGTTTTGTGATTGTACTGTTTAAGTTGAAGGCTCCCAATAAATATTTTAACTTACTTTCCTGTGTACATTATTTTTAGAAGTTGCAATTGCTGAAGATTTGCTTACCTGTCGTAATTTCAGTTTTGCTTGATGGCAATGATACAATTTTACTGTCTTGTACTAAAGAAAAGCATTCGGTTGAATCGATTACAGCATAGGCCATTTTAGACTTATCCTGTATAACCCGTATTTTAAAAAATTCTGATCTCTGCGATCAAATGACTGGCAGCAAAGAAAGACTTGGGTCCATTTAAAATTGACAGAGCTGTAGTTGATTCCAATCGATCAGTCAATCTTCCCTTTGATATAAGGAAAATCCTTTGTACTTATCCTCGGAAGAGAAAAGATATCAGAGGTCTTCAAATGTTTCTGCTTTCAGATTGGCGACCTGTCATCGTTCCTCGGCTGGAGGGCTGTCTTGCATCCGGCGCGGAGATTTGTTTGTATCGTGGTCGGGTTGTAGAGAAGACCAGACTCCTAAAGCATTTTGATGAACAATTCTATTTCAATAAAGTTCAATTCGTTTGAATTCACTGCAGATCGACTGCAGATCCTGTAGGTAAAGGCCCGCATTTTTGTTTGACATTGGACAAAATCACTGTCCGCTTGATCGTACAGTAATTCCTGAGTCACGATGAATTTCAGTCGAGGTACTAGCCGATAACAGCTTGTCCCAACCTCTGAAGCATCATATTTTGTACGTGAGAACGTAGAGCCGGTACGCCCTTTCATAAACTTGTAACATTTGAATAATGGGCAATTAAATGGATCTTAAGCTTTTGAACACGCGAAAATATTGACATAGTTCGCGCTGTTATTATTTTCCATTGTTACTCCCTTAGTCCCTTCTGTCAGCTCAAAGCCAGCGGGTTGCATATAAATTAGCTTCTCGGAATATTTAGGCTGTACACGTGACCAGCCGATGCCAGGGCCTTTTCCCGCCCCATCCATTCTTCAAGGGACGAGGTTGGGGATATGATCAATACACTGTTCCTGACATTGTACCTATCGAAAATACTTTTGTTGCTTTCCTTTAGTACTCGCAAACATACGTACAAGGCCTCTCGTGCCATTCTTTCAAATTTCATTGAAGAACTGTGAACTCAGTACTATCCACGATACCTTTCCACATTGTCGCGTGTACTTTTTCCGACAACCTTTCTCGAAATAGCTGTATATTTAACAATTATTCCACGAGTGCGCGTTGGATACGAGATGATTATAGCTAACTCGCGCCTCGTTGTCGTCGTTATAAAAAACGCCCACAAAATATTGAGAATTCGTCCCGACTTTATTTGTAAGAACAACCGATTGTTAGCTTGTTTTTTATTTTGTTCAGACGTGTACAGTTACCATATTCGGAGAGCATGGTGTAATAGCTCGTATACCATGATAGTAGTATAGGAGTTGGAGGTACCGGAACATTTTTCCCTGTTTTCAAGCCCGTCAGCGGCCCTCCCAACTCTTTTACCCGTCGCTGCGTTACATAACTCTAGTTGTTTATTTTGTAGTGGCCATACGCGTAACTGGTTTGGCCATCTGCATGAATATATCTTTTGTCATCAAAGCATGACAGTGATATCTTATCTTACACTACGAATTGTTTTCATGCTATGATATATTTGTTTATTATTCTGTAAGGTATCTTTGTAGTCTTGATGTGTGATCTTTTTGATGAGATACTTCTTAATTCCCTTTGCTGTCTTCTCATTCTTATCATTGTCTTTTACATAGGAATACATCTTACTTCTCAGCCCAATAAACTCTGTTACAGAAATGTCTACAGCTTTATCCTTAAACTTACCTATGACTTTCTTATTGGTTGGATCAAAGTATTGACGGTACTTAGATTAATCACTGTTATCAAACTTCTCTATCTGTCCAGAAATCTTGGTACACAATATCTTTAGCTTTGATCTCATACGTCAGTGAATCTGTATCAGTGAACAGAAGCTTGGCTCTGCTTTTATATTTCTTTTTGATATAATTATAGTGGAAGACATACATAGGTGTCTTGGTTAGATCTAGGATACACATGCTAACATAGTCTCTTATCTTATGGACTGCCACTAAGTTCTCATCGAGGATCTTACTAGTTACATACATAGGTTTAGAAGCTAGCTTGGAAAATTTGTTTTCATAAGTCACTAATCTCACATCAACTCCCTTTCTGATATTCTCCATCGTTTTACCAAACACAGAGTTGTTCATTAGTTTAAAGAAGTCTTTTTCAAATGAGTTCTTAGCATTCATTCGTTTTTGTGTATTGAAATCAATGTACTGTTTTAGCCATGGCGATTGGTGGAATTCCAATACGCAATGCACCTTCTTTAGTTTTAATCTCAGATCCAAATACAGTTGCAGATTTCTGTAGTGGAGTACATATCTTTCTTTGCTGCTCAGTCAGGGGCGGATCCAGGATTTTTTTTAGGAGGGGGTGCACTCGTCTCTTGCTCTACTTCAACACCAATAAGCCACATAGGTTTTTTTTTTTGCGGAATACCAGTTGTATTAGAAAACCGCAGGTCATCTCAGGGGGGGTGCGCACCCCCTGCACCCTCCCCCTAGATCCGCCCCTGTCAGTGTTGGGATTAGTTTCTTTACGTGTCCAATGGAGATCTTGTATTTCTTTCTAATAGTTACCCAATAACGTGACAGCATTTCCTCAGTGACTTTTAATTTTTCCGCGGCCAGTGGATGATCATTATGCAGTTTATGTAGTGAGCTCGGATATTCTAGATCGACCTCTAATATCAATATCAAACCCTTTGCACTGTTGTTTGTATACATTGCTAGATTGATCTGCTGTACCTTCTTTTCACTCAGCTATTTGAATCCTCCTGTTGGTAGACACTGTGACATCGCTCGGCCATATAGATTATTGGCATCAAGATACATAATAAATATACTTGGATGATTTACTTGGATCATAGTCAGACATATATTTGTTGCTGGCTCGTCCATATCTATAAGCGATATATGAAATGCCACCACGCATACCTTTCTCGATAAACTGAAACATGTCAATACCTGTCATGTGTTCCAGTTGTATATCTGTCATCTTTAGCATGGCATCCCA